ACTGTCCTAATATACTAAGAAATTAACACGGTTAACATTTTTATTAATTTTAGGCAGCTTTATATCTGATGTATCGCCTGGTGTGTTGTATCGCCCACTGTGTTGTATCGCCCAGTGTGTTCCATTGCCTAGTGTGTTGTATCGTCCAGTGTGTTGTATCGCCTTGTGTGTTGTAGCGCCTGGTGCGTTGTATCGCCCAGTGTGATTGATCGCCCAGGGTGTTGTATCGCCTAGTGTGTTGTATCGCCTAGTGTGTTGTATCGTCTAGTGTGTTGTATCGCCCAGTGTGTTGTATCGCCTGGTGTGTTGTATCACCTCGTGTGTTGTATCGCCTAGTGTGTTGGATCACTTAGTGTGTTGTATCGCCTCGTGTGTTGTATCGCCCAGTGTGTTGCATCGCCCACTGTGTTGGATCGCCTAGTGCGTTGTATCACCCAGTGCGTTGTATCATCCATTGTGTTCCATTGCCTAGTTTGTTGTATCACCCATTGTGTTGTATCGCCTAGTGCGTTGTATCGCCAAGTGTGTTGTATCGCCTAGTGTGTTGTATCGTCCAGTGTGTTGTATCGCCCAGTGTGTTGTATCGCCTAGTGTGTTGTATCGCCTAGTGTGTTGTATCGCCCAGTGTGTGATATCTCTCAGTATGGGGTATCACCCTGTCTGTTGTAACGTCCAGTGTCTTGTATCGCCTAGTGTCTTGTATCGCCCAGTGCGTTGTATCGCCCAGTGTGTTCTATTGCCTAGTGTGTTGTATCACCGAATATATGTATCGCCCAGGGTGTGGTATAACCTCGTGTGTTGTATCGCCTAGTGTGTTGGATCACTTACTGGGTTGCATCGCCTAGTGGGTTGTATCGCCTGGTGTGTTGTATCACCTATTGGGTTGTATCACCTCGTGTGTTGTATCGCCTAGTGTGTTGGATCACTTAGTGGGTTGCATCGCCTAGTGGGTTCTATCGCCTGGTGTGTTGTATCGCCTAGTGGGTTGGATCACTTAGTGGGTTGTATCGCCCACTGTGTTGTATCGCCTGGTGTGTTGTATCGCCCAGTGAGTTGTATCGCCTAGTGTGTTGTATCGCCTAGCGTGTTGTATCGTCCAGTGTGTTGTTTCGCCTAGTGTGTTGTATCGCCTCGTGTGTTGTATCGCCCAGTGAGTTGTATCGCCTAGTGTGTTGTATCGCCTAGTGTGTTGTATCGCCTAGTGTAGTATCGCCTAGTGTGTTGTATCGTCCAGTGTGTTGTATCGTCCAGTGTGTTGTATCGCCTAGTGTGTTGTATCGCCTAGTGTGTTGTATCGTCCGGTGTGTTGTATCGCCTGGTGTGTTGTATCGCCTAGTGGGTTGGATCGCCTGTGTGTTGTATCGCCCCCTGTGTTGTATCGCCTCGTGTGTTGTATCGCATAGCGTGTTGTATCGTCCAGTGTGTTGTTTCGCCTAGTGTGTTGTATCGCCTCGTGTGTTGTATCGCCCAGTGAGTTGTATCGCCTAGTGTGTTGTATCGTCCAGTGTGTTGTATCGTCCAGTGTGTTGTATCGCCTAGTGTGTTGTATCGCCTAGTGTGTTGTATCGCCTAGTGTGTTGTATCGTCCGGTGTGTTGTATCGCCTGGTGTGTTGTATCGCCTAGTGGGTTTGATCGCCTGGTGTGTTGTATCGCCTGGTGTGTTGTATCGCCTTGTGTGTTGTATCGCCCAGTGAGTTGTATCGACTAGTGTCTTGTATCGCCTAGTGTGTTATATCGCCCACTGTGTTGTATCGCCCACTGTGTTGTATCGTCTCGTGTGTTGTATCGCCCAGTGTGTGGTATCGCCCAGGGTGTTCCATTGTCTAGTGTGTTGTATCGCCCAGGGTGTTCCATTGCCTAGTGTGTGGTATCACCCAGCGTGTTGTATGACCAAGAGTGTTGTATCACCGTGTCTTATTTCGCCCAGTGTTATGTATCGCCTAGTGTGTTATATCGCCCACTGTGTTGTATCGTCCAGTGTGTTCCATTGTCTGGTGTGCTGTATCGCCCAGGGTGTTGTATCGCCAAGGGTGTTCCATTATCTGGTGTGTTGGATCGCCCAGTGTGTTCCATTGTCCAGTGTGTTTTATCGCCCAGTGTGTTCCATTGTCTAATATGTTGTATCGCCCAGTGTGTTCCATTGTCTAGTGTGTTGTATCGCCCAATGTGTTCCAGTGCCTAGTGTGTGGTATCACCAAGCGTGTTGTATCGCCAAGAGTGTTGTATCGCCCAGTGTGTTATTTCGCCCATTGTTATGTATCGTCTAGTGTGTTGTATCGCCCAGTGTGTTCCATTGTCTGGTGTGCTGTATCGCCCAGTGTGTTGTATCGCCTAGGGTGTTCCATTACCTGGTGTGTTGTATCGCCCAGTGTGTTCCATTGTCCAGTGTGTTTTATCGCCCAGGGCATTCCATTGTCTAATATGTTGTATCGCCCAGTGTGTTCCATTGTCTAGTGTGTTGGATGGCCCAGTGTGTTCCATTGTCTAGTGTGTTGTATCGCCCAGGATGATCCATTGTCTAGTGTGTTGTATCGCCAAATGTGTTCCATTGTCTAGTGTGTTGTATCGCCCAGGGTGTTCCATTATCTGGTGTGTTGTATCGCCCAGTGTGTTCCATTGTCCAGTGTGTTGTATCGCCCAGTGTGTTGTATCGCCCAGGGTGTTCCATTATCTGGTGTGTTGTATCGCCCAGTGTGTTCCATTGTCCAGTGTGTTGTATCGCCCAGGGCGTTCCATTGTCTAATATGTTATATCGCCCAGTGTGTTCCATTGTCTAGGTTGTTGTATGGCCCAATGTGTTCCATTGTCTAGTGTGTTGTATCGCCCAGGGTGTTCCATCGCCTAGTGTGTGGTATCATCCAGCGTGTTGTATCGCCGAGAGTGTTGTATCGCCTGGTGTTATTTCGCCCATTGTTATGTATCGTCTAGTGTGTTGTATCGCCCAGGGTGTTCCATTGTCTGGTTTGCTGTATCGCCCAGTGTGTTGTATCGCCCAGGGTGTTCCATTATCTGGTGTGTTGTATCGCCCAGGGTGTTCCATTGTCCAGTGTGTTTTATCGCCCAGGGTGTTCCATTGTCTAGTGTGTTGTATCGCTCAGGGTGTTCCATCGCCTAGTGTGTGGTATCATCCAGCGTGTTGTATCGCCGAGAGTGTTGTATCGCCTGGTGTTATTTCGCCCATTGTTATGTATCGTCTAGTGTGTTGTATCGCCCAGGGTGTTCCATTGTCTGGTTTGCTGTATCGCCCAGTGTGTTGTATCGCCCAGGGTGTTCCATTATCTGGTGTGTTGTATCGCCCAGGGTGTTCCATTGTCCAGTGTGTTTTATCGCCCAGGGTGTTCCATTGTCTAGTGTGTTCTATCGTCCAGCGTGTTGTATCGCCCAGAGTGTTGCATCGCCTAGTGGATAATGTCAGTGACACTGTTTCTGTTGAAGATTGTATCCATGTGCGTAACTAGACTACGACGGACAACATAACACACGTGGACGGCATTCGTATAATGTCATAGACAGCGGCGATGATGGTGTTTTGTTTCTACCATAAAGGGTTAAATTGTTTTTAGGTATTTTTGGTTCGACTGTTTTTCCCATTCAAACTGCACTGTCAGGTGACTCACTTATATTAGGCGACTTGCTCTATACGATCAGTTTGTAGAACTGAAATCATTCGTTTTATTTACAATTGCAAAGATGAACTTTGACTAAAATTCTGAATAACCAATCCAAACTGATAATAATAGTCTGTATTCAAATATTAATCACATCAGAAGAATATACATGAGAAGTGGTTCAACCTAAAAGACTGAAAATACCCTTTCAAGATTCATACGTCAATAGTAGCAGCCAATATGGTATTAACATTCCCATGATCTCAGCTAATATCAGTGTGTACATATCCGAATAACCACGCATAACCTGACATTTGATCTCTTTTTGTTACGTCTGTTTAAACCAAAGCTCAACTTGGCCCTGTTCATGTCTACCAGTTTATGACATTTTGTTTTTAGTTAGTTCTGTTTTTACTTAATCTCATATCCAGAATTAATACTTATTCAAGTTCGTTTTAGTTCACCGGATGATGGCAAGCTTGTCCGTTGTGTGTGAAGCTGAAACTTTGCATGCTTGTTCCCACATATGACGACACCCAAATTAGAGGTTCGATTTTCGGCATGTCTCCCACAACATATTCTGATGATAATATCCCATTAAGACTCTAATTTTAAGGTATAGTCATCAGTATATATACAACCAATATTTTGACATGGTGACAGGACCGCCTCCGTGGGCTTGTGGTAGAGCGTCAGCCCGGAGCGCGGAAGGTCCGGGGTTCGATCCCCTGTCGCGTTATAACAAAATACGTTAAAAGATAGTACTTGTTGTTACCCTGTCTGGCGCTGGGCATTAAGGGGCTAAAAGAAGGACTGGTCGGCTCGGAGTCAGTATACTGAGTCTTGGTGAGGTATTCATGTTGAACTGCGGCATGCCTTCTCAGTGGGCTAGCACTATAAATTGACATCAGTCTGGACAAGTACAAGCAGCCACACGCGCGAACACACAAACACACATACACGCACGCACGCACGCACTCACGCACACACAGACGCACATACACACACACAGACTTGCATGCACGTCACTATATAAGTGCAGTAATCTTGGACGCGACGTTAAACCCCATGTCACCTCACCACCCAAATGGTGACAGCAAATTTTGTGAAGTGGCCATCTTTGATATTTTAAACATTTGAGTGAGTGAGTGAGTATGGTTTTACGCCGCTTTTAGCAATATTCCAGCAATATCACAGCGGGGGACACCAGAAATGGGCTTCACACATTGTACCCATGTCGGGAATCGAACCCAGGTCTTTGGCGTGACGAGCGAACGCTTTAACTACTAGGCTACCCGACCGCCCCTTTAACATTTGACATATCCAGGTGAGCTTCAGTGCCAGGACACTTTTTGTATATAATATAAACGTCCGAAGGTTTTGTACCGGTAAAATATTTTATTATAATCTAAGGAATGTTAATACTAAGATACACCAATAAGTACAAATCAAACATGGTATGTACAAACAACGTAAACGTTTGCATTATTGTCAATTCTGACTGTCGTCAATGGAAATAAGCACCATACGTCTGGATAGATACCCAGGTCCAGGAAGTACATACACTTAGCATAGCGTACAAGTCATACAACAATACTGACAATGGAGTACAGTTCACAAGATAAAATCATTCCAACTGCAGCTTGAGAGTATCAATCAAGTGTCTGAAAAAGAAAAATTAAAATGTTAGACCAGCTTAATTTGAAAGGTGCCATGGAAATGATACTACTGACAGGACAGTTTCAGTTTGAAATTATTCGGTTGAACTTTTGGTTTGTCATGCTGCTAAACTAAAGTTAAGGATCACACTGATGAGGAGCCATACGCGGGTAAATGTCATAAGCACAAACTTGACAGAATGTTAATTCATTCTTGGCATTGCGTCCTTGGGTGTGATACAAATCAGTTATAATAATGATGGCAATAATAATAATAAAAAGAAGAAGAAGAAGAAGAATCGTAGTCCAACCCAGTGGCCTATTTGACAGTTGTGGATGGTACCTTAATCAACAATCAGAATCAATCTGTTTAATCAGTATTTGAGCGAACCGTTCTTCTTGTTTATGAAAGGGGACATTATTTTATTTATTGGTATTGGAGAGAACCGCTCTTCTTGTGTAGAAAACGAAACCCGTTCAATTTATATTTGAGAGAACTGTTTTTCTTGTGTAGGATACGAAATACTGTTTAATTGATATTTAAGAGGACCGTTCTTCTTGTGTATGAAACAGGATACTGCTTGATTGATATTTGAGAACTTTTCTAGTTTTTGCGTGTTTTGGCTTCGGCGACATAATATTAATAACCTTTAAACAGGTCGCCAATGATATATAAAAGTAAGAAAGATATAGAAATCGACCACCAAAAATAAGTAAAAATGTAAAAATATTTTGCTAAGGAACCCCAGGTGGGAATTATTATAGTGCTAAGATAATCATAAGCATGTGGTGAAAAAAGGAAATTGGGCCTTTTAAAATACTTTGAAGAAATGCAGGGTCACAAAGTTCGGTTAAATCATTGTCAATACGTCAAATAACAACGACTTCCTCCTTCTTCTAACCATTACGGGCATAATAGCAAACCTTGCCTAAAAGAAGGTATATATTAAAGAGTCATAACCTTCATATTCGAATATGCAGTAAACGCGAATTGAAACATCTACAAAAATGTATATTTCATCCTTAACTTCTTTTGAGCAACACATGGGACTACATCTGATTGGACAGTTACAACTCAAGCACATTCAAATTAAGCCGGTCATAGAAAACACACATCCAGTGTCACATCACTATCTAACAATTAATATCGTGACAAATAACTCTGGGAGTCCAGTTCTCTCAGGCGCTGCAATACGTTGAGCAGAGTTTCAGGACCTGCTGTTGTTCGTTCGATTCCCCGATTCAGTCCCAGGTCCGTTGCCAGCATATCTTTCAACATTTAGCTGTTACGCCGTGGCATATCTGAAGCACTGTTCAAAGTGGCGTTGACCCAAACTCACAAATCATTACACCAAATACATATATCCAGTACAGTATGTCACGCATTCTGTATATACTCCAGCAGAAAAGTAACTGTGGTGTCATAAACGTATCGTTAACAATGATGATATGAATCAAACCAGTAAACGCCAGGGTAGTGTGATCCTGTTTAAATGCACAGAAATTCACGCCTCAAATATTATTTACACTTCTCCCAAACTGATATACATCTAAAACAGGGAAGGAAAATAATTTTAGCATCATGCGTGTGTAAAGATCACAAATGTTGGTGCACAGAATTTGAAATTTTGAATTGTTAAAATATTAAAATGATAATAACAAATCTTTAGGAAGTCCATCTTCTGACACTACATTTTAAATCTTCAGGGACAAAAAGAGTAGCTAAGTACTTCTAAACATTCACAAATAGGACCAGGAACACAGTTACTTTCATGTTTGAGTATATATACGGATAATCTGAAAAAGAATCTGTATAAATACCACATGCACATTTCAATGATGATGAAAATGTTATACCTATATATGCTAAATAGTAAATGCGTGTGTGTTAGTTACGTAGCAAGTTCATTTACAGTAAACACGCACCAAAGATTCTAAAGAAAGGTATGAAGCAAGTCCTTTGTTCTGGGTGTCCACTGGTGCTAGGCCTCGAGGCATTTTGGACACAACTGAAAGACAATCGAAAAGCATATCAACCAATATATCGTTCGGTGTAAGAGTAGGATTTTGCAAGGACATTCTATTAATATTTCAAATATCATTTCATAGAGGGCCCTTGAGTAAGCTTCAGTAATGGGGTAAAAGGTGTCGCTAAAGCCAAACAAATGTGGTTCCAATAAGATACGGATAGGAACATTAATGACAGAGGCCCTGCCTACATGCTGAACATTAATGACATGGATCGGATAGGAACATTAATGGTGGAGGACCTACCTGCATCAGGTGGGAACATTAATGATGGATAAACTAACTAGATCGTGCAGGGACATTAATGACAGAGGACCTACCTAGATCAGGTAGGAACATTAATGACGGAGGGCCTCCCTAGATCAGTTAGGAACATTAATGACTGAGGACCTACCTACATCGGGTAGGCACATTAGTGACTAATAAACTAACTAGGTCGGGTAGGAACATTAATGACAGAGGAACTTAATTGATCGTGCAGGAACAATAATGGCAGAGGACGTACCTAGATCAGATAGGAACATCAATGATTGAGGACCTATCTAGACCTGGTTGGAAAATTAATGACAAATGACCTACCAAGATCAGATAGGAACATTATTGACGGAGGAACTAACTAGATCATTCAGGGACATTAATGACTGAGGACCTACCTAGATCGTGCAGGAACATTAATGATGGAGGGCCTACGTAGATCGTTTAGGAACATTATTGACAGAGAACCTATCTTGATCTGAGGGGAAAATTAATGACAAATGACCTACCTAGATCAGATAGGAACATTAATGACGGCGGAACTAACTAGATCACGCAGGAACATTAATGACTGAGGACCTACCTAGATCGTGCAGGAACATTAATGATGGAGGGCCTCCCTAGATCAGTTAGGAACATTAATGACTGAGGACCTACCTACATCGGGTAGGAACATTAATGACTAATAAACTAACTAGATCATTCAGGGACATTAATGACTGAGGACCTACCTAGATCGTGCAGGAACATTAATGATGGAGGGCCTACGTAGATCGTTTAGGAACATTAATGACAGAGGACCTATCTTGATCTGAGGGGAAAATTAATGACAAATGACCTACCTAGATCAGATAGGAACATTAATGACGGCGGAACTAACTAGATCACGCAGGAACATTAATGACTGAGGACCTACCTAGATCGTGCAGGAACATTAATGATGGAGGGCCTCCCTAGATCAGTTAGGAACATTAATGACTGAGGACCTACCTACATCGGGTAGGAACATTAATGACTAATAAACTAACTAGATCATTCAGGGACATTAATGACTGAGGACCTACCTAGATCGTGCAGGAACATTAATGATGGAGGGCCTACGTAGATCGTTTAGGAACATTAATGACAGAGGACCTATCTTGATCTGAGGGGAAAATTAATGACAAATGACCTACCTAGATCAGATAGGAACATTAATGACGGCGGAACTAACTAGATCACGCAGGAACATTAATGACTGAGGACCTACCTAGATCGTGCAGGAACATTAATGATGGAGGGCCTCCCTAGATCAGTTAGGAACATTAATGACTGAGGACCTACCTACATCGGGTAGGAACATTAATGACTAATAAACTAACTAGATCATTCAGGGACATTAATGACTGAGGACCTACCTAGATCGTGCAGGAACATTAATGATGGAGGGCCTACGTAGATCGTTTAGAAACATTAATGACAGAGGACCTATCTTGATCAGGGGGGAAAATTAATGACAAATGACCTACCTAGATCAGATAGGAACATTAATAACGGCGGAACAAACTAGATCACGCTAGAACATTAATGACTGAGGACCTACCTAGATCGTGCAGGAACATTAATGATGGAGGGCCTACCTAGTTCGGATAGGAACATTAATGACGGAAGACCTACCGAGATCAGATAGGAACATCAATCACAGAGGGCCTACCTAGATCGGGTAGGAACATTAATGACAAATGACCTACCTAGATTGGGTAGGAACATTAATGGCGGAAGACCTACCTAGATCGGGAAGGAACATGAATGACAGCAGACCTACCTAAATCGTGCAGGAATATTTATGACAGAGGACCTACCTAGATCGTGCAGGAACATGAATCACTGCGGACCTACCTAGATCGTGCAGGAACATTAATGACGAATGACTTATCTGGACCTGGTAGGAACATGAATGACAGAGGACCTACCTAGATCGTGCAGGAACATTAATGACAGCGGACCTACCTAGATCAGATAGGAACATCAATCACAGAGGGCCTACCTAGATCGGGTAGGAACATTACTGACGGAGGGCCTACCTAGATCGGGTAGGAACATTAATGACGGAAGACCTACCGAGATCAGATAGGAACATCAATCACAGCAGGCCTACCTAGATCGGGTAGGAACATTAATGACGGAAGACCTACCCAGATCGGGAAGGAACATGAATGACAGCAGACCTACCTAAATCGTGCAGGAATATTTATGACAGAGGACCTACCTAGATCGTGCAGGAACATGAATGACTGCGGACCTACCTAGATCGGTTAGGAACATTAATGACAGCGGACCTACCTAGATCGGTTAGGAACATTAATGACAGCGGACCTACCTAGATCAGGATGCTCATCCTGCGAGTCTGAGTCATAGAAGGAACCCTCTGGAGTCACAAGCGACTTGTTCCTAGAACCAGTATACACAAGGTAATGGAAAAATGGACAATTGAGAAAGGAACTTATACGAAAAACATTATATATCTGTTTGAGGAGAGTGTAAAAGGACAAAAAGAACATGTGATATGTTCCTGGTGTCAGAATTCTACCTCTGATCCTCCGTGTACATTTCCTATGAAACATGTATACTGCTATGGGAGCACGCCAATTCTTTGTCAGGTATATTCTTTGTTTCGGCTAGGATGTATTCAAACTTTATGTCCTTGAAGAGAGTGATTAGAAAACAATATATGTTCAAAGGTACGACACAAAAAGATTGTCGTAAAATCGAGTTACATATCCACAGAACTGAACTACAGTTAGTCATGATGGTACAGTTACTGTAGTCTATAGGTCACGGGACCGCCTCCGTGGTCTAGTGGCAGAGCGTCCGCCCGGAGAGCGGAAGGTCCGGGGTTCTATCCCCGGCCGCGTCATGCCAAAACACGTTAAAAGATTGTACTTGTTGTAACCCTGTCTGGCGCTCGGCATTAAGGGGCTAAAACAAGAACTGTTCGGCTCGGAGTCAGTATACTGTGTCCGAGTTGGGTATTCATGTTAAACTACGTCATGGTATCTTAATGAGCTAGCACTATAAATCAGCATCAGTCCGAACTAGTACACATACACACACACACACACACACACACACACACACACACACACACACACACACACACACACACACACACACACACACACACACAAGCATGCACGTCGCTATATAAGTGCGCACACGCACACACACACACACACACACACACACACACACACACACACGAGCATGCACGTCGCTATATAAGTGCAATAATCTTGGACGCGACGTCAAACCCATTTTCACTTCACCTCACCTATATGTTACGGGTGTTTGAACTCTGTACCTGTTTTTCTTCATTTTGTATACTGCCAGTAGCGACCCCACCACTCCTATTGATAGTAGACCACACGCTCCTCTCAAAGCCCAGTTCTCGATCTCCGATATATCTACTGTTGCACATCCCTCGCCACCAGATCGTCCTGGAAGAATTTAAATCAGTTCATCACATATAATGATGTGTGAGTAAGCTGATGATGATGTTTTGGTGTGTTTTTTTTATATTCCATTGAACTATAGCGTTTCATTTTCCCCAGGGATAATAATATATGAGATTATCTCACCTTTTCCAGAACCAGCCCGGCCACCTGACCCGCCGTTTCCACCACTGCCACTTCCTCCTCCTCTACCATCGCCACCGGCTCCACCACCACCACCCCCGGCGCCACCTGCACCACCGGCTCCAGCACCACCTGCCCCACCGGCTCCGGCTCCGGCTCCACCTGCACCACCAGCCCCGGTGCCTCCTGCACCACCGACACCACCGGCTCCAGCACCACCTGCCCCACCGGCTCCGGCTCCGGCTCCGGCTCCAGCTCCACCTGCACCACCAGCCCCGGTGCCTCCTGCACCACCGATACCATCGGCTCCGGCTCCAGTTCCACCTGCCCCAGCACCACCTGTCCCACCGACACCACTGGCTCCGGCTCCAGCACCGCCAGCTCCACCACCTGCCCCGGTGCCACCTGCACCACCAGCTCCACCTGGTCCGGTGCCACCTGTCCCATTACCGCCGCCGACACCACCTGCTCCAGCACCACCGACACCACCAGCTGCACCAGGCCCAGTACCACCTGTCCCATTACCGCCGCCGACACCACCGGCTCCAGCACCACCAGCCCCAGCGCCACCTTTACCACCAACACCAGCACCGCCAGCACCAGCACCGCCAGCTCCTCCTGCACCAGATCCACGTGTTCCATTACCTCCTCCAACACTACCACTAGAATTATTGTTGCAGACGCTGAATTTCACAACAATATGAGCTTCAGTTTTTAGTACAGGAATGCCGCTATCTGAGGCTGCAACGGTAACAACCTGGAACCGGTCTCCCTTCTTATCAGGCTTCTTCTGAAGATTTAATGTCCCGTTTGTGTTATCCACACTGAAATAAGACTTGCTGCCTTTCACAATGGAGTACGTCAATGTCTGAGAAGCGTCACTGTCAGTTGTACCAAATGTCGTTATAGGCGTTCCAGCAGCGACGTCACAAGCTACATCAACTTGATACATGGATTTGTTAAAATGTGGAGAGTTGTCGTTGAGATCGCTTAAAATGACTTTTATTTGTCCATCCACGCTCTTTGCGCTATTTCCGGTGTCAGTGGCTTGCACAACAATGTCATAGAAGTTGGAGCCACCAGTCTCATGATCATAATCAAGTCGAGATGATGTTGTCAGTTTACCAGAAGAGAAGTCCATGAAAAATAGGCTGCTCGCATTTTCACCCGTATCTGAAATACAACATTACAAGGTGAGGGAGTGCGTGCGTTGTGTTTTGCGCCACTGTGAACGGTATTTCACGGCGTGTCAGCTTAATGCGGGTAATCTCCAAAGGAGGCAGGTTCGCAGACGTTTGCTACCACTTTAATGAAACCCTTTAGCTCGGATATTGTGAAGACAAAGATGACAACAACGTAAAAGGCGACTGTGCTTGTCGTAAGAGGCGACTAACGGGATCGGGTGGTCAGGCTCGCTTACTTGGTTGATGCATGTCATCGTATCCCAATAGCGTGGATCGATGCTCATGATGTCAATCACTGGATTGTCTGGTCCAGACTCGATTATTTACAGACCGCTGTCATATAGCTTGAATATTGCTGAGTGCGCCGTTAAACAACAAACAAAACATCAAAAAAAACTATTTATGGGCTCGGGTGGCTGAACTGAACTAAACTTTAATTTATACTCAGCCCGGCATCAGAGGTACAACAACAAACAAAACAAATGAAAGCGCTTCTGATGATTACAGTGAGTGAGTTGGGTTTAACGTCGCTTTTAACAGTATTCCAGTTATATCGCGGTGTGTCAGCTTAATGTGGGAGAAAAGCCCGAAGTGATGCAGGTGTCAGACGTTAATCACTACGGTGAACCCCGCGAGCATGGATATAGTGCTGACAAACCTAGAAACATAATCGAGGCGAACCGGGATTCGAACCAACAATCATAGGTTTCTGGTGTGCCAAAGGGAGGCAACTCTGCACAGCGAATCGCAGCGCCTTAGACGACTGGGCCACCCGTGCCCCCTGTCAGGATATTGAAGGTGACGGATACATAATGTTTTTTTTCCTTTTTCCTGCACAGTGAATCGCAGCGCCTTAGACGACCGAGCCACCCGTGCCCCCTGATATTAACAACCTCTCACCTGATTTCACGGATACAATTCTGTAGGCGACAGAACCATCTTTGTCTTTGTCATCATCCTTGGCTTGGAATGTTTCCACTACGGTTCCAACAGGGACATCCTCCGCTATGCTCTTGTTCGGAAAATTGGAAGAGTTTGCCTGCAGTTTTGGGGTTGTCCACTCCGGCTCAAACTCATTAACAGGAAGCACCTGTATTCAATAAAGAATAGATTATTTTGTTGCATGGTAGTTGTAATCGTTAAAATATAAAGTTTTGACTATCTAGTAAAGGTTAACATAATTAGTGTGTCATGCGGCATTAAATATTTATAACTCCTTTAAATATTTTAGTATATATTGGTGGCCGATGGGTTGCACTGTAATACCATCGGATGAAATTTAGGTTACGCGGGAGACCATCTCTATTGCCTTGTTAACCAAATATAGTCGCAATTCAGGAGATTTTCATTTTGGGCTAGTGGCCGGTGATGAGACCTGGCTCCATAATCCCGAGATCACACAAGAATCCATGGAGTGGAAACACTTCAGGTCTCTAAAAAGGAAAAGACCGCCTCCGTGGTCTAGTGGTAGAGCGTCAGCCCGGTGAGCGGAAGGTCCGAGGTTCGATCCCCGGCCGCGTCATACCAACAGACGTTAAAATATGGTTCTTGTTGTTACCCTGTCTGGCGCTCGGCATTAAGGGGCTAAAACAAGGACTCGTCGGCTCGGAGTCCGTATACTGCGTCCGATTGGGGTATTCATGTTAAACTGCGGCATGGTATCTCAGTTGACTAGCACTATAAACTCGGCATTAAGGGGCTAAAACTAGGACTGGTCAGCTCGGAGTCAGTATACTGTGTCTGAGTGGGGTATTCATGTTAAACTGCGGCATGGTATCTCAGTGTGCTAGCACTATAAATCGGCATCAGTCTGGACTAGTACAAGCATCCACACAAACACACACACACGTACATGCACGTCGCTATATAAGTGCAATAATTTTGGACGCGACGTTAAACCCCATTTCACCTCACCTCACCCAAAAGGAAAACGTTTAAAGCAACTATATCCACTACGAAACTTCTGGCCACCTTCCTTTTCATATATTTACGGGGAACAACAATAAATGGCGAATATTATGCCAACGTATCGAACACATTTGGGACCAGGTGTTCTCCTCCAGCAGGACAATGTTTAAGTTGACACCAGTTTCAATGTGGATACGACCTTATACCCCAAACACCTTATTCATCAAATCTGACCCCTAGATACTACCACCTGTTTCGACATTTGACAATAACACTTGGGTGGTCAGAGATTTAACAAGGATCAAGAATTGGTTGCTGATGTGGAGTGCTGGTTGACAGACCAGAATTTGCCTCCTACAAAGCAGGGACAACTGATCTGGAGATGAGATGGAAAAATTGTACTGAAGTACAAGGGGACATTGTTGAAAAATAAATTAAAGCTTCCGACAATATTGAAGTTTTTTGTATGTAGGCTAAAATAACTTTTGATTCTCCTCGTACCTTGTCCTTTGAAAAACACGTAACGTTTTTTACTTAATCAGTGTCTTATCTACCAATAATGAGGTATGTACCCTGAACCTACCTCGACCACAACAGTGGCTTTCCCTGTGTTTACCCTCCCTGTATCCGGCATGTCAGCTGCCTCCACCGTCAGGGTGTAAGCAAAGTCCTGTGCCTCCAGCTGTTCGTAGTCGACCTTGGATGCATCCACCATTAGGGACGTTCCCTGCACGGTAAACACACCCGCCTCTGCACCTCCAGTGTTTGAGAGAGTCACGTTCACCTGCCCGCTGTTGCCACTGTCAGCGTCACTTATGGTAAAGTTTGCAAGTTCCAGTGCTGTTAGAAGAAATACGTGCAGGGTTCGAAATTCCTTGTTTTAAGTGCTAATGACACGCTTACAATCGCATTGATTAAAATGGGTTGCTGGTGCCTGAAGGGTACACTTAGAATTGGGTTTTTTCCTGGAAAAACTTTTGTTATGGTATGATTCCAGTGTCACATGTACTTTCGCACTGGTAAGCTGCAGAAACATGAAAACATGAACACCTCAACGCAAAGTTTGAATCTCAAAGTAAACCTGGGGATCCATGTAATGAGAAGCGTATTATCAGTCTTAATTAAAAGGAAGGGGACTTCCTGAATACCAACTGCTTTTCTATCGCGTTCCAAGAAAGGTCGAAAATATTCTTCTTGTGGGCAGACTTACATTCCAAAGAGTGAGTGGGTGAGTTTGGTTGGGTTTAACGCCGCTTTAACAGTATTCCCGTTATATCCGGGTGCGTCAGCTGAACGTGGTAAAAGCCCGAAGTGATGCAGGTCTCAGACGTTTACCACTTCGGGGAAACCCACGAGCACGGGTATGGTACTGACAAACCTAGAAACATAATCGGATCGAACCGAGATTCGAACCCACAATCATAGGTTTTTGGCGTGCCCAGGGGACGCAACTCTGTACAGCGAATCGCGGCGCCTTAGACGACTGGGTCACCAGTGCCCTCAAATTCCAACGACCACACTAAATAGTGGGATGAGTGCGCTGTGACATCTCATGAAAAGTATGGTTAAACAGATTTAAGTCAGATTTAAGACAAAACAATTTTCATAATCACAATAATAATAAATAATAGCGACAAATACATTTCCATAATTATGAGAAGATATCTCCATTGCACAATTCAAACAATATCATGAGGATACCGAGTGTTCGCAAAAAGTTGGCACCCATCACAAACACACGAAAAGACAAGTAAATTTTTCACCAGGAGAAAACACTGGAACATACGGTAAAGGTCAAATAAGGAATTGCATCTGTATCACTGATACGTCAAATGTGAAACGTCCTTCACATGTCTACCAGAAAACGTTTTGAAAGCTGTACTTATTATGGATTATGAAAATAATGGACGGATTAGATGGATAGATTAAACAAAGTCAGATATATGTTACAGTACAATTTATACGTACTCTGAGTTCCATTTTCTGTGACATTGAAGCGGAATATGATATCTTCAAAAGTCGGAATGTTGTCATTGATATCGTTGATTGTGATCGTCAACGACTCATTAAGCTTGTTTGTTCCCTTGTCTGTGACGGTCACAGTCAATTTGTTGATCACTTTTATTCCACTGGCACCATCAAAATCGATTCTTTGTTTCAATGTAACCTTCCCGCTTGCCTCATCGATGTTGAAATACTTGTTGTCATCTCCTGTTAATACGAGAAATCAAAAACAAAATATGGCAATGTTTGCTTTCCAACATAACGCAGTCAACTGGCTGCAAATGGTGTGATGTTGCAATACAATACGATTGCCTATATAACATGAATAAAGAATAAGGAATTACGACATGAGACAATGCCACGTATTGCTGTGACCACTAGAATAGGTCTTCAGCAACCCATGCTTGCCGCGAAAGGCGACTATGCTTGTCGTAAGAGGCGACTAACGGGATTGGGTGGTCAGGCTCGCTGACTTGGTTGATGCATGTCATCGTATCCCAATTGCGTAGATCGATGTTCATGATGTCAATCAGCGGATTGCCTAATATTGAAGCAACGCGTTGATAAGATGGTTTCCACAACGCACACACATCCAAGAACATGAAATGGTTGGTCCCCCTTCTGAATCAGAGAGTTAAAAGAACTACCTACCCTCCAGCCCAAACTTGAGTGTGTCGTCCTTATCCTTGTCAGTGGCCGAGAACAGACCCCCGACCACGCTGCCGATCTGTCTCTCCTCGGCCAGGGATGCTGAAGGCGTCACTTTCAGCGCTGGCTTCTCGTCGTACACGTTCGTCACCGTCACCAACAGGGAAAGGGTACTTTCTCTCTGTCCGGTACTGCCTCTGTGTATATTTTAGAATATGTATACAAGTACTTACCGCCAAAAGAAACGCGAACCACATAAACATATACGTTAAGAAGAGATGTTTCCAACGTGTACCACGGAGTGAATGTTTTTTGTTGTTGTTTATTTGTTGTTTAACGCCGCACTCAGAAATATTCCAGCTATATGACGGCGGTCTGTAAATAATCGAGTCTTTACCAGACAAACCAGTCATTGACATCATGAGCATCGATCTACGCAATGGGATACGATGACATGCATCAACCAAGTAAGCGAGCCTCACCACCCGAAACCGTTAGTAGCCTTGCCATTTACGACAAGCATATATAGTCGCCTTAAATTTACGGCAAGAATGGGTTGCTGAGGACCTATTCTAACCCGAATCTTTACGGGTCTATTTCCATTGACGACTGTCAGAATTGACAATAATGCAAACGTTTACATTGTTTGTAAATACCATGTTTGATTTGTACATATTGGTGATCTTAGTAATAACATTCCTTAGATTATAATAAAATATTTTACCGGTAGAGAGAGAGAGAGAGAGAGAGAGAGAGAGAGAGAGAGAGAGAGAGAGAGAGAGAGAGAGAGAGAGAGAGAGAGATGGAAGTACACGATGAGAACAAAAAGAAATGATAGGACTGACACAGGTGGACACAAAGTGTTCACAATAGTGGGAGCTGCACCCCTCCCCCACCAGATCCAACAGTGCAAAGCTAAACGTGCCGCTGAAAACAACGGTTTGGATTTCAAATGCTTCCTAAATAAGCGTTATCAAAGTAAGGTTCCAGGGCTATGATTTGGACCTGTATTCATAAAGTGCAACCGGTGCATCATGTGCAACCAATACGATTACAATGAGAATGAATATATTCTGACATGGGATATATTCATCTGGGCCCACTTGCACAAAGCGATCATAGTGCTAAGATGATCGTAACTCCCATGCTTTTTACAATAGTTGTAGCGCTAAGATCGCTTTGTGCAAGTGGGCCCAGGACTTTGTCCACTTGTAACGAGCGCTCCACAACAACGTGTTCTTGGCGTCAACACAAAATGAAAAAAAAAGAATATGGAATGTGGAAGTAAAGTTTAAAAAGTTTTGCAACAGATTCAGAGAATTACACTTCGTAGCTGCTGCTGCTACTCCGGAAGAACGAAATCCAAAAGTTCTGAGTTTATAAGAGGGGACAACTCTTTCTCTGGTTGCAGAAACGTAGGAATATACATCTGCCTGGGTTCTGACACGTCCCAGGGAACAAATAATATATCCATTAACAATTTTCAAAGTGTATGAGACGAATGACAGCCCGTGTATTCCTACCATATATACCTATGTGAGATTTCCGTGACGGAACACGTCCGCACTTTATGTATGTTGTGATATCCAGCCTCAGGGGGCACGGGTGGCCCAGTCGTCTAAGGCGCCGCGATTTGCTGTGCAGAGTTGCATCCCTTGGACACGCCAGAAACCTATGATTGTGGGTTCGAATCCCGGTTCGCCCCGATTATGTTTCTAGGTTTGTCAGCACCATACCCGGGCTCGTGGGTTTCACCGATGTGGTAAACGTCTGAGACCTGCATCACTTCGGGCTTTCCTCCCACATTAAGCTGACACGCCGTGATATAACGGGAATACTGTTAAAAGCGGCGTTAAACCCAATTCACTCACTCACTCCAGTCTAAGAAAGGATCGGGGAGTAAAGCTGAGCTGCGTCAAGCAATAAATTTTTACTTTATTTATCCAAACTATGTGAATGGCTAGTGCTACCGGTAGGACAGGACATGCTTACACTTTTCGCCAATACCTGGTGTCATCACTGATTTTCAGTGGTCCATTCACAAATTTCCACAACTATTTGCCCTTTACGCAAGTGGAATCTGTTTCGGCAGAAAATCTTGGTTGGTTATTTTCTTGCACCGACAATTTATATCATCACGTTTGATTTGAACACTTCGTCGTCATTAAAACATAACGATATGACAACATATTGTTTTAACATAGTAGGTTATTAGGTTTCACCCTACTCGCTGGAGTGTTTCTTTTCACATGGCATCAACTACGGACCTGTCTCACATGATTAATAACATGCCACTGTGTCATAATTTAATATCTTCAATACATTACGACTTAAACATGAAATCCCAGTCGCTAAGTAGAGTGGCGTCCCTTAGACGTGCCAGAATCCAATGATCGTGTAACGGATCCGCCCTGTTTATGATTCTTGGTTTGTAGACACCATTCCCATGCTCGCGGGTTTGACCAAAGTGGTGAACTTCTTGGACATATATATCATCGGAAATTCTTCCCATATCAAAGTGACACGCTGTGGGAGAACTGATCATATACTCTTTGGTGAACTAAGGTCACTCTCTCACCATGAAAATCCGAATCCATAAAAATAATCAACCCGTGAAGATCCGGAGTAGAATAGGTCTTCAGCAACCCAGGCCTGCCGCAAAAGGCGACTATGCATGTCGTAAGAGGCGACTAACGGGATCGGGTGGTCAGGCTCGCTGACTTGGTTGATGCATGTCATCGATCCCAATTGCATCGATGCTCATGATGTCATTCACTGGATTGTTTGGTCCAGACTCGATTATTTACAGACTGCCGTCATATAGATGGAATATTTCTGAGTGCGGCGTAAAACAACAAACCATACATAAAAATCGAACAACAATGACATACGTGGGGATTCCATGTCAGTATTTAGGTCCCCAGGAAACACTGCTTGTCGTAAGCGGCTGCAAAATATCCTAATTGTGTGGATGATCGATGCTCGTGATCACTGGATTTTCTGGTCTAGATTCGATTATTTACAGACCGCCATCACACAGCTGTAATATTGCTAAGTGAGGCGATAACCAACAAACACATAAACATAGAACAGCGATCGGAAAAGGTTTTTACCTCACTTTAACCATGTGGTATTCATTTTCCTCATAATCCAACTTCTTGATCAGCTTGATATTAGATCCTTCAGCTTTGAACACACTGGCCCATTTTTCAATGACCTCGTAGGTCATGTTCCCCGGTCCTTGATCTGGCATCGTGAACACGACCGCTCCGATGTCCTTGCCCTCTGATACCTCTGCCTCAAAGGAAGACTGATTCATTTTCATCTGAGGTAGGACCTTGTGAATCTTAATCCTAGTGGTGCCAGACACACTCCTTGGCGGACTCCCACTGTCGGCTGCTGTGAACTTCAGATTGTAGTGTTCGGAAGCCGCGTTCTTCATGCTCTTTATGAGTTTCAGTATCCCTGACGTTTTATCTAACGTCATTACATCCGTCACGTTGGCTCCAGTGTCTGAAGCAGAATGAGTTGTCGGTAAATCAAAGTTATTTCTTACTAGAATTATCAAATTAAGTATATATCAATAAAATAGTTCATACAATTATTATAACTCCATGACACAGCTTCACTCGCTGTTTTCATACGAGTGAAGTGATCCCGAATTACCTGCATGTGAAAACTTTCGCTTTTGTCATTCAAATAAAACGGGAACACATTGGCTGTTCGTTAAACACTTTTTCATTGATCAGCTGCATTCACAAGATATTTTATGCGAAGGTAGATGAGATGTACGAGTTTTTAAAAACAAATACGTGACACGAAACTAGAGTGGGTAAGTGAGTATGGTTTTACGCCGCTTTTAGAAATATTCCAGCAATATCACGGCGGGGGACACCAGAAATGGGCTTCACACATTGTACCCATGTCGGGAATCGAACCCGGGTTTTCGGCGTGATGAGCGAACGCTTTAATCACTAGGCTACCCGACCGCTCCTATTAAACTAGACACAATGCTAGAAGATAGATGAAACTCCACATAATACTATGCTTTATGAAACGAGAGAGGGGAGCCAGCAAAGACTCACACCAACGATCGCTCAGATTAAAAAGCGCTGACGGTAATATTTCTCGCTTGAAAACGGTCGTCGGCTTCACACATTACCTCAATGCCTCAAGACCGTGAATTATTCACGATGCAAAAAAAAGTAAATACCTGATGTCACTGAATCCAATGAATATGACAAAGTCCCATCCATCCCCAAATCGTCGTCAGTTGCTATGTAAGCAGCTATTACAGTGCCTTTAGGTGTCGAGTCCATTATGGTAATGTTGGGGAAGGATCCATCTTGTTCAGGGGCCGGGGACTTCCACTGTGGGTCAAATTCATTTTTCGGCAGAACCTAAGGAATATCGATACATGATTAAAATTTGTTTATGAGTCAAATGAGGGAAACTCTGATACGGTCGTAAATAATGCAAATGACCATATGAAGTATTTAAACACTCTGTGAAAAAATAAAAATGTCAACTGTTAAGAGACGTGTTGCTTATTCAATATCTTGTATTTCACTTGTATCAAATGTTAATCAAGTTATGAATACTTCATTTACCTATTATTTCACGTGCAAGAAATTTAATGGATTTTTCGTATTTGAATCAATGTCTGTCATTTAAGATTGTTCTTGGAAAAAATCATGAGATGCTAATCTTTTACTATTTGATCATAACAAACAATCACAAACATCAAACACAATGTAAAAACACATTGCTAAGTATCAGACAATACGAAGTTTCGACACGACATCGTATTAAGGTAACTCTACGCATTTGATTGTGTTATTATTCACATGCATGAATAGTGGAACCTCATTATCCCGGACTTTCTTACTCCGAAATGCGGACATTACGTGCGTTTCAGTAATAAGCAAATCGTGATGACGAAATTTGTTTCAAAACTGTAGCATCCAGAGTAGTGAAGTTCCGCCAATATAAAGAATACATACTACATCACTCCGTGTTAGTATGACGTTAAATCTGAAACAAACGTCACATCTATATAAAATGTTTGAAAATCCAATGGAATGTTGTTTACAATAAAAATATAAAAATATTAAACTCATGGTACGAATGATAATTTCTTATTATCCATGTTTCGTTCTTAATGCAAATATTTCATAATGTGTTAAGGCACACAAAGGCTAAATACACTTTACAATGCCATATGTATCTGCGTTAATAATTCAATAACTAATAACATGCATGTATTTAGTTTCTTTTTCAAGAGCCCTTGGACGTTGATACTCCATTAAGAATCTCATGACGGTTCACAACATCCCATACTTGTACTGAGAGTTGGCAAAATGAGAATCGGGTGGATACAAAGTGTGAACCGCCTGACTGTCACCCTTCCCCAGCGTTGATTGTTGTTCTTGTTATCAACCACTGGTTCGCCTAGCCAAGATTCATAAAAAGGTCCACTATAAAATATTCTAAAAGATTGCTGACTGTGACGTAAAACAACATTTTGTTTCACTGTTGCCACAATATCTGTTCGCCTGTTTCAGGGTATTGAAACATCAACTTGATAAATAAACTTATAGCAACTATGAACCTATTCCTGCTATGGGACGTAACTGTGCAGTGTACCGTTCATTGTATGACCTTATGCAGTAAAGCCCACTCAATACAGACGGTACCGTTGCCAGCTAAAACGACCGGACTAAACAATGTCCAGACTTACTGGCAACAGCAAACAATAAGAAGAGGTTTTCGAATTATCCCTGTCCGAATTAACTCAGATTTACTTAATTTAAGTTGTAAATACGTTCCCATGTTGTTACCTTGACAAACACCAAGACAGTGGCCGTCATCGCCTTGTCTTTATCGGGTTTATCTACTGCGATTATCGAGATCAACATAGGATTATCTCTGAGGGTTTCAAAATCAATATTTTGGCCATGCACAATGAGGTCACTGTCATTTAGGGTGAACGCGTTGGCAATTGTTTTTCCCATAATCTGAAGAGAAAATTCTCCATTTGTGCCGGCATCCATGTCTGAGCAGTTCAGGGCCTTTATCACATCTGAAAAGGTGAATATTTAACAAAGACATTACACAGATCCTAAGAGTGACCATTTCAAAATATTTGATGTCCATTTTTAATACTTAGTTTATGGCTCCGAAAGATCAAGAATTATAAGGGTAGAAAAAATCAGGTGGTCAGGCTCGCTGACTTTGTTGATACATTTCATCGTATCTCATTTTGGTAGATTGATGCTCATGATGTCAATCATTGGATTGTCTGGTCCAGACGCGATTATTTACAGTCCGGTGTCATATAGCTGGAATATTGCAATATAACAACAAACAAACAAAATCAATAGAAAGGACAAATCTGCAAATATAAAGGGTCATTAAGCACACGAAGCAGCACGTATCATTCCATTGTTGTATACAGTAAACTACGTTTATACCGAACACGCTTATAAAGAACTGACGGATATAACGAAGGTATTGTTTGGTCCCGGCCATTTGTTATATATATTTATCATTTAACTAAAGCATTTATCCATGACATAAGCTTATGACATAAAAACATGTATGTCATACCCCAATGACATAAGTATGCAAATTAGATATGCAAATTAGATAACCGGAAGTGGGACTTTTTTCGCCGGTGCACGTGAGTAGGTGTTTACAAACAACATGGATACCTTTGATGTTGGAGACATTATTTCAATTATTCTGCAAGTCTGTTCAAGTATTTTGTTTAAAATAATCCGAGGAACTTTTTTTCTCAGCGAAGGAATATGCGATAAAGGAGTTAAGAGGTTGTTTATTTTGGTTTACACGGCAATGGAAAACATGTATCACTACGCACGATCTATACGTAAGATTTCGACAAGTTGCTGATGTTAATGTTTAATGTAATTATTCCTTAATTGGGAAGCAAAAATGTGAAAATGATAAATATAATTCATTACTCGTGTTTTTTAATATGGGAAATATCAACCTCGTCCCGTTAATGGGTATTTGCCTCGCCAAAGGCTCGGCAAATACCGATTAACTAAGACTCGGTTGATATTTCCCATATTAAAAAACACGAGTAATGAATTATATTTATCATTTTCACATTTTTGCTTATAACGAACTACAGTTGTAACAAACTAAAATCAGTGGTCCCTTTGAGTTCGTTATAACCGTAGTTTACTAGTTAACACTAATGACATAAAAAAGGATTATAAAAAGACATGCGCCCACCCACATTATGGTTTGGAAATATTATCGGTAACCCAGTGATGAAAACTTGTATTCAAGTTAAATTTAACGTGGCGTAGAATATTTTCAAATATTACTGAAATGTCACCGTTTTCAGTTTTGATCAGACCGCCTCCGTGGTCTAGAGCGTCCGCCCGGAGAGCGGAAGGTCCGGGGTTCGATCCCCGACCGCGTCATACCAAAAGACGTTAAAAGATGGAACTTGTTGTTACCCTGTCTGCGCTCGGCATTAAGGGGCTAAAACAAGGACTGGTCGGCTCGGAGTCAGTATACTGTGTCTGAGTGGGGTATTCATGATAAACTGCGGCATGGTATCTCAGTGAGCTAGCACTATAAATCGGCATCAGTCCGGACTAGTACAAGCAGCCACACAAACACACATACACGTACATGCACGTCGCTATATAAGTGCAATAATCTTGGATGCGACGTTAAACCCCATTTCACCTCACCTCACCTCACCCAGTTTTGATCATGCTTATATCAACTATAAGGTTGTCTAGGGACTGGTCATATATCATTGGGCCGGTGGGTGGTGGTGAGGTTAGGAAGGTGGGCATGACTAATTGTTTTCTTTTTCTTTAAATAATAAGGGATTATGATATTTATGTATTATGTATTTTGTAAAGATGGGCTTGAAAATATGTTACATGAAATATGGGCCAACAGTCCCGGACCAATCCCCCTACTAATAAATTACTAGTAACGTATCATTAACATTAGTTCAACCTTTAGTATAGATGATATACACCTTGGGACTTTGCTTACGTGTGTACTAGCATCCATGTGTGAGATTTTCGGCTTATTGTAAGAAAATGTATACTTATCGTACCAGTTGTATTTTCTGTCACAGAGTATTTTAACACTCTCGGTTCACACTGGGGGCCGTTATCATTTCTGTCACGTATGGAGATGTTGAACATTACACTCGAGGCCAGTCCGCCCCTATCTGTCACTGTCAAGTTTAAACCATCGAGCATCTGGCGTCCGTCTTCCCCATCAGCATCTATTTTCTTGGCGATACTCATTTGCCCACTGGTGGCGTCTAATTCAAAATAGGCACTGTCGTTCCCTGTACAGAGAGTAATGTAGACAAATACTTCCCAATCAATTATAGACAGTGTGTGAAACGTACTGTTTGTTTGTTTGTTGTTTAACGCCGCACTCAGCAATATTCCAGCTATATGACGGCGGTCTGTAAATAATCGAGTCTGGACCAGACAAGCCAAGACAAGTCAGAGAGCCTGACAACCCGATCCCGTTAGTCGCCACGTACGACAAGCATAGTCGCCTCTTAAGACAAGCAAGGGTTGCTGAAACCTATTCTACCTCGGATCTTCACGGGTATTGCTTCGGCTGAGATGACTGTGCCACTCGTGCCCCCGATTGACAAATTAAAGCACCACTGTTTTAATGTGCCGAGAAGACCAGACAATCCAGTAATTGACATCATGAGCCTCGATCCATGCAATTTGGATACGATGACATGCATCAACCAAGTCAGCAAGCCTGACCACCCGATCCCGTTAGTCGTCTCTTACGACAAGCATAGTCGCCTTTTAAGGCAAGCATGGGTTGCTGAAGACCTAATCTTCCCGGATCAAAAGCGTTTGGCATTATCAAAGTATGAATATAATACACTGGATAATTGAGGATTGGCTAATTAATATTGTGAAAAAGTTTTGCATCATCAAAGTATGAATTAGCTAATCCTCAATAATCCAGTGTATTATATCTATATTCCATTGTGATAAGTACCCTGGACCCTATTGTCTCCGTAGTTTCGGTTTGAAATATCCTCCCAATCAAATTACTCTCACAAGCGAGAGAATTTATGTGCTAAATCGAGATAGGAGAGATGGTGAACAAAATTATACGCTGGATAATGGAGTGTGACATTAGTCTATATTACATACATAGTATCTGAGCGAAAAGCTTTATCAATGACTTACATTAAGGAGACAAACACCACATACCATTCAGAACGAACGTGAGCTTATCATCCTTGTCGTTGTCCTTGACCTTGTATATGCCACTTATGAAGGACCCTACTTCCATCTCCTCTGGAAGTTCACGAACATCTGAAAGCTTTATTTCAGGAGCTTCATCATACACATTTTCCACTGAAATGTGCACGAAAAAAGGAACGTCATTTTCGTCGTCACTTGCACTGAAACAAATCCATGTGAAGGTGAGCCATGAAATAATCCTGTGTAATATATTAAGTACCTCATGGATGTGCTTGGAAACCTTTGTTTGTATTATCGTGACATAATCGTTGCACATCATTATCAGAGGGCACTACATTTGCTTCTGAGGATTGCAATAATTGAATGCACTGATGCCCCCTCAGCGTCAAAGACGTCGTTTGACGACCGAGGAATTAGGCATGCTTGAAACTGGGTCAACAAAACGTCATGTTCTAAACGTCTTTGGCGTTAGCCAAAGTGTGATCAACAGGGCATGAACTCGACACCAGACGTTTGGATCAGCTACCCAGCGACAAGCAGGTGGTCGACAATGTTCCACCACACAGCGAGTAGACAGGTTCCTCCTGATGCAGCAAGACGTCATAATTTCGTGACTGCCACCATGCTCAAACATGACCTGCGGAACGCTAGTGGCGTTAACGTTTCTACTCAGACAGTTCGTAATCGTCTCAGTGAGGATGATTTTGGGGCACCGAAGGCATGCAATCGCATCCCAAAGACCCGACATCACAGGCACGCACGTTTGGATTGGCTGGAGATCATGACTGGGCTCCAGTACTTTTCACTGTTAAATCGAGATACTATCCAGACTTGGACGATAACGCACAACCACGGTTTGCAAGGATCGTTGATGCCTACTTAGAGCAGGAGACCATTATCCGCATAGAGTGGCCCGCCCTGTCACCTGACGTCGACCCTGTCGAATACATGTGGAACGACCCGCAGATCGTCCTCTCACGACGCCCTGTCCCTTCGGCAACTCTACAGGAATACTCTTACTGAAGAGCGGAACAATCTTCCCTTGGCAACCTTCCAGACACTTATTGGGAGCATGAGACGACGGTGCCAGGCTATGCTCGCATCACGTGAATCACATACGCGCTACTAAGAGGTTGTTTGTTTTTACATTGAATGTATTTTCATGAGTTTTTACGTTTCAATGTTGGTCAGATACTCTCATTTTGACGGGTGATCTGGCTGCTTATTGGTCGAATGTTTGTTGCATTGTGTGGCACATGACAACGGACATTTGTTCATGAAACATGTCTTCGCGCAATACTGTCTTTAGCTATTTCAACAGATGGATACAATTTGACGTATAACCTTTTAAAGTGGTGATCCTTAGAAACCGTTCAGTATTACAATGTACATAATGTCCGAAAATAATGTAAACCAAGAGGTCTTTTCTTAGCTCTCAACAACTGCCACTAACGCAGTGATGTTCAAAAATAATAATTTACTTACCTTGCTTTAATGATGTAAAATGACTTTTCTTCATAATCCAGTTCCTTCACTGATATAAGAGTGTGCGTGTCGAATGTGAATTCACTGGACATTTTCCCATCTACTTTAAGTGTAACGTTCCCGCCATCAGGATCGCTGGTGGTAACATTGAGAACTTGTCTCCCTTTTTTAGTGGATTCAGGCACCGAGACACTAAACATGGTTTTCTCCAGATAAGGCGGCTGGTTGCCTGAATGTTTGATCTTGACTCGTAGAGAGCCTTGTATTGAATTGGGGAAGAGCCCGCTGTCTGTTGCCATGACAATTACATCATAATATTTGACGGTTTTGATGTCCAGCTGTTTCAGAAGACTGTCTTGAAGATATAAATTCCCTGTTGATTCATCCATTGAAAACAAGCCTGTCACATTTTCATCTGTATCTAAACACAGGAAAATGAACACAAAAAAAGAATCGATCATAGTCAATGAATCAACAGTAATATCGGGTCATTCATACAGCCCTCATATTTTAATAATCCAAAATGTTAATGTTGTGTGCAACTATTCATATCTGAACATTTATAAATAACACATGTGCATGCATGTTCATAGATAACTGGAAACAAAGCCATTAAGTTTCCAGAAATATGAATTCGAAAAATATTTTGATTATATTTGTTAATGTTTGATCTTGATATAAAATGTATTGCTGTCAGTAACATTGACTCCGCCATGTTGACTGCTAAAACCTGTTTCAATATTTAGGAAAGTCGTAAATAATTATTTATTGTCTTATGGAGGACACGTGTGAGTAATTATGTTTTTGACGGGAGCGCATTGACGGAATCCTTTACCCTAAATAGTAGGGGATGCCTAATGGTGAAAGCGTTCGCGCGTCACACCGGGGTTCGATTCCCCACATGGGTACAATGTGTGAAGCCCATTTCTGCCGTGATATTGCTGCTGGATAATTGCTAAAAGCGGTTTAAAACCATACTCACTCACTCATTCGCCCTAAATACATGATTTGTAATGTGGAGATATTACGTTACGATTTCTTTGATAGCAATTTCGAGTTTCTTGTATGCTGAATATAATGTTTGAAATTGATGATGATTTCACTCATCATTACTATAATTGTTTATAAATGACGCATATTTAGATCTATACATAACGTCCAAGAAGTGGTCATTGATGTGCTTCGAACTCAGGCGCCTATCAATTAAATGCGCCTATTCCATACGTTAAAAAATATCCTGCATACCACCTGTACCGAGTTAGAGCTATATTGAAAAGCGCAATAGCGAGGGAACACTGTACTCTTGTTTTCGGACAGGCAGATTGGATAGGAATATATATATATAGTGGAAGCTGCAACTAAAATCACACGATATTTGAAGATATTATTCCTGATAAAATAATAATTTCAGATAAATTTTTTTTCAAACAATTGCATCAAAATCATTGGGTGATTGATGTAGTTACCGAGCTATCAAAACAATACCATGGAATTGGGAAATAATTGAAATGATGTCAAGAATTGAAAACACCAGTTTCAATTTGGTCATTCTTTGTGTACTGAAGAAAACCGTTAGTTTTGAAGATATGCTCACATCCCTGTGAAATGAGTCAAAGTCAAACTTGTTGCCATGAAAATGGAACAAATAATAATTCTAAAAATCCTTAAATAGCAAAAGGCATCAGTTGACAATTTGGTCTCTGTGTGTACAGAATTTAATGAAAGAATATCTATTAGTTTTGGAGATATGGTCCGATAAACACACCACTATGAGTCAAAGTCAAACTGTTGCCATGGAAACGGAAAAAATTATATTGTAAACATTCCTAAATAGGAAAAGGCATTAACTGACACCCTGAATTTTGAGCGTGCCAAGTTTCATGAAGGAATATCTATTAGTTTTAGAGATATGATCCGGACCCATAAAAATATTATGGACGGACGCACAGACACGCTGAATACTATACCACACACACACACACACACACACACACACACACACACACACACACACACACACACACACACACACCCATATCACATACCAGGGGGATAATAAGATGACCTTTCTGAGTCTAAATTTTATAGACTATTTACGATTTAAAAGACACTGTACCTTTTGAGACGGTCCCTAGAGTATATGTGACATGTCCGTCAGTGCCCGTGTCCTGGTCAGTAGCCTGGAACATGGAGATGACCGTCTCTGTCCTGGCGTCCTGGGGGACAGTTACGGGTGGGAATGTCCCATTGTCAGACTCAGGGTACTTCCACACTGGTGAAAACTCGTTCTTTGACAGTGTCTAAACAGAAGTTGTAATACGTTCATACGGTATGTAATACTCATAAGCAAATGTAACTTAGTCTGATAATGGTCTTCTTTATCGTTTTTGTGATGTTTATAAAATAAAAAGGAACACTTTCCAATGTCATATCTGAAATGAACAGAATTAATCGAACGTTTCCGACTGTATATCAAGCATAGTGTCATCACCATTGGATAGTGATACACATGATATAGTCAGAATTGTACAATGGACTATGCTGTGACAAAATTTCTTATAATCTTGGAGTTTTGTTGCTTGAGTAAAACATATAACTTGAAGATTTAAACTGATTTAAAAAGTTTCATTAGGGAGAATTCGGAACCCCAGCAAGCTTCCTAAAAACTCTCTTTTTCTGTTTCGACGTTTCAAACTCTGCCCAGCAAATCGGGTCTTCAGACTTTGTGGTGAAATGTGTTCTTTTCAGACATTATGGAGAGCATTGCGGTTACTTTCATTGCCAATTAGAGAAAATGTAATGTGTTTCTTTCACTTTGTCCCCATAACAAACATCAAAACGGCCTCACGTTCCCCTGTTCTGTCTTAACAAATAGTTGAGTGTGTGCATAGTTAAATGACTGCCCAATCTGTCAAGCCATGTTGTCCATACCTTCAAAATAATTATTTACTTCGCGTTGTCAAATTAATTTTTACTTGACCACAGGACCCGTGAAGATTCCGGGGTAGAAAAGGTCTTCAGCAACCCATGCTTGGCTAAAATGTGATTGTGCTTATCGTAAAGGCGACTAACGGGATCGGGTGGTCAGGCCCGCTGACTTGGTTGATGCATGTCATCGATCCCAATTGCGGGGATCGATGCTCATGATATTAATCGCTGGATTGTCTGGTCCAGACTCGATTATTTACAGACCGTTGTCATATAGCTGGAATATTGCTGAGTGCGGCGTTAAACGACAAACCAACCAACCAATCAACTTGACCACAGTTACTTTGAGTATTGAGCATTCATGTTATTATATCTTGTTTATTGGGTCCATATACTGCAAAGTATGAATACATAATGTAACTTTATATTTCAACAAAATATCAACTCCCTAAATTGAAGTTTAAACTTTAGGTAAGTAAGAGGTTGATATACCTGCACATATATCATGACATTAGTACTCTGACAGTCCTCCCTGCCAGGTCTGTCTTCAAGAAGGATGGTAAGGATGTATGACGATGCCCCTTCCTCCAGCGCCTCAAAGTCTATGCTGTTGCCTTCCACATACAGTTCCGTCCCCGACACTGTAAAGGTGATGTTGTCAGGTGCTCCCTTCAGCGTGGTGGTGAGGTTCACGTCGTCACTGTCACTGTCTGAGCATGTCAGACTCAGTAGTGGGTGATCTGTACGTTGAAGGAAGAACGTTAAATTGCTGAGTCATCTGTTTTACGAAACACATGCCTGTGGGTCCCATAAATTGTGGAATGACATAACAGGACATACAATGGTTATTGCATTGCCTTAGTGCACAGAAGTGCTAAACATTATTTGTTTGTTTCTCGTTTAACGGCGCACTCAGCAATATTCAATAATCGAGTCTGGACCAGACAATCTAGTGAGCATCGATCCACATTAGGATACGATGACATGCATCAACCAAGTCAGCGAGCCTGACCACCCGATCCCGTTGTTGCCTCTTACAACAAGCACAGTCGCCTTTTACGGCAAGCATGGGTTGCTGAAGACCTATTCTACCCTTGATCTAACTTCGTAACAAAAAGTGTAAAATGAAGAACATGCCTAACATTCAAAGTGCAGGTTCGAGTGGTGAATTCGATTACCTCATACATGAATTAACATCCAATAAATGTTTGGACCAGATGGTTTGGTTGATGTATTAATCATAGATTTTTAACGCCGCACTCGACAGTATGCTGATAACAGGACAGTGAACGTTGTTCAGCCTATATTAGTAGAAATATATCGAGATGAAAATTGGTAACGCCCCTCCTGTATATTTGAAAACGAACTGTCCAAAATTAAACTGTTAGAATACTATTTCTTCTGAAAGCAAAACACAATTACTCGACCCAAAACACATTTCACAAAAAATGGTCTTTGCTATTGTTTCATAAAATAATCTTTACATATTTGGCTATATTTGGCTTTTGATATTATTCTTGTTCTGAATCCAGCAACTGCCATCACTGCTATGGTTGCAAAGCTTACACGTACCGTAAGTCGTATTCTCGGTCACATTGATCCTGTAGAGAGCCTGTGTACAAACAGGAGCATTGTCGTTGATATCGGTGATGGTGATGTTCAGTGAAGTGTTGGCAGAGTTACCTCCCTTGTCAGTGACGACCAGTACAAGGTCATGAAGTTCACGAACCCCAGAACGTCCGTCGTGATTGATCAAACTTTTTACAACCATCTCTCCCGAAGACACGTTGATGTCAAAATAAGTCGAGTCGTTTCCTGTAACAATAGGTACATGTTGAATTTGTAAAGTGAACGCCAATTATGTCTGTGCAGGATTAACGCCGCAATTAACCACCCTGCTTTTTCACTCTGGTGAACCAACCACAAAGTCCATGCTAATTTACAAGATTTTTATAATCAGTGTTCCCTTCAGCTTGGTCTTTCGATAAAGTTGAGACAGAAAATGCACCTTATCTGTCGACGGAGTCCATAGGAAGTACCAATCAGCAACGAGTATCTTAACGCATGGTAAGATAAGGTTATATGCCATGTGTTTCATTGACGCGCAATTATTGTTTGTTACTGTTGGTACTACGCATTCCTACGCATTCTGGATATGTTATCGTTGATACCTGCTTTGAAAAATGCGGTACATGGCTGTTATCTGAAAAAAGTGACAAGGTAACCCATAAATTTTATATGCTGGAAAATGACGAACTTCATTATAATGACATGATTATGTTTTATTGAGACACTTATCAAAGGTAGTTGAGTACACTTAACATAGCATATACGAGAGAAATATAAGGGAGATAAGGTGTGTTTTAGGTCGTGTGCCAGCCGTCACTGATCTTCCCGAGGCAAGCATGTCAGCTAGCCTATATCAAAAGCCTAGTTTTCACCCATCAAGCCCACTTTTCTTTGCTCGATCCTGGCGCCACATCACGTAGATCACGAGTTGTGCCCCTTGTAATGAAAACGCGACATCCAATCAGATTGCTGTTCTCATATCGTATGGCTCCACAAAGATTGTGACTACCATAGACGACGACCTTGTCGATCAGAAAACGAACATATTACCGATTTCATCCCTGACAGACAAACACAGGCAATCATCGACGGGTTTAAACGATGAAAAAAACATGTTCGTGTCAACAAAGAAAGTCAGGGTTAAATCACTTTCATACGAAAATGTACCAGTTGTGGATGACGATTTTGTGAAACGTTCTCGTATTTAGCACAGGAAAGTGGGCTTGATATGGCAAGGGTCGAAACAGGGCTTTGATAAAAAGACAAGTGGACACTCTTGCCTCGGGAAATATGGCTGTCAAGGTGTCCGTCAAATGGTTCGACATCAATACAGAGGAAGATATTTTAGATAAACAGGCAACAATTATGCCCGTAAGATAATTTCGTTGTCAACTGGTCAATCGGGTATATGGTGTGATGTACCCTGTGTTCGAGCCTAACTGTAGGTTCACGTAGGTACATCATACCCAATACTCATCGAGACTGGTTGACAAATAATATCACTGCGTATTGTTGAACGTGTTGGCACGGGTGGCCTAGTCGTCATCGCTGTGCAGAGTTGCGTCCCTCGGACATGCCAAAAACCTATGATCGTGGGTTCGAATCTCCGTTAACCCTGATTATGTTCCTATGTTTGTCAGCCCTCGGGAGTTTCACAAAAGTGGTAAACGTCTACGTCTACGTCCATGCGCTGCGTCATTTCGGGCATTCCTCCCACATCAAGCTGACACGCCAAGATATACTGTTCAGTGCCGCGTTAAACAGACATATTGGTGTCAACAAAGACAGGCAGTAGAAAAGCACTTACATACGAATGTAAAGTTCTGAGAATGACTGATCTCGTCACCTTGCCGCTTACAAGCGCAGTACTTGGGCGACTTGATTGAAAACATCGAAATACTTATAGAATATTGCTCTTCGCTTAATTGTTGAAAGAACTTCAACGCAAATTCGAAAATCTACATGTTTTCGAGCCCGGATGTTGATTTTGTGAAACGTTCTCTGATTGGACTGTCAATATGTGAGATAGGCCAATCACATTTAGCACAGGAAAGTTGATTTGATGTGGCAAGGGTGGAAACTAGGCTTTGATATAGGATAGTGGACATGTTGCCCTCGGGGAGATGGCATAATGATTATACATACCCATGAGAGTGTAAGTCAAATAATCTCCCCTGTCCCTGTCCTTCACATTGAAGATACCGCTGATGACAGATCCAACAGGAATCTCCTCTCGAATTTCTCTGACATCGGAGAGTGTGATCACTGGGACTTCGTCATATAGGTTCTCCACAGATACGTGTATAATGAATGATACATCATTTTCACCGTCACTGGCACTGAAGACAAAGAGGGTAACATGAACAAATTCAGTCATATGAAGTGTGATAACATTACATTTAGTCAATTGACCGTGGGGATCCCACCCCGATGGCGTGGGACGATGCTCACAATATCAATCACCTTGATTGTCTGGTCATGACTCGATTATTTACAGGCCGTCTTCATGTAGCTGAAAAACTGCTGAGTGCGGTGTTAAACAACAACAAAAAAAAACACGTACTGAATTAGGAATGCAAATGTCTGTACGAATTCGTCCAAGTAAATTCAAAGAACCTTGCTATCACACCAGTGTTTGCAAAGTGGATAAACGTTTCCCTACACCATCGTGAGTTAAGATCGAAGATGCTGTGCAGATTGCCAACTCAAATACTTTACTGAATATCTGCTATACAATATGTTCATGTATGTAACATTATTTGTTTTCAGAATCTATTTCATCAACAAAATCAACAATATTCGTAGTTTTCAAGAATGAAGCAGGCATTAGCAAAATATTTTATTACCTTGCTTGTAAAATGTAAAAACTCCTCTTCTCGTAATCCAACACAGCTTTGGTTACCAACCCGAGGCCATCAAACTGAAAAACACCTTCATCCTTCCCCGTCCTAGACAGTGTAACGTTGCCCCCATCAGGATCAGTCGCAGTGATGTTGACCACGACGGTGCCTACTCCAGCCGACTCGGCCACTGATACACTGTACACTGTCTTCTCGATATAGGGAGGCTGGTTGTTGGAATGTTTGACCTTCACTTTGATGACCCCTTGGATTTTCTCTTGCGGGAAGCCATTGTCCCGGGCCAGGATTTGTATGTCGTAATACTTGATGTCCTGGATACCTTTCTGTTTCAGCATGCTCTCCTTCAGGTACAAATTCCCAGTTTGTGGGTGGATCTCGAATAGTCCAGTAATGTTGTCACCGTTATCTGTTGACAAAAATGTTGAAAGAATCGATGTTAACAGAACATGTTAAGAACATAACTATTTTGTAATTTTCACCAATAATGATGGCAACTTGTATTGCTCAACAGGCACGGGTGGCCCAGTCGTCAAAAGCGCGACAATTCGCTGTGCAGAGTTGCATCCGTGGGGCAAGCCAGAAACCTATGATTATGGGTTCGAATCCCGGTTTGCCCCGATTATGTTTCTAGGTTTGACAGCACCATACCCGTGCTCGTGGGTTTCACCGAAGTAGTAAACGTCTGTGACAAGCATCACTTCAGGCTTTCCTGGGCGGTCGGGTAGCCTAGTGGTTAAAGCGTTCGCTCGTCACACCGAAGACCCGGGTTCGATTCCCAACATGGGTACAATGTGTGAAGCCCATTTCTGGTGTCCCCCGCCGTGATATTGCTGGAATATTGCTAAAAGCGGCGTAAAACCGTACTCACTCACTCAGGCTTTCCTACAACATCAATCTGACATGCCGTTAAATAACTGGAAGAAGCAGCGTTAAACTGAACTCACTCATTCACTATATTGCCTTCAGGCTATATGACGGTGATACATTTTTAACTCTAAGACATAGAGACCTTCGAATATATGTCCATATGTAGATCGATATGAGCGTATTTAACCACTGCACCGAAAGGATTTTGTCAGGACCTTACAATTACATCATCTTCAGCTATAAATATAGGATTATGAAGTTATCGAGATGTCATTGTATACAAATGCTATAGTACCGACAATGTGTAACAATGTGTCAGGCACTATGTGACAACCTGGTTTTTGTGTGTGCAAAGTTTCATGAGAAATACTTATTAGTCTTAGAGATATGATCCGGACAAAAAAAATATTATGGACGGACGGAAGCACAGAAAAGCTGATTACAATATCCCCCCGTATTACATACCAGGGGGATAATAAAATGACCTTTCTGAGTCTAAATTTTATATACGATTTACGATTTACAGGACACGGTACCTTTTGAGACGGCCCCTAGAGTATATGTGACGTGTCCGTCCGTGCCCGTGTCCTGGTCAGTGGCCTGGAACATGGAGATGACCGTGTCTGTCCTGGCGTCCTGGGGGACAGTTACGTGTGGGAATGTCCCATTGTCAGGTTTAGGGATCTTCCACACTGGCGCAAACTCATTCTTTGAAAGAACCTAGAGATCGAGAACTTCAGACATTCATAATGGATACACCGTGTACATACTAGAGACAATAGAGACAGTATACGTGTATACACATACTGCAGATGTTTTGTACATACTGAGACAGTACGAAAAAGACTCTGCATACATATACATAAGGGATTTTTTTATAAACAGGGGGATAAAATGAGCATACTGAAGACAAAATGTACAAAAATACATTCAGGAGAAACTGTGTATTATCAGAGAAACTGTAAACGTGGTAGTACTGGTACATACAGGAGAAGCTTGAACCACAGAGGAGATTCTTTATAGTTTCAGACTTAGTCACATATCTATCTTCAATGGTTCAGGACAATTTGTCAAAAACGAAAGCAAATGTCATTCTGGGAAAACAAAATGTGAAATGCTTGACATCCTCATTGATAACAACCATGTAAAATTTGGGGGTAATCCTTTTAGTCAAGAAGTAGGCATCCCTATGGCAGCAATTGTGACCCCTTCTTGTGGATCTGGTTCTATAATATAGGATGCACTGCTTACAAGCAGATGTGTTTTGTAGAAGATACATACGACAAATACCACACTACTCTTAACTGGGGCGGTTAGGTAGCCCAGTGGTTAAAGTGTTCGCTCGTCACACAAGTAGTTGCATCCTTGAATATTGCTAAAAATGGCGTAAAACCATACTCACTCACTCAATCACTACTCTTAACTACAAACTAAAGACACAAAGCTTTGATAAGTTACCCTTTAAAGTAAAGCATGAGCGTTAGGCAACTTTTATGAGTAGTTTTCTAAGAATACTTACATAAAATACTATCTTGTAAAAGTGACTTGTAGTATCATCCTCATTTTAAACTACTTTAATCTTTCTACACATTCCTCATTATCTACCTACCAACAGCTCAAAAACAGAATATCTTATAAATTGTATTTTAACTTTTTAGATCCCTCAGGCTCCAGTACAAAAGGCATGTAGAAACGAAAGTCTTTCCCCGATTAAAGGGTACATATCCTTCATGTACACTACAATAAGGGCACATTCTTCTGACATCTGCAGATTTTCTATATTATCTATACAACACTGGATGAAAGGTTGATATACCTGCACATATATCATGACATTAGTACTCTGACAGTCCACGCTGCCAGGTCTGTCTTCAAGAAGGATGGTAAGGATGTATGACGATGCCCCTTCCTTCAGCGCCTCAAAGTCTATGCTGTCGCCTTCCACATACAGTTCCGTCCCCGACACCGTAAAGGTGATGTTGTCAGGTGCTCCCTTCAGCGTGGTGGTGAGGTTCACGTCGTCACTGTCACTGTCTGAGCATGTCAGTCTCAGTAGTGGATGTTCTGTACGTGGGAAGAAGAATGTTACATTGCTGAGTCATCTGTTTTACGAAACACATACCTGAACGTCACATACACATACATTGTGGGTTGACATGTTACAGGATATAAAACCGTATTAAAACGATCACCGAAGTGCCTAACTTTGTTTCCAAACAGTTTATGTAAGATGAAGAACACATTTATTCATGCGTCCTCTGGTTCTAAGACTAGTCCCACAATGGAACCATGCATACGATCATTCCTTGCACGAACTAAGTGCTACAAGATATTTCCACATACATCATTTTCATTATGACGCTTATGTCAAAGATATTGGAAAATATACACTCTAACACACGCATTATAACACACGCTGTGTCCCATATATATTGACACCTACATGTCACCTACATTGTATCTCATGCATTATGTTGTTATGCATTCATACACATTAGGACAGATACTATACCAACGAACATACAAGGGGTTTTTTTCATTTCATTTCTAAATAATAATTTTCTTAAATTTGATACAGAGTCTGTGTGAGATGTGAGACAACGTGGACCCATTTGGTTAATCAAACTTAACAGAGCAATCCAATACTTTCGCTAAATTGTTGATGTTACATCCAAATGAATACCACTACATGTCAGCAAGTGACCAGACAATTAACCCCGTATGACTATGTATGAGTTCCGTCCTACTGGCGCGTACCATTAAGAAGAAATGGGTAGTGGGTGGACAAGTCCTTTCTCGGCTCTAACGAGTTCTAGTGACGAGTTCAAGAGCACATAATAGTACGCGCTGATGTGAGGCACCGATGACTGTGAAAACGGTTGCATAAAATTTGCATAGATAACAATGAAGGGGATCCGTAGCTGTCAAAATGGAATACCTTTATTACCCCAGAGAACAATAATGAATAGTGTCATGTCATTCATCAAGTGATTGTGAAGGATGAGACCTTAAGGTCGTGATAGTTGACTCAATGACATTACCCCATGTGATTGTGTATAGGGTTTCAGCATACTGTAAACGTAATATTGCTAGCTGGATTTATACTGAGATAACTGGATAATCATAGGACTAGTCTTCATATTCTGATGCGGTTTCTGTATCTCATCCACTCGTTTGACAGCTGTCCATTTTTCTTTCAACCGCTATTTCCCGTTGCCAGTAGCCATCTTCAACACACCGGACATGCTTACAACATTCTGACTATTCCTTGGCACCGATTGCAGACATTCGTTCTCTCACATGCAGTTCGAAGCGATGTTTCCTTGTGAACTGCAAGTTTTGTTTGGCAACAAGTTTCTTCTCATTAACCCATATCAAGTCAATTGAGTTTAAGTATTCATATTAAAGAGGTAAACGCAGAAAAGCCTGTCAATGTTGTTTTAGCATGGTATCTTCCATCTATCATCAACGCAAGATCAAGCCTTTGCAACCATGCTTTTATTTCATTTCTATTAGCGGTTGTTGGGCATTTATCCACTTGCTTGCTATGATATGATAGGTTGTCCAAAGCAATGACGGGCTTATCAGACTTAATGACGGTGGAATATTGGGGATCAGATTTTCCTGCAACCGTGTGGAGAAATTATCCCATCTCATTATGTTAATCACCTGTTTTTTAGTTTTGCATTCAATATAAGCAGTGTTTTTGGCACTGATCCGTTCTCGGACCCTGCATGTCCTATGATCAGCTGAGGTCTGGCCCCGGGCGGGGGTTGAACACCACCTATACCCATATCACCCTCCAACTGCCAACATTTTGGGACAGTGTGGTGCACACACAACCACGTTTCTTCAATAAAGATGATTGGCCGGTTCTCATCTCGGTTGTTTTTCATATTGCACGTAAGTACTGCATGCACTTTGAAACAATATATTTCCGTTTCATTAACACCTTCCAATTGGACTGCGCTTTAGGCCTTTCTAAAAACTGAAATGTTTAAAGATAAGCATACACTTTCTCCAGAACTCCCATAATTCAGATCAGTATTGATCATGTCATATAAATGTCTTGAGTTGGCAGTGTTTTCGCACTACATTCGAATTGTGTACAACTTGGCGAACAGCGCCCTGGTCGAAACGTCAAGTTGCGATTTGATGACGATTTTGCGAAGTATACCGGTGAGCTTTAGTGTAGATACAGACAGACCAGAGGCAATGCCAGCTTTTGACAATGGTTGAGATATCTTTGTATGTCTTTCTCCATGTAATTTATGACATTATAGGCCAATTCTCAAACCTGAGAATGTATGATTTGGACATGCTTACCTAGCTCTCACATGTTTGTTTGTTTGAAAATATTTCTTCAAACGACTTTGAGAGAATTCTGGTATCGACTTGTCACACCGACCTCTTAATTGTCTTGTGAGCAACACGTGTGTCCATGGGAGTGTAGTCAATTTCATCGTCATGACCTGCACACGCACAGTAACCATGCACCCTTTCTAACTGGAACAAACTATGACTCAGCAATCTTTGCCCAACTTCTGTGAACAGGCTACATGCACATGTCTCAAATGCATTTTGTGAGTTGGTTCAACTTATTCTGGATTACCAGTAAGCAATGGCCAATCTTCTCTCTTCACACAACCAGCCTGACATCTCATTTATACTTCAAATATCTTATCTGTTTGTGACTAATTGTTTATCCTTAAATAATATTCTTATTGTAAAAATATTTGTTACCCTAAAATTAAGTTTCCAAAAACAACTACCTTCAGTACTTTTGTCACCAAGCTTATACTTACCGTAATTTCTATTCTCCGTCACATTGATCCTGTAGAGAGCCTGTGTACAAACTGGAGAGTTGTCGTTGATATCGGTGACGGTGATGTTCAGTGAAGCGTTTGCAGAGTTACCTCCCTTGTCAGTGACGATCAGTACAAGGTCAACAAATTCATGAAGTCCAGAACTTTCGTCGTAATTGATCAAACGTTTTATAGCCATTTCTCCTGATGAAACGTCGATGTCAAAATACGCCGAGTCATTTCCTAAAATACGAGCAGAAATGTGAATGTCTTAAAACATATTAGTCATGACCTGTGTTAAATCACCTTTTACAATTGGCCATGCTTCAGTCCACTGACTTGGAGATAACTGACTTCAACTCTGAGATACAAACTCCTGAGCATTGAAAAGAATAAAACAGTACAGAACAGTCATCAACTGTTCTACCAATGAAGGTCAATCACCCAGCGATATTGATGAACACTTGTATTGTATTGAAAAATAGGAGATCGCAGGGATGTGTGTGTAGAGTTTCGGATAATAACTCCTCTTTTGTCAGTGTTGTTGCAATAAATTTCGTGATTTGGGTGTGGACACATACTCCGTCTTCTTACAGTTAAATTTTAATTTGGGAAGCGTGACAGAGTTGATGCATATCGCTGATGTTACCATGGCAGGATACTATAGGAACCATTATCTGTGTCATTTTCAATTTGAATCAATAACAAACGGGTGGAATATTCACACATGCAAACTCCATTACTGATATTTTCTTAGGCAACCATTCCCGGAATTTGAAGGAGTAGGGAGAGAAGGAGAGAAGCTCTAGAAACAAATGATAAAGTTCCAGACCTTATCAACGGTCAATGTTACCAACATTATATAAGCATGTATAGTGCCAATTGGAACACCTGATAACTTACCACAGTTAGCCGCAACACCTTCAACCATTTGGGCCCATGCATCACCCCTACTTAAAATATCAAAGGTAAACCTAAACAAATCCACCCATGACTGACGGAGTGATAAGACAAACACTTACCTGTGAGAGAGTAATTCAGGTTATCTCCCCTGTCCCTGTCCTTCACATTGAATATGTCACTGATGATGGACCCAACAGGCATCTCCTCCCGAATTCCTCTGACATCAGAGAGTGTGATCACTGGAACCTCGTCATAAAGGTTCTCCACAGATACGTGTACGATGAATGATGCATCACTTTCACCGTCACTGGCACTGAAGATTACAAATGCGTTTCAGTGTGCATATAACACTTAAGATACATGAACAGGGGTGTTTCTTATATGGCATATTTTGATATTGGACCTTGTAAACTGTTTCAGGTTTTTCCTGCATGTACCTCTCGATATGGCAATTCCTCACTATTCTTGATTTTCATCAAAACCAAATTTAAATTGACAGACCGGCAAAAGAAAGTATAAACCCATGTTTGATTGGGGCTATAAATGAAACAAACAAGAAACAGGTTTTTCGATGGTGAAGTAATGAGCAGGTATTGTCATGATCTGATTGAGTTGGTTCACAGATACCAGACATTAAGACATTGTGATGTTTTGATACGTTCTGTTGTCTGGCCGTTTAGCATCTCACCTTGTCAACATGGAACCCTTGAGAAAACGTATTTCTAGATCATTAAATAAAAAATACCTATTCTCATAATCCACAGAAGGTTTTGTTATCTCGAGACCATCAAAGAAAATTACACCATTATCCTTCCATGCCCTCCACAAAGGTTTAACATGAATCCGTTCCAACAATTCGAATTATGATATAAAGCAAAATCCTAATCGACTTTTCAGATCTCAATAAATATCTTTAAAGTTCGAGCTTTGATAAGAGTCCTTTTAGGCCACCGGGATGTGCATAATTTAAGAGATGGGCAAAACCTTTGCAAATCATTGAGAGTTATTAGAGGTGTCATATAAATGAGAATTAAAGACTGATTTTAGATGTTTTGAAAAAGAATTTTGCAATATCTGAAAATGAACACGTCTTTGACCCAAGTTTATTTTCTTAGGAAATATAGCTAATAACCGTACAAACATATAAGATGAACACTTCTTTTGGGGTCATGGTCTTGCTTATATTTAGAATTTCTCTCGAACTTCCAAATTTCATTATTTTTTACTCATTTTAACTATTCTTATATATTTGGTTATGCCTTAATTCTAAAACTTATTACAAAGCAAAAAATGATTTTCAACCATTTAAACATGTGTGGTATGGGTTTCATGGCAATACTTCAGAGGTTTCTTTCACTTTAAAATTTGATATGCAAACTTAATTTTAGAATATTTTATTACCTTGCTTGTAAAATGTAATAACTCCGCTTCTCAAAATCCAACACAGTTTTGGTTACCAACCCGAGGCCATCAAACTGAAAAACACCTTCATCCTTCCCTGTCTTCGACAGTGTAACGTTGCCCCCATCAGGATCAGTCGCAGTGATGTTGACCACCACGGTGCCTACTCCAGCCGACTCGGACACTGATACACTGTACACTGTCTTCTCGATGTAGGGAGGTTGGTTGTTGGAATGTTTGACCTTCACTTGGATGACCCCCTGGATTTCCTCTTGCGGGAAACCATTGTCCCGGGCCAGGATTTGTATGTCGTAATACTTGATGTCCTGGATACCTTTCTGTTTCAGCATGCTCTCCTTCAGGTACAAATTCCCAGTTTGTGGGTGGATCTCGAATAGTCCAGTAATGTTGTCACCGTTATCTGTTGACAAACGTTGGGATTGTTTATGTTTAAGTTAACTAAATTACTAAAGCATGTACATTGTATGTATGTAAATCTATGCTTGAAAATGTGACATCAACCAGAAACAGGAATTCTCTAACAGGGTGTTACCGGACGTCACATACACATAAATATTTGAAGTGTTCACAAATCAAACAGACAATGAGTCGAATGGGATGCAAATATGTCATTAAAACCAATCGGTGTTGCCATGCAAAGAGGCATGCTTGTTACATTCTTCCGTCCATGTCCGATTTATTTTCTTTACCCGTGTTTCGTTTCAAACAAGAAAAGTCCGATCCTTCATTAGCTTAAGGCTTTCCAAGTACTTCATATTTCAGTTGTTGGTGCAGTAGTCACTGACCTCCCCAAATCAAGACTCTTGTCAAGCAATGTTCCAGCAGCTCCGGCTGCACAACTTTTGAGGAGCAATAGCGCATGCTCTCTCCATGAAACTTTCAAAAACGTCATTAGACTTGCTTGATCAGGGGTACAATATTCAAGGCCTTTCAAATATTTTATGATGGACATGTGGGGTACATTTCCAAACTTGACTCATCAGTGACAAAAAGGATGTCCGATGTTATTCCCTATTTCGAATTCACCTTGAACAATGCGTTCCTGTATTTGTTCAGGCGAACAATAGCTTTTGTATTAGTTTGTGATGGTTGCCAGCGGCGGGGCAGGATGTGCTCACCTTTTCGCGAACACCTGGTATCATCACTATTTAATAGTTTTATAAATGCATGTTAAATATGATAAACTGAGTGGGTGAGTGAGGTTTTACGCCGCTTTTGGCAATATTCCAGCAATATCGCGGCGAATGAACACTTTAACCACTAGGCTACCCGACCGCCCCAAATATGATAAAGTGATTGTAGTGCTTTTAACAGATATTTATTTCTTATGATTATGGAAAGGTATATGTCGTCTTTATTTAAATCATAGATTGATCCCTTGGAGGTGAGGTGTGGTTCATTTATATTGTACTTATATAGCGACGTGCATGCATGTGTGTGTTTGTGTATGTATGTTTGGCTGCTTGTACTAGCTGGATTTTATAGCTCTAGCCGTCTGAGATACCACGCCGCAGTTTAACATGAATACCTCACTCAGACACAGAATACTGACTCCGAGCCGACCAGTTCTTGTTTTAGTTCCTTAATGCCGAGCACTAGAAAGGGTATGACGCGGCCGGGATCGAACCCCGAACTTTCCGCTCTCGGATCACATAGATATGGAGGGACATCTAAGGTAAATCACGTGCGTCAGTGTGGGGGCTCACTTCACTTCAACACTTAAAAGAACATATTACCTTTTGAGACGGTCCCTAGAGTATATGTGACGTGTCCGTCTGTGCCCGTGTCCTGGTCAGTGGCCTGGAACATGGAGATGACCGTGTCTGTCCTGGCATCCTGGGGGACAGATACGGGTGGAAATGTCCCATTTGTAGACTCAGGGTACTTCCACACTGGCGAAAACTCGTTCTTTGACAGTATCTAAAAGAAACATAGCCGTACAAAATTAAAAATCGACACATAACATCAACATATTATAACTTGAGATTGCCACTAACTGTAACAATGTTTTTTGTAACATTTAAAAAAAAGACACATCAATATATGACAGGAATTTAGTTGATAGTTGGCCAGTACTCGGTGACATCCGGATAAATGAATCACAAGTTCAGAGCAGTTATTTCACGCACATGTTTGCAAACTCAAAATGGTTAGTCACAACACATGTATGTGTTGGCGTTATTTAGTTCCTCTCACTTCTCTCAAACGCTGGAGACATTTTGTAGCAGGCGTAGCAGATATAATTCATCTGATATCAACGCAGTTTCTGGTTTTAGGTGACCAAAATGTATTTGACAACCATTCACACGTCAAGTTGAAACCATAAACTGTTGGCTAAAATACTGGGGAGAACAGAGACCGATTCTCGACAAAAGTTTGCCCCAAAATAGTTTGCAAACAATTTTTGCAATGTTCACACACATAAAGTTATGTTTGCATGCATATATTGACAAAGTGTAAGTTTGTGGCGTGAAACCACCTCTGGTAATATGGGAAACATTGCGAGCAGAGACGAAGGGTGTAATTTTCTTTTCATTAAAATGTTTAGAATGGTCGAAGTGTGTGTACTCACTCTTCTATAGTCATAAATAAACCCAAATACGGGATAAAACATGTTCATAATAGCGCTAGAATATTTCTAATATCGGCGTGAAACCTTAATCATATTAGTTTAGTGCATTTTACAAAGAGTTAAATCATACAATAAATGCATTAATATTTAGGAGAAATGACAACAATAGGTCGTGCTTGAGGAAATATTTTAGGGACCGGTTATTTGATATTCTAGGGCAGCTGGGAGTTTTATTCTTTACAGAATATGTTTTCGGACACTTTTTTTAAACGCGCAATGTTTTTTGCTCTAAAAACCTGTTTTCTACCCACAAAACTATTTTCCGAAGCATCCAGCATATCTTATGAAAGATATATTTTTTTAATTTATTCGTAAAACCTCAGGCTTAATTTCTTTTTTCAAGTATTTTCGATAACAGAAAAGTATTTTAAAACCAAATGTACGGTTTCGTTGTATGTCAGTTCGGTCTGTATGGATGGCATTGGTGTCTTTAGAAGGAAGTTTTTTTTCTGAAATATCAGATCTGACGGGTGTCTTAGTATGTGATTAAGGTATTACCTGTACATCGATCATCACTGTCGCTGTCAAACTGTTTTCTCCGTCACCGTCTGCCACAGTAGCAATGAGTAGGAAATGTGTATCTTCAGGTTCCAGAGATTCTAAATCTATGTTGCTACCATCAGCAAATAGTTCAAGTCCCACAAGCCTGAATGTTGCATTAGGGATCATGCCATGTATGTGTGTTGTGAAATTGAAGGTGTTCTCATCTTCATCTGTACAAAGTAACGTCAGAATGGGTTCATCTGTAAATGGACAGATATCATAAAATATAAATGATTGCTTATTTCAATTTAATATGCAACGACTATGAAATCGCTACTTTTGCTCGTAAAAGTTGAAATCGCTACTATTTCTCGTAAAAGTTAGGTCCGTGAAGATCCGGGGTAGAATAGGTCTTCAGCAACACATGCTTGCCGTAAAGAGCGACTATGCTTGTCATAAGAGGCGACAGATGGGATCGGGTGGTCAAGCTCGCTGATTTGTTTGATGCATGTCATCGATCCCAACTGCGCGGATTTATGCTCACGTTATCAATCACTGGATTGTCTGGTCCTGAGTCGATTATTTGCAGACCGCCGTCTTATAGCTGGAATAGGGCGGTCGGGTAGCCTTGTGGTTAAAGCGTTCGCTCGTCACGCCGAAGACCCGATTCCCGATATGGGTACAATGTGTGAAGCCCATATTTCTGGTGTCCCCCGCCGTGATATTGCTGGAATATTGCTAAAAGCGGCGTAAAACCATACTCACTCACTCACTATAGCTGGAATATTGCTTGGTGCGGCATTAAACAACAAACAAACCAACCAACGTAAAAGATAATCTATCACTGATATTAAATCATTTGGTTTCAAACACATACGAGAAATACCTACAAGCCACCATTAAGGCTTACCATCGATTAATCGATGGCATGAATGTTAAATTTCCTTCTCCCTATCGAAAGATTGCCTCCGCAACCACAAAATAAGAATACTTGCAGATACGTCACCTTATTTCCTGTCAATTGCAAGAATAAACACCCTCTAAACAATATCTCACACTGAGTTTCAGATCTCATTACACAGTGTGTGATAACTAGTCCTGGCAACTAAGTGACACCCAACCCAAAATACCAATCACTCTTAGTGGTAGGATAACATATCTTCCTCGGGCCCACTCGGGTCCACTCGCCTTGCACAGCTACCAACAGCTACCAACATAACTACTTCTCGGGCAGCAAAGTAGCGACATTGTTCCAATGTAAATCGTAAGGCGTCATGTATGTCGCATACCATGACGTTTTCGAAAAGGTTTTCCAATCAGGAAATACCCTTTGATTTGAAGACAAAAGTAATCGAAAACAATTTGAACAGTTATATAACGTTCGCGACTGTCGCCAGTTTATGTGATAGTCACGTGCACGAAACCTGTTCCAATATGGATTCCTGTCAATGCTGGCCGAGGTCCTGTTTGTGTGAGATGAGCCGAATGCAGAGAAAGCTGGCACCGAATAGTACGGGGTTATCACGTGCAACAACCTACCAGAGGTCCAGATAGACGGCGTATTTGCGTAAAATACACACAATGAATCACCATAACCCAATTTGGAGTTGCTTGCGTACACATATGCATGAAACATTTTTTTTATTTTTTTTTAAACCAGTAGCAAACAATAGTGTGTATAAATAGCCAATGCAGCCATTTCAGCTTGCGTACCCGAATACCTTTACACCTGTTTATTTAATGATCGAATGTTAGCATAACCTACGTCTCGTTTATTGAAACTGAGATGTGTATCGCTGTTGTGCGACCTGTGACGAACCTGGGGTAGGACATGAACAGAAGAGGTGAAAGGTAAGGTGAAATTGGGTTTAACGTCGCGTCCAAGATTATTGTGTGTGTGGCTGCTTTTACTAGTCCGGACTGATGCCGATTTATAGTGCTAGCCAACCGAGATACCATGCCGCAGTTTAACATGAATACCCCACTCAAACACAGTATACTGACTCCGAGCCGACCAGTCCTTGTTTTAGCCCATTAATGCCGAGCGCCAGACGGGGTAACAACAAGTACCATCTTTGAACGTCTTTTAGTATGGCGTGGCCGGGGATCGAACCCCGGACCTTCCGCTCTCCGGGCGGACGCTCTACCACTAGACCACGGAGGCGGTCTGAACAGAAGACAACAGAAGTTACCTGAAGCAGCAGGTAAAGCAGAATTATTTTTAAAATTCATTTTTTACCTTACAGTCCCAACCCAGAGAGTAAAAATATATAGGACACCTAAAGAAAACAGCCAAATACCTAAAATGACTGATAACATATGAATAAATACTAATTGGTTCAATACTAATATCTAGATCCCTGACTTACCGTACGTAGTATTCTCTGTTACATTAGCTCTGTAGACATCCTGAGAACACAGTGGAGGGTTGTCGTTCACGTTCGTTACGTTGATACCGACAGAAACGTTGGCAGTGTTACCTCCCTTGTCAACCACACTCAGAATCAAATCATTGATGACCCGAGTGCCATTTGGACCGTCATAGTCTATCGCCGTCCTCATGAACATTGCACCCGTCAATTCGTCGATATCGAAATAGACACTGTCATTTCCTGTTGGATATAGATCAATATAAAAGTTGTAAAATTACTTTCGTAGCAGACATTCATATATATCATGAACTATGTTCAGGGTACATGCGATAATCTGGTAGCCTTGAGCGTCTGAGATATAATAAAATCTTTCAAAGCTATCTGTTGGTTGGTGATTTATCATATTTTACAATATTTTTACAGGACAGGGGTTGGATAGGATGTTTTATGGCCAAAGAATTGTCACGTCGCCAAGGCAATCGTTTAAGAAACGTCATGATAGATTATGTGACTGAGAAAATGTTGTATTTCTTTCAACACTTTCATGCTATGAACACACCATTATCAGTCTTTACTATATTTCCAAAGGAATCCTGCTTGGGTCAAAACCGTTAAAACTATTAAAGCCCCTCCGGAAAGCCCAAGTTTGGTCTTCTCGGCACATTAACACAGTGGTGCTTTAATTTGTCAATCGGGAGCCTGAGTGGCACAGTCATCCAAGGCGAAGCAATACTCGTGAAGATCCGTGGTAGAATAGGTCTTCAGCAACCCATGCTTGTCTTAAGAGGCGACTATGCTTGTCGTACGTGGCAACTAACGGGATCGGGTGGTCAGGCTCACTGACTTGGCTTGGCTTGTCTGGTCCAGACTCGATTATTTACCGACCGCCGTCATATAACTGGAATATTATATTGCTGAGTGTGGCATTAAATAACAAACAAAAACAAAACTTCCATGTGTGAGTTGAGTCCTGTGTCTGTCAGGTCTGCCCAAAACATATAATAGTGGGTTCGAATCCCGGTTCGCTGTGATAATATTTCTAAGTTGTCAGCACCATATCCGTGCTCGTAGGTTCCACCAAAGTGGTAAATGTCCAAACCTTCAAAAGACTTCCTCCTAAATCACTCCTTGATAAGAATGAAATACTGCTTTAAGCGGCGTTTATCCCAAGTCATTCAATATTATGAATAACAAACACAAATAAGTGCTGACAGTCATAAAAAAAACACGTCCGTTCACTGTCATGACACTATTTTGTTATGTTTTTTGTCTCTCGTGCGCCAATAGGTGATCCTTTAGTAATAGTTCTCACCACTTAGTGTGTAGTTAACGACGTCATCAATGTCCCTGTCCCCTACATGGAACAGCCTGTGGAGAGCAGCTCCCGCTGACAACCCTTCCTGCAGCTGTGTGGATTCCAGCGTGATTTCAGGTGTTTCGTCATACACGTTTGTCACAGTCACGTAGACTGAAGCAGAGGCGTCCTGCTCCCCATCAAAGGCCCTGGAACATGAATCATAAGCTTGAGTAAAATATTAACAATATTTCTAGCAATATCACGGTAGGGGACGTCAGAAATGGGCTTCACACATTCACCCATAGGGAAATCGAACCCGTGTGTTCGGCGTAACGAGCGAACGCTGTAACCTCGAGGCCACCCCAACCCAAATGATAAATGATAAATTCAATATAATTTTCACCACTATTTTGCCTTTTACGCCAAATGGCATCTGTTTCGGCAGATAATCGAGACTGGTTAATGTTTGGCGTTTAGCATGTATGAGTATTTAAGCACAGTTACAGCCAAGGCTACTCTAAGACTTGGTTTCACACATTGTACCTACTTTTGAACTCTAACCCAGGTGGTTGTTGGTGGTGTTTTTTTGTTTTACCCCGCACTCAGCAATATTCCAGCTATATGGCAGCGGTCTGCAAATAGTCGAGTCTGGACCGCACAATCCAGTGACTAACATCATGAGCATCGATCCACGCAATTGGGATACGATGACATGCATCAAACCAGTCAGCCTATTACGACATGCATTGTCGCCTTTGCGGCAAGCATGGAATGCTGAAGACCTTATTCTAACCCGGAACTTCACGGGTCTCTAACCTAGGTCTTCGGCATATTAAACGGACGTTGCAACAACTAGGCTTATCCACATATCTTATGAGATCCCTTAAACATGGAACTACCCCTATAACACCGTTTTATTTAAGTTTTTGTGACCGCCTCCTTGGTCTAGTGGTAGAGCGTCCGCCCGGAGACGATCCCCGGCCGCGTCATACTAAAACGACGTTAAAAGATGGTACTTGTTGTTGCCCTGTCTGGCGCTCGGCATTAAGGGGCTAAAACAAGGACTGGTCGGCTCGGAGTCAGTATACTGTGTCTGATTGAGGTATTCATGTTAAAACTGCGGCATGGTATCTCAGTGAGCTAGCACTATAAATCGGCATCAGTCCGGACTAGTACAAGCAGCCACACACACACACACACACGTGCATGCACGTCGCTATTTAAGTGCAATAATCTTGGACGCGACGTTAAACCCCATTTGACCTCACCTCACCTTGTTTTTTTTGGCCAGGTGGTCTAAGGTGCCGCAATTTGCAGTGTATCGATACATCCGCTGATGGTGGGGTTGAATCCCAAATTTGCTCCGATTATGAACCTGGAGTGTAAACTCTGTACGCATGGTAAGCGGGTTTACCACGGCGAGCTGACACACCGTGATATATTATAACTAAAATAGTGTTCAAAGCGGCGTTAAACCCAACTAACTCACATATGTTTCGTATATTTGTCGTTTATGCCGCGGTCGTGATTACGACGTCCTATAAAAGGTTATCCGGGCGTAATGATTCTTCACGATACAGCTGGAATATTGCCAGATGCGACGTAAAACAATATCTAATCAAGAGCACGCAAACATTCATTCAGACAAATTGGCAACCTACTTCACTTCGATGGCAAAAAACTTTTTCATTTCAAAATCCAAACTTTTCTGCAACGTTAACGCCAAATCTTCGAATTTGAAATAATCCGCATTGGTCTTCACGACATCTAAAGTCAGGTTCTTTCCTTCTGGATCAGAAGCGGTAACGTTTAGTATCACATCTCCAATATCCGTATCCTCCCCTACTTCCACTCTGTAAACAGTTTCTGCAAAGACTGGTGGCTGGTTGTTGATATGCTTGAGTCTGACCCTGATCTGACCTTGAACTGACTTTTTGACTGAGCCTCGATCTGATGCTTGGACTTCTATATCATAGTATTGTACATGTTCGCTGTCTTTTTCAGCTACCAAATTTCGCATAATAGCCAGGTTTCCCGTGGAATCATCTACAGTGAACAAACCCGTTGTGTTCTCTCCAGTATCTGAAAGAAAAAAGGGTCAGCAGTCAATTTATAATTAGCTTGACTTTCACTTTGTGTGAGTTCATTGGAGTTATAAACTTTCATAAAGTGAGGGCCAAACTGTATGAAAGTGGGAGCTGAACCTTCATAGAGTGATGGCCAAACTGTATGAAAGTCGGAGCTGAACCTTCAAAGAGTGAGGGCCAAACTGTATGAAAGTCGGAGCTGAACCTTCAAAGAGTGATGGCCAAACTGTATGAAAGTCGGAGCTGAACCTTTAAAGAGTGAGGGCCAAACTGTATGAAAGTCGGAGCTTGTCTCCCTAGAACACACACAAAGTGAAAGTCAATTCTTATGGTTTTTATCTCCATATTTGTTACCTCGAATGGCATAGGCCTAGATCTATACACAATTTTATTTAGTACATGTGACTTCATGTTTTCACTGAGAGCCATACAACAATCAGCTGTTTCGCGGAATAAAATAGTTCCTCAACATGACAGGTGACGTGGGAGTATGTATGCTCAACATGTTCTACAGGTACATCTGTTGTAGTTTGTCTACAACAAAGGTATTCGAATAACATCATCATTGGATGGGAAAGGTGTGTTAAGAACTACCTCAGTAAGTCAGTCAGAATAACAACGCGTCGTGATACATTTACATCAAGTACAAGACGTCAAAATGGCCGACACCATAAATGTGACGGGAGAGATTTCCTAAGTGGTTAATGAATCTGTGGCGGTCACATGTGTTGGTCATCATTGTGAATTGGCCGAACATTGAAAGGTGATTAATATTAAGATGTGCCAAATAGACACTCAGGTAAATTCATAGATTGCTGCAGACTGTCACTGTCCGTCTTGACACGGATCGAGTCAATACTACGATAATTTGGATATGAATTTCTTTATTTTGTTCACTAGAATGGGACGCAGCGAGAATATTCGTAAACGTTCACGCAGTCAAATTCTCTGACGTTTCTCAGTGTATGCTAAAACGCTGAGTTCAAAATTAAAGGGTTCAAATTATTAGAATCAACGCTTCTGTATGTATTCGTCCTAGGGAATTCCCAGGGGTTTTCCCCAAAGTAGTCCGTCAGTGTTAACGTCACTTCAAGAACACGGTCTCGTGAAAAACGTATGAACGTCAAATTGGCGGTCATGTAACAGACCTCTCGTTCAATGGAAAAGCTGTATATCGTGTAAACTTCAAATTAAACATGTATGTGGCATTATACAGATATTTGTCATGACATACCCAACAGTATATTCAACAAAGTACATGTTTAATAGTAAATGTTTTATGTCCATGAACCTGTTTTTGTACACACTGCATTCTTGACTGAAAATTATTTCGTTCTTAAGGGATTTCCTACATAGTATATATATACAAGGCCATTTCTGGTTACATTGCTCAAATATTGCTAAAAGCGACATAAAACTATACTCACTCACACTTTGCGGATACCCTAATTTTTTATCAAGTAAAAGTAGAAACTAGTTGTATACATGTGCAGAAAAAGTTCAAAAATATTTACCCGAAGTTGTGGATATAACGTTGAACTTAATTATTCCATCATCTCCAGCATCGTCGTCCTTGACCTTGAACGAGATGAGAACGGTGCCAACAGGAGCATTCTGGGATATATGAAGATCCGGAAATGACCCATTGATGTCTGGTTTGGGTGATGACCATTCCGGTTCATATTCGTTTGAAGGTTGTATCTGGTATAGGACAAAGTGGTTTCCAATTGTTATATAAGAAGAAGGGGGAAGATACACGTTCAATGTTGAAACCATCATACTATCAACGATGAAAGAATGACCGTGAATGCTGTATACGTATAACAGTATTGTTATGATTGACTATGATAGAAAGAATAATTAACAATATAAGTAAAAAAGATTCGATTTTTGAATATTATGTAAATGTATTCAGTTATGCATTTGAAATTCATAATCTGTTTAGAAACACCATTGCTTAGATGATAAATATACACAGAACTTCTACTTCATACACAAGAAGTTTCCGGAGATTTTGAAACCGAAAGGGTCGTTACTGGGGGGAAAATCAAAATATGCCAAACAAATCGGCACTACAGTGCAGTAGCATAGGAACGTGTTGACTAAAGGTATGCACGTTTTTCTACATATAATTACTTGGGGCACGGGTGGCCCAGTCGTCTAAGGCGCCGCGATTCGCTGTGCAGAGTTGCATCCCTTGGGCACGCCAGAAACCTATGATTGCAGGTTCGAATCCCGGTTCGCCCCGATTATGTTTCTAGGTTTGTCAGCACCATACCCTTGCTCGTGGGTTTCACCGAAGTGGTAAACGTCTGAGACCTGCATCACTTCGGGCTTTCCTCCCACATTAAGCTGACACGCCGCGATATAACTGGAATACTGTTAAAAGCGGCGTTAAACCCAAACTCACTCACTCACTCACATATTATTACTAATATAATCTTCACTATTGATAGTTTATTTGACAATTGACTGCAATATATTTTACTGTTGTTGGGGTACAAACACAAAAGATATTTGATAAACAATAAGTCAACAATAATAACTTCACAGATTGCTAATTTAATCATAACCACACAGCATTATAGACAAAGATACGAATCCAGTCACATCGTTCAGCATAAGAATGCAACACAATCCCCGCCCACTCCATTATGAGCCAATCAGGAGTCCTCTAGTAGAGTAGCCTTATGTAGCTGGGGTTTATGGAATATAAAGGCAAACAAAATTGCTGGTTTGGCCAATTAAATGCCAAAGAATCATTTCCAATGTATAAATTACGTTGTGACATTTGTTGAAATTGGCGTAATGTGAACTGCCTTGTATGTAACATAACAGCTGAGAAGTGTAAAGGTAAAATTGGCACAGGATACTTGTACTGCCAAAAGGCCTGTGAAACTCTACACCGTTAGACTACTCCCTAGAGCATTTTTAAATAATTATGTGAAAATCACAAAATTCCCCAGTTCCGTTAATCTGCAAATTTGTTCATCAGGACGTTGTAACATGGGAATGGTTTCATACGAATTAACGGGGTTCGATTACATCTGTATAGATTGGAATATCAAGTCAAACTTATCAAACCAAAATTGCGGAATCCTTGGACAGATATGGTACTGACGGACCAATAACAATTATCGGGGACATTGTGGAATACGATTTGTTTGTTTGTTTAACGCCGCACTCAGCAAAATTCAAGCTATATGACGGCGGTCTGTAAATAATCGAGTCTGGACCAGACAATCCAGTGATTGAAATCATGAGCATCGATCCACGTAATTGAGATACGATGACGTGCATCAACCAAGTCAGTGAGCCTGACCACCAGATCCCGTTAGTCGCCTCTTACGACAAGCATAGTCGCCTTTACGGCAAGCAAGGGTTGCTGAAGACCTATTCTCCTCCGGATCTTTACGGGTCCTACGAACTCACGTCCAGTCACGATGACTTAAAACAAACTCTGCAAATCGAGTTGCGGCGCTTCAGACAACTGGGCCATCTGTGTCCCCTGTGTGTTAAAAGGTCATTGGTCAAACTCACCAGGACATGAACAAGGACAGTGGCAGTGTTGACCCGCCCACGACTTCCGTTCTGTTGATCCGTTACAAGGACGGCCAGGAGGAATGGTTGTTGGTGTACACAACATTGCTCGAAATCAATTTCTCTATCCAAATAAAGGCTAAGGCCATTCGTCTTGAACATCGTATAATGGTTTCCATCTTTAATCTCTGAAGTCAGGTTGGTTGTATTATCGTCTATGTCTTGGCAGTCCAGTGTGAAGATTGAATCATCTGAAAGAGAAACTCACTTTAAGCAAAGAAGGCTTCATTTAAATAATAGGGTTTTCTATAATGTTTTCTTTTCCTGATGCTCTTCGTCAGTTACTGTTACTCTCATTTCTGTAGATATTAAGATAAATACTGCTTTAATTTGTTTATTTCACTTTAAACAAGACAAAAATCAAAGCGACAAGAGCCTTTCCAAAATCAGAAATATCTGCTAAAATCGTCACTATGAATCACTATTAAGTGGTAATGATACTAAGTGTTCGCGAAAAGGTGAGCGTATTCAACACCGCCGATGGCACCCGTTACAAACACATGCAATGACAAGTCAAGTGTTGACCCAAACATGGTGAAAATATTACAACTTCCAAACTAAATTACACTCACCATTTAAAAATGATAGGGACTCCTTACTTGTGGGTGTGTTTTCTGTGATGTTTACTGTATACAGGGTGTCTGAACATATTGGGGCATTGTCGTTTATGTTCGAAATTGTAACGTTGAACGTTACGTTGGCCGTGTTGCCTCCCTTGTCCACAACAGTCAAGGTCAAATCATCCAGGAAGTGACGACCATTATCGCCATCAAAGTCCACAGCCTTTCTAATTCGGATCTCCAGAGATGTTGGATTTATGTCGAAGTACTGACTGTCATTGCCTGTTGGAATGTTTGTATAAATCATATTAGAATATTTCATAACAAAAATGTTGTAATCTATCTTATCTGTAAAACAGTATATATTTTCGCAAAAATAATGAATATGTATGGCACAGTATCATACACTTGTTTCTTCCTGTATTCTAAGTGATGTCACGGCGTTGTTAGCAAAGCGTCTTAACAAATTTAAACTTACACGTGGTGATACCGGGTATGAATACATGCTTTATCACACAAAACTGGCTTCCACGGGAGTAATCGCTTGGGTGAGATCAAGCAATATCTCTGAGGATATACTGCTTCAATAAAATGGCATCACAGTACTTGCAGACCATTGTGACCTCATCGCTAATCATGGCGTCACTATCAAATGACATCAGTATTCTCTCTGCCACCAAAACTGGTTAGCTTTACTTTACTTTACTGCTTATTACTGTTTACAAACTGAAAAAAGTTGGAAGAATTATTTTGGATTATGAATATAAATCCTACCTTCGTGTCTTTTGATATCAAATACATCAACACTTCGACAAGCCTCGGTGTTTAAAAATTTTATCGACTTGTGTTGATATACTGTAAAACAGGAATTTAATGCGACATGAAAATAATGCGAGCTCTTGATTTTAGACATTAATGCGCATTTTAAATATGCGAGTGCCCATACTCTTTCCTAAACATTTACGGGCTGGATTTATGTTCTGTGTTATTTTAATTAATGTAACCTACGTAAATAAAAACCTTACCTGAAAACGCTTCGTTTGTTTCAAATGACGTTTTGAGCAGAAACTGTGAGCAGACAGAGATAAATAAAATAACTGTGCACTATAAATCCCCTGTCCATGTTTTTTCATTGAGATTCCTACCTTATTTTAATATTATTTAAGCTAACTGTCCGTATGTTTGACGGTCAAGCGTGAGAATGGTTTCCTTGCAGCTATCATTGTGTTAGTGTTGTTTTAGTTGACAGTCTGTTGGTACTAGTATATACGTTCGGCCCTTTGATGAAAAGAAGTAGAAAACAGATCAGTGTATCGAATAAGGGGGATTATGCTGATAGGATATTCTCAAATAATCAGGTGACAATCCTCACACACCTGTTGACCTGCGATATCAAAAGACACTCGGGTGAGATTCTCTATGAAACACTAGAAGTGCATAGTCGATTATGACGCTTGCTAAGTGGACAATGTCTGGGGGTTCAACTCAGACAACATTATTGCAATACCATATACCCATTTCCTTGTTTTCTGTCAGTTCGCTGAACATTATTTCCCAAATTCCGCTATGCGTTTTCATAGTGTGTCAGTATTTCCCGCTGCCTTGAACGGTGTTTCAGATAAATGAACGGTGTAATCAACGATCAACATTCCTTGTTGCGACGAAAGGACTTAACGCTTAGTCAATCCGTGTCCTTATATGTATCGTGAATAGTTTAATAGTTAAATATGAGAACACAACGCTTGCAAAGTGATCATACGGTCACGTTATCATTATACAGGCTGTCAAATGGATATCGTAGCTGTCCAGATGTAACTGGACGTGCGGTATATCAAATTCTTATTAAGCAAGGTTCAAGCTCACCATTCAACACCAAGGTAAGACTGTCATTGAAATCCGTATCCTCAACTGTGAATAGGTGAACTACAGTACCCGGTGGTATTTCTTCTGGTATTTCTAGAGGGTCTTTAGTTAATATCACAGGGTCTTCATCGTTGATATCCAGAACTTCTACAGACACAGTTGCAAGTGTTTCGTGTTTACCGTCACTTGCACTGAAAACCAAAGAATCTTGGTCTCATTGTTATAGTGACGGCAAGGTACTACTAGCCTAGAAGATAAAAACCGGGTTCTTCAATCGGAAGTCCCAGGTTGGAATCGCAATAGGAGAACAAAATGTAAGGCTGTGGAGTGCTGAAAATATGACTAACACTCTCAGTGAGGAAAATGATCTCAGGATGAAGATGCAAACAATGTAATCAGTATTCAAAATCGTTTAGTAGCTGCAATGAATCAAAGCGAATTGAAACGTTGTGAAAGGTCCAATAAAAGGAGCAGCTGGGTGAATGTTGTTTGTTGCAATATTCTAACTTTGTCACAGTGTCCTTAAGTGTGGGCTGAATAAACCAGTGGTTGTCAGTAAGAACACATCACATCAGACTACCCCTGAAATGTTTGACAAGTCCATTTTACGAATAGGTGGGTTAAGTCTGGTATTTCCCTCATATTCTCACAATCCTCACATCGATTTTCTGTACCGTTCCTCCTTATACCGATTGTAATATCTCTCCCACTTTTGGGTGCGATCGTTTGGCCACTGCGTTTATCTGTGTAGCCCAGCTATATATATGGGGAACAACTTACTAGACACTTCCCTCTCAAAAATAACGTTGTCTAATATATAACGTTATCAAGTTGCGAGCGCATATTCGAATCTCCAGAAATAACGTCATGATGGAACAATGTTTTATTGGAAATAAACCACGCTTCGTTTCTCATTGTTCTTTGCGATTTATCGCGAAGCTATCGTAATTAATGTGAAACCCACGATCACAGGTACGGTGTGGACAAGCCACGGATCACAATCAGGGCGAATCTGGAGAAACAATAAACTTCTCTGACCTTACGCGGGTCATGATGCATACGTCTGAAAAAGTATACACGAAAATATAAAAAGTCAATGCAAGAGAACAACCAGTCTTGATTATCCGCAGAATCAGATTCCATTTGGCGTAAAGGGCAAAATTGTTGTGAAAAGGATATGAATGGACCACTGAAAATCAGTGATGACACCAGGTGTTCGCTAAAAGGGTAAGCATGTCCTGCCAGACATGTCCTCTTCAAACCAGACTACAAACAAACACTGAAAAAATGGGAACGTTGTCTCTTAAACTATGATCGTAAATATATTAACAACTTTACCTTACTTGGAAGACAAACAGTTTTTGGTCCTCATAGTCAAGTTTTTCGACCAGCTTTAGCTCATCATAATCCAGAAGGAACTTGCCGGAGTCCATCTGGACCAAGCTCAGGGTGAGGTTGTCATCCTCCGCATCAGATGCATTGATCCTGTGCAGGACAGAACCTGGTAAGGCGTCTTCCATCACCCGCAGACTGTAAAAGGTTTGCTCTATCTCTGGGGGACGGTTTCCAACTCGCTTCACAAACACCTTGATGTTATCTTCTACAGACTTTGGAGGATTCCCTTTGTCAGAAGCCACGATGATTAGGTTAAAGAAGTTTGCATTCCGTGCCTGGGGTATTGAGGACAGTTTGTGGTTGAGTTGTAAATTACCTGACACGTCGTCGATGGTGAAGAGACCTGTGATATTATTTCCCGAATCTGGAAGAGGAAAATGATGTGATACCTGATACTTATACATTTACGTCAGTTACAACACGAAGTTAATCTCACTGGACCATTGTTATAGTCTCTTGATTGGTCTTACCCAAGAACAGTTCCACAGGCTGCAAAAAGTTCAGAACACTGCAGCCCGTATCATATCTTTAACGTTTAGACATCTACATATCACATCAGTTCTGAAAGCCTTACATCGGCTTCCTGTAAAGGTCAGGATGGAATATAAAATCCTGTGTGTGACTTTACAATGCCAGATTGGAAAACATATTATTGCTCTCGACTACTTCGTGGAGCTCATCAACCTCCCATCCCACCCAGAAGTCTTAGATCAGAGCATCAACACATGCTATGTCCTATGACCACAGAACAGCAGCAGCTACACTTTGGATATCTCGCCCTGTCAACATCAAGCAGTCTCCCTTCTTGGCCTCTTTCAGGAAAGTCCTGAAAACCCATGTCTTCCATCTTCCCGAGGCATCAGAGTAAACTGACTATAAAAGTCCAGTTTCCACCCTTGCCGAACTAGGCTGGAATTCCTGGGCTCGATCGTAGCGCCACAAGTGGCTATTACCAGTAATGTCCCGTCTAAGCCTCTTCCATGGACCAATCAGATTCCACCTCGCGTATCACTTGCGTTTGCTTCACACAAAATGGTGGCACCCAGTCAGGACGATCTGATCGACAATCAAGTTCTATATCGTGATAAAACGGGTCTTTCATCGCGAAATACATCAAATCACGTGAGCACCTTGATTGAAATAATGAAAAGATTTGGAAAATATCTGTTGACAACGAGTTGGCGGTGCACATGCTTTGCAAATCCTGCAATCGACCGAAATCTGCACGACAGTTTACGAACTGGATTTCGATTTCGGTGCGCGATTTTGATTGGACTATGCATAGACTCGTTAGTCCAGCCAAAATGTAACTCCATAATACCAGCCTAGTTCGGCAAGGGTGGAAACTGGACTTGTATAGTCAGTTAACTCTCTTGCCTCGGGAAGATGATGTCTTCAGACGCCACTACTTGTAATACCCTTCTGTTCTTTCTCTCTACCAAAGCTTTCATGTTTCATGTAGCGCTATGAGCATGCACTCGTTGGTGGATAATGTCCATTATAAGGAACATCTTCATCATGATTATTATTATTACCTGTAAATATCGAAGAGACGCCGAAAGTCAACTCTCCGTCCAGCCCGTCGTCATCGTCCTTGACCGTGAATGTCAACAATGGCGACCCTACAGCTGTGTCGTGGGGTATGTGAATGCTCGGAAAGGATGTCTCATTTGTGTTCGGTAGAGGGGAAACCCACATCGGCGAAAACTCGTTCTTGGATAATATCTGAAGGACGAAACAACACGTTTTTTTCTGAAGAGGTCGCGACGATGTAACACTTTGCGATTGTTGAGGACGAAAGAAACACACACGTTGTCTCTCACAGTTTCGACCGAGGGAACGGTTGTCTTAAACATTGGTTCATATATGTAGAACATTTTCAACCATGTTTTTATACCGGAAAATTATTCTGTATCATTTTGTATGAATGAATTAAAAATCGGTTAATCGTGTTCGTTCAGTTTGAAATCATTCTCAGAGTTATTTATGATTCTGAAAGCATTTGTGAAAGTAATTGTTCCCCTGACTTCCGCAAATACATATAAGACCAAGTTATACCTTTAATCTAGTTTTCATATTATCTAGTTCATCTAATCACAAATGCAAAATCATACGAGTTACCTCCACAACAACTATAACAAAGCTTGTTTTGGGTTGACCATTTTCCGGAATGTCGTGAAGTTCTATCGTCAGCATGTATTGCTTGTCACCACTTTCGTAGTCTAAAGTTTCATCTACCAGAAACAGGTCCAGAGACTTGACTCGAAAAGCGGAGGAATTCCTCTCAGAACCAAGGATGAGTGTCGTAAAATTGGTTTCATCAATATTGTCTAAATCGGTACAATCAAGAGTGAAAATCGTTGAATCTGTAACAAAAAACATAAAACTTTTTATTTTTAACAAAATGAGACAGGATACTTTTATTTCTTACTTTACCAAACTTAAATTTTTACCTTTTTCAACTGGTGTGTAATGTGAACAAATATATTCTATATATGCGCTTGCGGATAGCTTATTATCTAAATGCCCCATTTGAAAATATTTATCACCCCTTTGTAAAATGTCCATTATGAAATGCCCCCAGCAGTATGATAATTCATGTTTCTTAATCAAGAGACATTCACGTATTGGTGACCATAATGAAATACAAGAGACATGGTAAAAGAGAATACCCTTTGACGTGATCCGGGGTAGAATAGGTCTTCAGCAACCTATGCTTGCCGTAAAAGGCGACTAACGGGATCGGGTGGTCAGGCTCGCTGACTTGGTTGATGCATGTCATCGATCCCAATTGCGTGGATAGATGCTCATGATATTAATCACTGGATTGTCTGGTCCAGACTGGATTATTTACAGACCGCCGTCATATAGCTGGAATATTGCCGAGTGCGGCGTTAATCAACAAACCAACCAACCAACCAAGATACTTACTGTAACTGGTATCCTCAGTAACATTTATGCTGTAAACCTTCTCAGAACAAGAGGGCGTGTTATCGTTGATATTGACAACAGTCACGTTGAACGTGGCATCGGCTTCGTTGCCTCCATTATCCCTCACGGTCAAGGTCACGTTTCTTAACATGATTATTCCATCTGCACCGTCATAATCAATCAGGTTAGCTACTGATATCTCGCCGGATGACTGATCGATAGTGAGAAACCACGAATCGTTTCCTGTAATCAACAACATGATCGTCGTATTTACAATTGTGGTCAAAATAAATATTATTTATTCTTTACGATCTTTCAAATAACTCGTGCTGTAATTTAGAATGTCAAATTTATGACCTACTGATTTAATAGAATTATTTGTTCCATGAAAATATTTAATTTGATTACCTAAACCACGTTATACTGGTCCACTGTGAATCGAACTGTACATTCATGTCTATTGTGAAAATAGTAATTTGCTTTCTGAATTATATATATATAATTATTATTATAATAACGTAATGTGACACTTAGAAAGGATAAATAAAACGAAGCCAGATGTTTTACCACTTAAACTGTAAGTGTGATTGTCGTCAACGTCCATATCCTTCACAGAAAACCAATCATTGAGTGCCGTTCCTATTGGCAGTTCTTCCACCATCTCTATGTCAGACACCAGGTGTATAGATGGGAACTCGTCATAATCATTTTCAACTGATATGTAAACAACTGACGTTACTTCCATCTCTCCATCGCTTGCACTGGAATAATGATTATGACACGTAAAAAGACGTGAGTTAAATGACAATGGAAAGAGGTATAATTATACACAGAATGCAAGTTTTTATTTGTTTGTTTGTTTGTTTGTTGTTTAACGCCGCACTCACCAATATTCCAGCTATATGACGGCGATATGTAAATAATCAAGTCTGGACCAGACAATCCACTGATTGACATCTTGAGCATCGATCCACGCAATTTGGATACGATAACATACATCAACCAAGTCAGCGAGCCTGACCACCCGATCCCGATCGCTTCTTACGACAAGCATAGTCGCCTTTTACGGCAAACATTGATTGCTAAAGATCTATTCTACCCCGGATCTTCACGGGTCCAGAAGGCAAGTGGTTAATACCTAACAATCATGCCAAAATAACTAAATAACAGTCTGATTGTGGCATGAGCTCACCCTCTCCCTGTCTAAAATCCAATGTGAATGCGCTAATGTGAAAACTAGATACTCTTACTGAATGTCGAGGTTACAATTAAATTGAAGAACCATGATTATTAGAAAAAAAAATATAATATTTTGTCAATTTGAAACATGGTTCTGTTAAAGTGAACTCCGTAAAAAAGGACAGACTGTGTGACGTTTACATGACTAGTATGCCCATCATATGACGACTTGGGACGTCAAGAACGAGGTTCACACATTGTGCCCATCTGGATAATCAAGTTCGGGTATATTGATTTACCTACCAGGCCACCCAACACACGAAATACTGCACTATACGCGATCAAGAATGGAAATAGTACAGACACCATTTTGCAATGTTTAAGATTATTCCGAACCTTAATGTATCCATTCTTCATACCTACGCCGTGATGTTGTTATGTATTGAGATGTAAAACCTTTGTTTTGAGTGCTTTCATAGGTTGCTTCTTTATTTCAATGTTTGTTGTTTAAAGACACACTCAGCAATATTTCAGCTATATGACAGCGAAGTGTAAATAATCGAGTATGCTTGATATCAAGAGCATCGATCCAAGCAATTAGGATACGATGACATGCATCAACCAAGTCAGCGAGCCTAACCACCCGATCCCGTTAGTCGCCTCTTACGACAAGCATGGGTTGCTGAAGACCAATTCTAACACGGATCTTCGCGGGTTTAAATGTATAAATAATATTAAATCGAAAACAAATACCCAGGACTCACTTGATCTCAACAACGTATTTGCTATTCTGCTCAAAGTCCAGTTTCTGTTTTAGTCGCAACTCCGTCCCATTGAAACCGAAAACGTCAGAATATGGACCCGTCAAGGACACGTTGACATGTTCTCCTTCAGGGTCAGTAACGTTGACGTCGACCAGCTTGTCTCCAACCTTCATACTCTCAGCAACGCTGCACCTGTATACCGTCCTGTCGAAGCTGGGAGGTTGGTTGCCCTTGTGTTGTACGATAAGCTTCAGGTTACCGGTGATGGAGTTTGGTTGCACGCCTTTGTCTGATGCAGTTACGGTGAGGAAGTAAAATTCAATGTTGCTTGCATTTTGTTCCTTGCTCAGAAGACTTTTCTCGAGTCTGAGAAGACCGGTGACTTCGTCCAGAGAGAACATGCCACTCGCATTAATTCCAGCATCTTAAACACACATGAGAGTTAAAGCCCTTTTAAAGATATTTAGTTGTATGATGCTGTATAAGCTTACGTACCTACCTAGGTAATAGACGGTACTAGAGCATGGGTATTGTTCTTACTGACCATCTTATCGGGCGAAGCGGATCCTGTCACGACCAAGGGATGCAACTCAACTAAGTTCACGGTCTATCCAGATTGCGGTTAGTATTATGAATATATGTATAATGACATTAACGCTTTCGTTATTATTAATATTAATGATAGTCAATAATGTATGTCGATATGACGAAAGCTCTATAACTTCCCAGCATATGGGGAATATGTCTGTTTTAACAGAGTAATCACAAAATATACAGAAATGAATTTTGTTTAAAGTTTCCAAAATTGCATTGAATTCTGCTGAGATGTGCTCCTACCTGTGTGTACTGATTCAATACTGTATTGTATGTCGCCATCTGGCCCAAGGTCTGCATCCTTCACCTTCATTTGTATAAGAACGGTTCCAACAGCAGCATCTTGCGGTGCAGAGATGGAGGGGAATGTGTTGTTTTCATCGGGTGTTGGTAATATCCACTCAGGCACGAACTCATTTTTCGGTAAAATCTGTTTATGAATCAGCAAATTAAATCTCCAGCAGTATTTGTGTAATGTTAATGAACCTATAGATACGGTACACGTAGAACAGAGTCTCAGAGTCATCTAATAGTGAATGTTTGACAGTATTCATCAAACAGGATGTATTAACTTAAAATTATATTTGCGTTGAAACAGCATGAGGAAGTTTCAGTTAATACTAGCGTACATGTATCCCGTACGCTTCCTGGTAATTTATTTATGAATTGCATGTGAGGTTTGGCATTCAGCATTCAGTATTCATCCTACAACAGCGTCATACGACTCTTGCTCAGAAGTTGTTTGATCAAGGTTACAACATTCAAAGGTTTTATGGTATACATGTGGAGGACATTTCCAAATTTGACGCATCAGTGAAAACCCTTATGTCCCAATTCCCATTTTGACCTGTACCACATGATCCCGTGTTTTTTTAGGTGGACATTTGACTTGCCTTTGCATGTGTTTGTGACGGTGTCACCGGTAGGGCAGGATACGCTCGCCCTTTCGCGAACACCTGGGATCATCACTATTTGATAGTGATCCATAAACACATGATCATGAATAGTCGGATTCGAACATTCGGCTCTGCTTTATGCAGAGATTTCTATTGGATATGGAAAGGGTTTTGTCGATTTATTAACTTGAAATTCAATTGGTTATGTAAATAACGGCAGAAAGGGGTTTAGTTTAATACCAGCGTATTCTTTGATGAAACAGATTACGCCTTTCACGAATGACAAATATCGCATGGTATTTCACGTTTCAGATTCATGTTCTGTATACAAACCCTTATATGCAAGATAGTTCTTGCTACTTTATAGTCTGTTCTATTTGGTCTATCTGTGACTTCCACGTCCAAGAATATTTCCCTCTCCTTCGCTGACAGTGATTCGTAATCAGTATCGGACATGTTGGCAAACAACCTCAGATTCCTGAGATGATAGGAGACATTTGAGTCAAGTCCTAGTATCCTTGCTGTCAACGTTTCATTGTCTCCAGCATCAGCATCATGACACATCAGCGTGAGGAGACTGGCATCTGTGAGGAAGAAATGGAATAAATAAAGTATCATATGTGACGAGGTGAGCTATATTTTTAAAAAATACCCATAGGGTTAATCTTGTTACAATCAGACCTTTTACCATAACACGACACCTCTCAGCGTATCTGTCAACTCCTGCATAGAAGGTCGCGTCAGGTGAACGCTGTGAGAATATTAACTGCAAAATGAAGGATTTGTGAGATCTGGAGTCAATCAGATGTCAACTTTGTAAAACGTTATCCTTCATTTCTTGGCCACCTCGATTCGAAAATTTCGATTTTAAAACATAAATTACACACCTGATAAAAAATATTCCTTTGTTGATATTGAACATGACATGCCGTTCAGAAAAGTGGTGTATAAAACACCACAACAAATAATGACAAGGACTTTATTATTTACAAACGGAACTGGTCGTTTAGCTTCGCTGGTTCCTGCCAATTATTCCATTGGTTTCATTTTTGCGAAGCGGCCTATAGCAACGTGAAGTCATACCAACGCATTGTCGCAAACAATTGACGATGACGTCAATATGCAATTTTTATATGACGTCGTTCCAACAATATCTTAATTCTCTCCAGCGTCCCTTGACCACGCCAGAAACCTATGATTGTGGGTTCGAATCCCGGTTCGCCCCGATTATGTTTCTAGGTTTGTCAGCACCATACCCGTGCTCGTGGGTTTCACCAAAATGGTAAACGTCTGAGACCTGCATCACTTCGGGCTTTCCTCCCACATTAAGCTGATGTCACTGGAATACTGTTTAAAGCGGCGTTAAACCCAACTCACTCACTCACTTAATTGTCTCAACATGACAAGTTCATTTTTCTACATTTTCTCTGAAAAATAGGTCGGTAATGTAAAGACTTTCTGTCCATTGTGAAATAATACAAAATACAACTAAATTGACTCCTCGTAGCTCGTATGGTTTTCTCTAAATCCGGAAGTCCAGGTTTATTCTCAAGGCGGTCTGTACATACTTACGTCTGGGCCAGGCAAAATAATGTTTGAGTGCATATTAAGCAACGATCCATACCAACAAGGGAGGATGACAAACAATTTCGTTTTTTTCTAGACGTACACATGGTACTGACATTATTCTCTCTGACTTTGCAAAACTGCTGGGAATTGATAAAGGCAATGATTTCATGAACTTCTGGCAGCTAGAAGATAAATCTAGATCCCAAGTATCAAACCAATAAACTTCAGCTTGACACATTCATATTATTAACGATGTTTATTAGCAGAAAGAACAACAATACTGAATGTTCGAAAGACAATACCCAACCCAACTTATACAATAAATCAATAATGTGGAAAAAAAACATAATGTATCCGTCACCTTCAATATCCGGACTTGACATATAAAAATGTACTTTGTATATGTATAAAGATTACATATGTATGGCCAATGTAGGTGCCGGCTGAAATGAATAAGATGACACCCAAACACCTGGGTCCACTTGCACAAAGCGATCTTAGCGCTAAGATGATCGTAACTCCCATACATTAACATACTATTAGGCTTACAATAGTCGTAGCGCTAAGATCGCTTTGTGCAAGAGGGCCCTGGTCACAGATTGTAACTATCCGATCCTCATTGTCCTTTTTCCACAAGCATGTGTTGTGTATGCCCCGGAATCCCCAAGGCAAGCCACAGTCATTCGGTCAAAACGTTGGTCGCTCAGGGTAAAAAGGTAATTTTTCTTTGTTACAGTAAACTACGGTTATAACGAACTCAAAAGGACCACTTATTTTGTTTCGTTATAACCATAGTTCGTTATAAGCATATATTCAGCAAATATACAACAAATGGCCGGGACTAAAAAATAAGTTCGTTATATCGGTCAGTTCGTTATAAGCGTGTTCGTTATAACCGTAGTTTACTGTAGTTTATGTTTTAGTGGAAGCAGACCTCATTATTTCGAAAAGAATGTTATATTCACGAAAAATAAGTTCGAGTCAGGAAAGGTTCGGCAAGGATCAAATAAATTCTTTCAGAACCTACGTACCGACACGTCGCTACTGGTTGTTCATCCATATATCTAATCCTTTCTAGGAATAAATACCTCTCCTTCAGCAAAAAGTATATTACGGTTATGTTGGACTATAAGAAACGTGAAAATGAATAGATTCTAAAGATTCTAGCGGTTTCAAATTATAACTGGTCATATTATCCGCCTCTCTTTTACTAATGTACTGGAAAATAAAATACTTACTATACTCTGTATTTTCTTGGACTTCCACCTCGTATACTGACATAGAACATGTGGGTGGGTTGTCATTGACATCCAATACTGTTATGTTGAGGTAGGCGGAGGTAGAGTTCCCTCCCTTGTCTGTAACAGTGACCTTCAGATCGTCAAGGCGGTGAATGCTATAACCACCTTCATAATCAAGCCTCGTCTTCATCTTGACTGCCCCAGAAACTGTGTCAATTTCGAAATACTGACTGTCGTTCCCTGAAATAAATATTTTGATATTTATGATAAACAATTCTAGTTTGAAACATCATAATTTTTACGACGTTGCTTCATATACAAATAGCCAAATGAAACGTTGTTGCAAAGACCCAGGTTAGGAAAGGTCTTCAGCAAGCCATGCTTGTCGTTAGAGGCGACTTACGAGATGGGAGGTCGGGCTCACCACCTTGGTTGAGGCATGTCATCGTATCCCAATTACGTGGATCTCTGTTCATGATGTCAATCACTGGATTGTCTGGCCCAGGCTCGATTATTTACAGACAGCCGTCATATAACTGGAATATTGCTGAGTGCGGCGTTAAACAACCAACCAACAAACTATATAGATTCAACACAGTGAAACCTCGGTTATCTAGACGACAAAAGAAGGGACTTATGACAAAACGATTGACCGTCCAGTAAAGTATGATAAGCAATACCCCGACTATACAGTATGTTCATCATTTTCCATGTGTATATTAAAATTGACACATTGTATTGTTGGCACCAGGATTCCTAAATCACAAGGAATTTCGCACCCATTTCACACCCTCGAACCCTCTAAAATAAAAAAGGTAGTATTTCTGTTTCGTAGAGTAGCTGACCGTCAGAGCGTGATCCTCGTGCAGATCGAAATGAATATTTGTTGTACTCCACAGTAATGTATATTCGAGTTGCGTGTATATCACAGAAATAATCCAGTCTGGGGCCTACAAATCCATAGTTGCCGTAATAGAGCACGATGACACACAATCAGCCACGTTAAAATATGTCATACCTGATCTTCGTTATCTGGTTGTATTGACAAGTTTCTTAGGAGAAGGCCTCGTAAGTGTGTCACTTGTGCCTAATCCATTTGGTTTTCCGCAATAAAATATGATTAAATCAATACTGAGGACCTCTGCTTGGGTGATCCTACTCAGTCTTACCATGGAGGGAGAATGTGAATGAATCGTTGAGGTCAGCATCAGTGACGGAGAAGAGCTGTCCGAGGGATGCCCCAACTGGGAGTTCCTCTAATACCTCCAGCAGGCCCTGCACGATGACCTGAGGCGGAGTGTCGTACACGTCCAGGACCTTGACCATCACAGTCGTGGTGTCATTGTTCTTGCCATCAGTCGCCCTACATGAATTGACGAGAAGGGTAAGTTCGTTGTTATATAAATTGTTTGCTTGTCAGCTATATTCCAGCTATATGACGGTGGTCTGTAAATAATCGATTTTGGACCACACAATCTACTGATTGATATCATGAGCATCGATCAAAGCAATTGGGATACGATGACATTCATCAACCAAGTCAGCGAGCCTGACCGCGATCCCGTTAGTTGCCTCTTACGACAAGTATGGGTTGCTGAAGACCAATTCTAACCCGGATGATTACTGCGTTTAAACAATGGGAACAATGACTTATAGTGAAACAGCATTAAAACCAAACGCTAATGATAAACGATGTGTGAATTATAATGGTTTCATTATCCTATGGAATATGTGATATATTGTCATAAACTTGACTAATTCAAGTAGGAGTACTGATCATGTCTTGACCCTGGACATGATCACAAAATAGACAAAAGTTGCATCAATATCAATTTAGTTTCTCCCTATAGAAATTATACGTTTGATCAAGGTTACAAGATTCAAGGCATCAACAAAGTTTTCAAAAAGTTTTATGGGAGACATATGGAGGATATTTCCAAATTTGACGCATCAGTGACTAAAATTATGTTCCATGCAATTCCCTATTTTGACTTGTACCATATGTTTCCATGTTTTGGTTCAGGTGCACAATTGACTTGCCTTTGCATGTGATTGTGACGGCTGCCACTGTTTTTGGCAGGATACGCTCATGCTCATGCTCATGCTCATGATATACTAGGAATTGTACAATCGACTCTGCTTTATGCCTTATAGAGATTTCTATTGGATATGGAAAGGGTTTTGTCGCTTTATTATACAAGTTATGGATGAATTCTACAAACGACATAGCGAAACATGGACATTGCGTGATCAAAATCTTTCGGTATAGAAAATGCACGTCACACACACACGCACGCACGCACGCACGCACGCACGCACGCACGCACGCACGCACGCACGCGCCGCACCGCACCGCACCGCACCGCACCGCACCGCACCACACCACACCACACACATATCATATTAGAATGACGATATAATATTGTGTGTGATCGATGATAAATCGATGATGTATGTGTACGTACTGGACTGTGATCATGAACGCACGAGACGTTTCAGCATCTAAGCTGGTGTTGAGGACCACCTGAAACCCGTTCATGCTGAAATACACGTCCCATGGCCTCGCAACACTAAGAGTCAGTGGATCACCCTCGGGATCAGCCACAGTAAGGTTGGCCACCACACTGCCGACGGGCTGATCCTCGCTGATTCTCGCCATCGCTATTTTCTTGGCGAACACTGGTGCTTCGTTTGCAGCGTTTTGGAAGTTGAGTGTCATGACTCCCTCAACGTACTTGGCTGGATCTCCCTTGTCCGACACTCGTATTGTTATGTTCAGAAAGTCTGTTTTATTTTTCACTCCTGATAGAGATTCTGCTAATGTTATCACTCCTGTGTCCGAGTTGATGTTAAAAAGTCCTCTGGATGTATTTTCAGAATCTAGGCGAAAAATGACACACAAGTGTAAAATTGTGAAATATTTAAACTTTCCGTGTATTTCTAGATTTTCTTTCATATTTATGTACATATATATAATACAGATATATACGTTGCTTGTTGGATAAAAGTATAAAGTTGTTTTATATACTTAACTTAAAGACTTGAGATTAACGGCGCTTTCATAACAGTATTCCCGTTATATAACAGCGTGTCAGCTAAATGTAGGAGAAAATTCCAAAGCGATGCTTTAAGCAGAGTTTTCTTATGAATATCAAAAAAGGTTTTATCGCTTTTATTTACCGTTTCGGTGAAACAAGGAGAACGGTGCCTACTAAAAAACAGAAACAAGGGACTTGAACCACGTTCACGGGAACGTAACCTGCACTGCTCCTTAGACGACAGAGACATTGCGCCCACGTTCCCTAAAATTGCTCACCTGGTTGTATGGAGACTATTTGGTATTCCATCTGTCCGTCAGTGCCGCTGTCCTCGTCAGTTCCTTGTATCTGTGTTATGTAGCCCCCAACTGACGTTGACAGGGGAATCAGTAGATCTTGGAAAGTCCCGTTTGTTAACGCTGGGCTTGTCACTTCAGGGGAGAATTCATTTTTTGAAAGAACCTAAATCACAAACACTTCACTGTAAGTATTATTTATTGAGTATATGTTTAATGATAATATGATTTCATTTTTAGATCTTTGCATAAAGATTCAGACTGATCACAACTATCCACAAGACTGTATGACAGGTGGGATGCCTTCATATGTATATGAGTAGGAATTTCTGCTTGGATTGGCAAAGTTCAAACAGGGGAATTTCGCTTAAGTTGAACTTAAGCTGCAGGTATATCTATGATCTGACATCGTGCAATAACCATCAAATAGCCAATTCCATTTCACTGATTTAACCACCACAACTAGAAATAAAGGAAACTGGTAAGACCACTCCCTCCGTTTCATATCTAGATCTATGCATAAAGATTCAGTACCAACACTCTCCACAAGAGTATTCAAGTTTCCTATAGTGAGTATGGTTTTACGCCGGTTTTTGCAATATTCCAGCAATATCACGGCGGGGGACACCACAAATGGGCTTCACGCATTGTACCCATGTCGGGAATCGAACCCGGGTCTTCGGCGTGACGAGCGAACGCTTTAACCACTAGGCTACCAATGGTCAACTCTCCCTTTATGTCGAGCAATAATCCTGCCGCTCCAGCCTTTAGGGTTTACGTTTCACAGCTTTTGAGGCACAATCAAGCATGCTCTTTCAACGAAGATCTAAAGAACGTTCAAGGGCTTGGTAACCAAAGCTTTCAAAACGTTTTATGGCAGACATGTAGAGGACATTTTCAACTTTGATGCCTCACTGATAAAAATTATGTCCGATGGAATTTCCTATTTGACCTGTATCATGTTTCTGTGGGATGTTTTCAGGTGAACCATTGACTTGCCTTTGCATGTGTTTGTGAGGGGTTGCAACAAATGGGTCAGGATACGTTCGCCTTTTCGCGAACACGTGGTACCATCAGCATTTGAATTGGTTTTGTCGCCTTCATTTATTATATTGATTTTATATGAAAAAACAGTTGTAGCATTGACAATGTGCATTGTCGTAGGTGTGTGAAGAGGGCTACATCTCTTAAGCATCGTAAGAATTTGAGGAGGTTTTACACGTAAGCTTACTACGCGCGGATTGTTATCTATCAATTCAGGGAAAACGTAGAAACAATAATATTCATTATATACTTCGGTGTGAAAGACTGGGTTTTCCGAAGTCGAGAAAAGTGATATTTTCAGTGCAGTGAACATAACAGTGATATTTCACTGCAGTGAACATAACACTTTGACGGAACTATTGTCATACAAGAGTGACCTCCCCTTAAATTGCCTCCCTTTGTCGTAAGTGTCATGCCCGCACACAAACTGTTGGCGTCCTTTTTACGTTAGTTCCACACTGACAAGGCAAAATAATGACAAACGTTCATTTATAGAGTTTATATCACTTCTTGCCGTTCGTTAGTCTTTCGAAAATGTTTCGTTATAAACTGTTAATTTCTCAGTTAACTCGTCAAAGCGCCATTTTTGTTACTGGACCAGCGTGTATTCTTTCGCTTCCAACAGCTGTCTTCCTAGTTTTCAGGAATATATTTTGTCTAGGTTGATTTTGTATTAATCATATCGAAATGTATGACAAAGAATTTTCGTGACCCTAAAAAAAAATTTTATACTTCGTTTACATTTTTTAAGATTTTGCAAACACGAAATCACTTTTTTTAGTCGCAAATACAAGAGGTAGTGAACCGTCGCTGTGTGTTAGGTATGGAGAATTTACGTTTCCAGGTTTTACATTTGTAATGAAATAATAAACTTTCCGGTAGAAAACTACACAAAAAGTATATGATAAATGGGATATTCCATGTGTCGAGTAAAATACCTCCTTTTCATCCGTCACGAGATGCGAGAAACATGATATTTATAAAACATACATGATCATAAAACAAGTAACGAGATAAAAAAAAAATGTGAGTTCAACAAAATGAATGGATTAAAATCTGAAGGTTTTAAGGTATATTTGTGTTACCGTTAGTTTCGAAATCAATTCGTTTTATCCAAAACTTAATTTTTTTAAACGACTTCAATATTTGTTTTACGTTTATAGAAGTATAAACGTAAGAACTCGTGTGCAGGCTGTGATAACAGCGTTGCGGATTTGTGCAAAGTGTGCACACCGGTTTTACGTTTATTCATCCATAAACACATTTATGTTGAATTCAACCTATGGATACCTTAGACAATACTAACTCCACAGACTGCCTACTTCAGTATTAACGCTGTACTATCTTAACATAATGTGTATCAAAAACTTTAAACGCTCATCTGTGTGGCAGTACTGTTTGCTATAAACGTAAATTTACATTACTTATATTATTTATGCAGTTAAACAGCTGCTGTTATGAATTTATTTTTTTAATGAAGATTTTGTAAATGTTATTCAATTATTGTTTTATGCAATGGATTAATTCAATAAAAATTCCTTGTATGCCTATCCAAGTATTACTCCTTCCCTGGCCAGGCACTGGAACATTCCTGTGGTTGTACAATTTCACATTGCATTCTGATCACTGTCAATTTCATAAACATTAGATAACATGTCCTTCATTTTAGGTACTGAATAGGGTAAAACTGGGTAAAATATCTGATATTAATGAGATTTTATTTTGCTGAAAGGAATTTTTTTTTTGTCGTTGTTAAACGCCACACTCAGCAATATTCCAGCGATATGACAGCGGTCTGTAAATAATCGAGTCTGGACCACACATTCCAGTGATAGACATCATGAAGATCGATCCACGCAATTGGGATACGATGACATGCATCAACCAAGTCAGCGAGCCTGACATCCGATCCCGTTACTCGCCTCTGACGAAAAGCATATCCGCTTTTTACGGTAAGCATGGGTAGCCCGGATCTTCGCGGATCTTCAGCTATCAAGTGCTGTCCAAAGCAGGAAGGCCTGAATCAACATGTGACCAAAATACGTCACAATGCAGTTTCCTTTTTGTACATGACACCTGTTATATAACTAATAGTTTCGGAATATGTTTTGCAAAACCCTGCGAGGCTTATAAGAATAAAACACGCATTCGGCGCGTTCGATAGCTACCCTGAGTAAAGTGATGAAGTAGACAGACAGACAGACACACACACACACACACACATACCCGAACCATCACAACAGCTGTACTTGACAGCGACCGTCCTGACGCTGTGGTCTCAGTTGCCATGACAACCACCATGATGGGATTCCCGTCCACGGTTCCATTGTCCAAATCTACAGACTCGGTGTTCGCATAAAGCTCGGTCTTGTTTAGCAGGAATATGTTTAAGTCATTCCCTTTAACGATCGTCGTAGATATGTTCCCAGATGTGTCGTCATCAACATCCGATATATTAACACTTAGTATGTGGGAACCTGTTGAAAAACGTAACCACATTAGTTCAGCAACATTTGGTTTTCATTCAGAATATATTTCATTACTTGGCTGCTGGTAATGGCCGGGAAAGATCGTTTTGCAGAATGCATCGTCAGATCTTCGCAGGTTTTTATACACAACGTTCTTCCATCACCTATGAACACATACGACCGATATGTGTAGGGTAAAACACGTCCGAGGGTTTTTAATTTCATTTTAAAAAAACAGGGAAACGGGGGTTGATCTAGAGTGTTTTGTCTAACATATAAACACAGGAACATCTGAAAAAAACATTTATCAACAGTTGTTTCAAACATACTTTATGAGGGGCGGTCGGGTAGCCTAGTGGTTAAAGCGTTCGCTCGTCACGCCGAAGACCCGGGTTCGAATCCCGACATGGGTACAATGTGTGAAGCCCATTTCTGGTGTCCCCCGCCGTGATATTGCTGGAATATTGCTAAAAGCGGCGTAAAACCAAACTCACTCACTCACTCAAACATACTTTACATGAACCTTATGAAACGGAAGTAAAATATCCCTTGCTGGTGTAAATGTACTTGAAAAAGAGAATCTTAAAAGCATTGGGATTTATTAGCGACTCTTTAGCCTTATGGTACACTCGGTACGGATAAGAACGGGGTCGTCCAGATAACCGAGGTTTCACTGTGTTGAATCTATATTGTTGGTTGGTTGGTTGTTTAACGCCGCACTCAGCAATATTCCAGCCATATGACGGAGGTCTGTAAATAATCGAGTATGGACAAGACAATCCAGTGATTAACATCATAAGCATCGATCTACGCAATTGGGATACGATGACATGCATCAACCAAGTCAGACAGCCTGACCACCCGATCCCATCTCTTACGACGAGCATGGGTTGCTGAAGACCAACTCTTTCCCGGATCTTCACGGGATCCACATTTGAGAATATGTTTGAACATACATCATAGCAAAATTACAATACTTTAAACAGGGTCATACCATGCCAATTTAGCAGTAATCTATTCCCTAAAATGCTTGGAACAAAAACATGTGTCCTACTGGCTGCTCTGTTAGATATTTTCTCGTGGATTAGTGAGTGAGTGAGTGAGTGAGTGAGTGAGTGAGTGAGTGAGTGAGTGAGTGAGTGAGTGAGTGAGTGAGTGAGTGAGTGAGTGAGTGAGTGAGTGAGTGAGTGAGTGAGTGAGTGAGTGAGTGAGTGAGTGAGTGAGTGAGTGAGTGAGTGAGTGAGTGAGTGAGTGAGTGAGTGAGTGAGTGAGTGAGTGAGTGAGTGAGTGAGTGAGTGAGTGAGTGAGTGAGTGAGTGAGTGAGTGAGTGAGTGAGTGAGTGAGTGAGTGAGTGAGTGAGTGAGTGAGTGAGTGAGTGAGTGAGTGAGTGAGTGAGTGAGTGAGTGAGTGAGTGAGTGAGTGAGTGAGTGAGTGAGTGAGTGAGTGAGTGAGTGAGTGAGTGAGTGAGTGAGTGAGTGAGTGAGTGAGTGAGTGAGTGAGTGAGTGAGTGAGTGAGTGAGTGAGTGAGTGAGTGAGTGAGTGAGTGAGTGAGTGAGTGAGTGAGTGAGTGAGTGAGTGAGTGAGTGAGTGAGTGAGTGAGTGAGTGAGTGAGTGAGTGAGTGAGTGAGTGAGTGAGTGAGTGAGTGAGTGAGTGAGTGAGTGAGTGAGTGAGTGAGTGAGTGAGTGAGTGAGTGAGTTTGGTTTTACGCCGCTTTTAGCAATATTCCAGCAATATCACGGCGGGGGACACCAGAAATGGGCTTCACACATTGGAACCATGTCGGGATTCGAACCCGGGTCTTCGGCGTGAGGAGCGAACGCTTTAACCACTAGGCTACCCGACCGCCCCCCTCGTGGGTTAATAAACAAGGGGAGACGTTTTCATGTCATGTATATAATGGATAGTCGGTTAGCCTAATTGTTCGATTACCCACATAGGTACAACACGTGAACCTCACTCTTTTTCCCCCGCTTTGGTATGCCTGAAATATCACTCAATAAACATTAATAGAGACACCCTACTGAATTCTCTGTTAGTTTGTTTGCTCTTTAACGCCGTGCTCAGCAAAATGCCATCTATATGACGACGGCCTGGAAATGATCGAATCTGGACTAAACAATCCAGTGATTCATTTTGTGAGCAATGACCCCCGCCGTCGGGTAACGAGAATCCAGTGATTGATAACATGAGCATCGATCCACGCAATTGGGATCGATGACATGCTTCAACCAAGTCAGCGAGCCTGACCACCCGATCCATTTAGTCGCCTCTTACGACAAGCATAGGTTGCTGGAGACCTATAACCCGAAATCCCCACTTTGGCTCTGTTCGTATACTGTGTAAAGCCCATTCTTGGTGTACCCCGTCGTGAGTGAGTTTTACGCCGCTTTTAGCAATATTCCAGCAATATCACGGCGAGAGACAACAGAAAAGGGCTTTACACATTGTACCCATGTCGGGATTCGAACCCGGGTCTTCGGCGTGACGAGCGAACGCTTTAACCACTAGGCTACCCGACCGCCCCTACCCCGTCGTGAAAAGGTAGCCATATTGATAACAGCGGCGTAAAATGTTATAAGGATAAATGTGATCACATGAATAAACAATAACATAGACGTCCTACCTGATTCCGAATTCTCTGTAAACTCCGTCTCATATATAACCTTATCAAATGAGGGTGGGTTGTCATTCACTCCCACGACCGTGATATATATCTGTGTGCTGGAGTTGTGTCCTCCCAGATCTGTGACTGTCACGGTCACATTGTCAAGATACTTCCGCCCCGTTGGTCCGTCATAGTCCAGCCTCTCCCGCATCCTCATCACACCAGATGCCTCATCAATGCTGAAGAAATGAGCGTCATCTCCTGTAAAAGAAGATTGAAATCGTGGCTCCTTTGAGTAAGTGAGTTTGGTTGGTTGATTGGTTGGTTGGCTTGTTGTTTAACGCCGCACTCAGCAGTATTCCAGCTATATGACGGCGGTCTGTAAATAATCGAGTCTGGACCAGACAATCCAGTTATTAATGATATGAGCATCGATCCGCAATTGGGATACGATGACATGCATCAACCAAGTCAGCGAGCCTGACCACCCGATCCCGTTAGTCGCCTTTTACGACAGGCATAGTCACCTTTTACGGTAAGCATGGTTGCCGAAGATCTGTTCTACCCCGGAATCTTCACGGGTGAGTGTAATTGGATTAACGCCGCTTTTATTACTAAGCGCGTCGTAAAACCATACTTACTCGCTCTAAGCGAATGCGGTAGCTACGCTGATACACAAGACACAAATCTAGAGCAAAGAGTGAGTGAGTGGGTTGGGTTTAATGCCGCTATGAACAGTTTCTAGTTATATCACGAAGTGTCAGCTTAACGTTAGAGAAAAGCCCGAAATGATGCAGGACGTTTACCACTTCGGTGAAACCCACGAGCACGGGTATGGTGCTGACATAAGAAACATAATCAGGCTGAAACTGGATTCGAACCCGTGTCTGCCACGCCTTAGGGGCGCGACTCTGCACAGCCTTAGATGACTTGACCACCCGTGCCGCCTTAACAGGACATAAACTTGCTGATTTATAAGTTTAACTACACCGCGCAATATAGGGACTATTCTGCCTTTATTTAATTTTATGATTGGAACAATTTGATTGAAAATTCTGTCGCAAGACATTCGAACCAGTACCTACATAGAGCTAAAGAATATCTTTTGTCACGGCGACATGGAAGTGAAAATTAAATAATTTATTCACTAACATCAAGACTAGTTGAATGTAAACAATCAGTATTATATACAACACTGAACTACCTGTGACTTTGTAGCTTTTCGTTATAAGAAACGCATGGAATTAAAGAGTTCTCTTTTCTTGATCACTGCAATGTTTGCTCAAAATAGGCCCATCGGCACGGGCAAGTCATATTTATGTGATTGATTATGATAATGTGATGAGGTGTGTCATACTTACCCCAGGTAGGTATTTCATAACCTGACTCAACAAACAGCGAAGTGCACGTGCGAAAGGCAATCGGAACATATTTCATGTGCTTCACGTGGAGGGAACACACATACAATATAAAAACAGTGTTGTCTAAACATTTTTAAGTGCCCAGGCTCAATGCTTGTTGACAATAGTTTAAGTTAGTTTGACCGAGGGTAGAGCACTCGAACCACTGATAAATGTCCAAATGATAAAACTCTTTAGCTCAGATTTTCAACTAATAGATCTTGCCTTTAATGAAAACCCAATATGTTCAAAAACGTGAAATAAATAATAATTTCAGAATAGGTATATATTTTTCTGATTTTTATTGTCAAAGTGAGAGTACGAAGGACGCAATATAATTGGTGTTCGGGTTTACATGTTCACATGACCAAAACAGTATTTTTAGAAAGTAGAAATCTCTTAGAAAATCATGTTTCTGATCTTTATATCCCGAACTGTAGCCCAGATTATCCTTTTATAAGTAAAGGTCCTTGTCGTTTTAAATAGACTTTATTTCTTATTCAGGACTATGGTCGATATATAATTCTATTTTTGCCAAAGGATAATCGTAATACTCCAGACTGTGTGTACCCAACGTTTCCCTCGTAAATACATATAATTACTCAAAGTTTGTTACCACAGAAACACAAGACAGGAAAACAACAGTTTCGGCGTTAAAAAACAAAAATAAAACAATTACCTTCTAATGTATAATTATGCCTGTCGTCGATGTCCCCATCAGTAACAACAAAGAATTTTGCCGTCAGAGAACCGTGAGGAAGCTCTTCGTTGAGAGAGGCATTGGTTCCGGACAAGCGGGGTGGTTCATCAAAGACATTCAGTACCCGTATCAGCAGTGTTGTGTCATCAGACTTCTCCCCGTCGGACACACTTTATACAAAACACTGGCATCAGATAGGTGCATCAATATACAAACAAAAATGTTCAAAACAATGCCCTCTAAAACACGACTCCTTAACATTGAGCTATAACGCTTGAAGATCCGGGTGATAATTGGTCTTCATGCTTGTCGTAAGAAGCGACTAAAGGGATCAGGGGGTCAGATTTGATGACTTGTTTGATGAATGTCATCGTATCCCAATTGCGTAGATCGAAGCTCATGATGTCAATCACTGGATTGTCTGGTCCAGACTCGATTATTTACAGACCGCCGTCATATAGTTGTGATATTGCTATGCGTGGCGAATCGCGGCGCCTTGGACGACTGGGCCACCCGTGCCCCCATGTCAAAATGACTGCCTACTTCAATATCCGTTGTCTTGTTTTTCACTCAAGACAAGTGTAAAGACTCTGTATTCCGGGTCTGTACGAATGAAAGTCGGTAAGATTCATCCGTTGTCAACGAAAGCCCGAAGTGATGAGACCGTTACTCTTACTGTATTACTGTATTACTTTATTCAATATAGTATTACCTCACGTTATTTCCACAGTATTCAAGATGTATTACCTGACCGCTACTTCCACAGTCTTCAACACACTATTACCTGACCGCTACTTCCACAGTATTCAACATAGTATTACCTGACCTCTACTTCCACAGTATTCAACGCAATATTACCTGACCGCAACTTCCACAGTATTCAACATAGTATCACATGACCTCTACTTCCACAGTATTCAACACAGTATTAATTTACCGTTACATAAAAGTTTTCGAAATAGTATTATCTTACCGCTACGTCTAAAGTATTTGCCACAATATTTACTTACCGTTACTTCCACAGAATTTAACATAGTATTATCTGACCTTTACTTACACAGTAATCAACAAAGTTTTAATTTACCGATACTGTACGTTATTCAACTTACATAATATTACCTCGCCATTACTTACACATTATTGAACAAAATACTACCTCGACGTTACTTCCACATTATTGAACAAAATACTACCTCGCCGTTACTTCCACATAATTGAACAAAATACTACCTCGCCGTTACTTCCACATAATTGAACAAAACACTACCTCGCCGTTACTTCCACATTATTGAACAAAATACTACCTCACCGTTACTTCCACATAATTGAACAAAACACTACCTCGCCGTTACTTCCACATTATTGAACAAAATACTACCTCGCCGTTACTTCCACATAATTGAACAAAAAACTACCTCGCCGTTACTTACACATTATTGAACAAAATACCACCTCGCCGTTACTTCCACATTTGTGAACAAAATACTACCTTGCCGTTACTTCCACATTATTGAACAAAATACTACCTCGCCGTTACTTCCACATTATTGAACAAAATACTACCTCGCCGTTATTCCACATTATTGAACAAAATACTACCTCGCCGTTACTTCCACATTATTGAACAAAAAACTACCTCGCCGTTACTTCCACATTTGTGAACAAAATACTACCTCGCCGTTACTTCCACATTTGTGAACAAAATACTACCTCGCCATTACTTCCACATTATTGAACAAAATACTACCTCGACGTTACTTACACATTATTGAACAAAATACTACCTCGCCGTTACTTCAACATAATTGAACAAAATACCACCTCGCCGTTACTTCCACATTATTGAACAAAATACTACCTCGCCGTTACTTACACATTATTGAACAAAATACTACCTCGCCGTTACTTACACATTATTGAACAAAACACTACCTCGCCGTTACTTACACATTATTGAACAAAACACTACCTCGCCGTTACTTCCACATTATTGAACAAAATACCACCTCGCTGTTACTTCCACATTATTGAACAAAATACTACCTCGACGTTACTTACACATTATTGAACAAAATACCACCTCGCCGTTACTTCCACTTTATTCAACATACCGAACTGTTATCGTGTGAGTGTCCTTGTCTTCGAAGTCCAGCCTGCTGACCAGCACGAGATTCGCACCAGCAAATGAGAAGAATTCCTTCCCGTTATCCGTGATGTTAAATGTCAAGTTGGCATTTTCAAGATCATACACTGTCAGGTTGAGCAACGGCTGGTGGAGCGGACTGTCTTCGGAGATGTCGAACTGATACAAGTCCTGAAGGAACCGTGGGGGTCTATTGGAGGACTCAATATACACTTTCATTTCTCCCTGTATTGATCTGAAGGGGTCACCTCTGTCCCGAGCCTGGAAGGTTATGTTGTAGGTTGTCCCACTGGCAACACCGAGAAGTACGTTGGCCAGAAGGAGTGTTCCTGTTCTTGCACTTATTCGGAACAACTCGTTTGCATCATTGCCTGAATCTGACAATAAAATGAAATACTAATACCATAACTGTTATGTGCACGTGATTGACCATTTGATTTTCGGGGGGGGGGGGGGGGGGGGGGGGGGGGGTGTGTGTGTATTTATTGAGAGTTGATTTTTTGGATAACACACGCACACAGACGAACTCCCTCACTCCCTCACTCACTCACACACACACAACACAAACTCACTCACACACACTATCTTTAACGCCGTACTCAGCAATATTCCATCTATATGACGGCGGTCTGTAAATAATCGAGTCTGGATCAGACAATCCAGTGATTGACATTTTGACCATCGATTCACGTAATTGGGATCGATGACATGCATCACACCAAGTCAGCGAGCCTGACCACCCGATCCCGTCAGTCGCCTTTTGCGACAAGCAGAGTTACCTTTTACGGCAAGCATGGGTTGCTGAAGACCTATTCTACCCCGGATCTTCACGGGTCAATCTCTGTAAGAACATGTTTCTGGGTTAACCTTTGCGTTTCAAACTGCAAATTACCATCTAATAGAAGATTGATTGAATATGGTTTTACGCAGCTTTTAGCAATATTCAAGCAATATCACGGCAGGGGGACACCAGAAATAGGCTACACACATTGTACCCATGTCGGGAATCGAACCCGGGTCTTCGGCGTGACGAGCGAACGCTTTAACCACTAGGCTACCCGACCGCCCCTCTTATAGAAGGAGATTAGTATGATAGCTTAATGCAAAAACATAAATGGCCTTGATCTTACCATCAACGACACTCAGTATTTCATACTGGACAATGCCATCATTCCCCCAATCTTCATCCGTGGCTTCAACACTAGTGACAATGGTACCGATATCATCCGAGTCCAGTAATGTCTTATTCAGGTATATCTTCTCGCTGCTGTTGAACGGGAGGAGCCAGAAAGGTGTGAACTCATTTACTGGAATCACCTGAAAGGTATACTTTCTAAATAACATGACAATAAGTTTTCCGTCACTTTTAAAACAAAACGAGTCCCACGGCTTTCTTATTTCACAACACTTTTTTTCAGGACATGATTTATTTGTTGCTTAAAGCCGGACCAAACAATCCAGTGATTGACATCATGAGCATTGATCCACGCAATTGGATCAAGCAAGTCAGCGAGCCTGACCACCCGATCCCGTCAGTCGTCTCTTAAGACAAGACCCGTGAAGATCCGGGTTAGAATAGGTCTTCAGCAGTACATGCTTGTCGTAAAAGACGACTATGCTTGTCGTAAGAGGAATATTGCTGAGTGCGGCGTTAAACAACAAGCAAACAAAATCTTTAGACAAGCATAGTTGCCTTTTACGGTAAGCATAGGTTGCCGAAGACATAGTCTACCCCGCATTGAACATGCGAACAATTATCGTTATCAATATTTTCTGAAACATTTATATTTTCAAAACAAATTTATATTATCCCACAGCATTAATGGTAGTGGGTTATTTTCAAACTATACCAGCGACAAAAAAATATGGGAACTGATGAAATGACAGTGGAGGTGTAATAACGATGACTGTCTGCAAAATTAATTTCGGGCGTGTAGATCACCATAGTGATACTGTCCACCATGTTGGGCGACACATGCACGACACCTTGATGGCATACTAATGATTAACTTGGGTATGGTTGCTCTTGGTATTGCCCGCCATTCTGCCTGAAGAGCTACCCCAAGCTGGGACAGGGGGCACGGGTGGCCCAGTCGTCTAAGGCGCCGCGATTCGCTGTGCAGAGTTGCGTCCCTTGGGCACGCCAGAAACCTATGATTGTGGGTTCGAATCCCGGTTCGCCCCGATTATGTTTCTAGGTTTGTCAGCACAATACCCGTGCTCGTTGGTAAATGTCCGAGACCTGCATCACTTCGGGCTTTCCTCCCACATTAAACTGATACGCCGTGATATAACTGGAATACTGTTAAAAGCGGCGTTAAACCCAACTCACTCACTCACTCACTCACTCACTCACTCACAAGAGTAGAAGGTGTGAAGCCCCAATCTGGTGTCCCCTCTACCTTGATATTTCTGGAATATTGCTAAAAGCGGCGTAAAATCATTTTCATTTACTCACCTGACTTGATTGGTTATTTATAGTTAAATCTTTTAGAAATAGATGACATGTGTAATAACACAAAGTATCACCAAAAGTGCCAGGTTGGTCCAGACCGACAATCCAATGTGAAATGCTGATATTCAGTAGGCAAGGGACACCACTCTGCATAGTAAATAGCAATCACTGGACCACCCGTGCTCTTCAGTATGTAGAGACCCTAATGATAAGTAATTATCCTTCTACCGAAAGAAGTGTCGCAGACTAAGACTTACGTTTATAAATAGAAACGACCCACCAACCCTGGGTCTCCCATACGGGTCAGAATCTTGTACTAGAATTGGGAGGACGTATTGCGTCTTCGTGTTGGTCGTGGACTCGCAGTCGATCAGCTCTCCATTCACTGTGATGACATTTCCATCGACAGAAAATATTCCGAGTTCATTACCAGATCCGAATACAATGTTAAAGTTTGAGATGTTCGAGTGTGGAATGTCGGCATCGCTCACATTAAGCGATAACAGCTCAGTATCTGAAATAGATTTGGAATCATGTGATGTTATTCTGTTCTTTTTAATTAAAATGTGTTTTTGACGAGGTGTGAGACAGAGGATTTGTTTGTGTTTTTTAACGTCAACATCGAGTGGGGACCAGACAATCCAATGACTGACATTGTGAGCAACGATGTACGCGGGGGTTTACCGGGACACCATGCCACACAAGCAACCAAGCCACCGAGCCTGACCATCCGATCCATTAAGTCACCTAGTACATAGGTTTCTGGGGGCAAATTCTCACCCGCAACTCCAGATAGGAAGTGACGTACTCCTTTCAAAAACAACATATAGTATTATCTTTCCGACATTCGACATTACTACTAAGATGGCACTTAAATCTATTATTTTGAATTTAATTCTTTTTTTAAATATTTCTTCCATCGACCCAATTGGTAAAAACAGATGCATTATATTTCTGACTGCAGCTTTAGACAATATGATATAAATAAAAACACTTTTCCTGGAACAAACGGAATATTGACTGAACGAGTGTAATACCACATCAGGAATAATATGATAGCAAGTGCCCCAAAAAAGCAATCCAGCTCCACAACACAGGACACCATCCACATCCTAACCTAGCCCTCCAGCTCCACAACACAGGCAACCATCCACATCCTAACCTAGCCCTCCATCTCCACAACACAGGACACCATCCACATCCTAACCTAGCCCTCCAGCTCCACAACACAGGACACCATCCACATCCTAACCTAGCCCTCCATCTCCACAACACAGGACATCATCCACATCCTACACTTGGCCCTCCATCTCCACAACGCAGGACACCATCCATATCCTAACCTAGCCCTCCATCTCCACAACACAGGACACCATCCACATCCTAACCTACCACTCCATCTCCACAACACAGGACATCATCCACATCCTAACCTACCACTCCATCTCCACAACACAGGACACCATCCACATCCTAACCTAGCCCTCCATCTCCACAACACAGGACACAATCCACATCCTAACCTACCACTCCATCTCCACAACACAGGACACAATCCACATCCTAACCTACCACTCCATCTCCACAACACAGGACACAATCCACATCCTAACCTACCACTCCATCTCCACAACACAGGACACCATCCACATCCTAACCTACCACTCCATCTCCACAACACAGGACACAATCCACATCCTAACCTACCACTCCATCTCCACAACACAGGACATCATCCACATCCTAACCTAGCCCTCCATCTCCACAACAAAGGACACCATCCATATCCTAACCTAGCCCTCCATCTCCACAACACAGGACACAATCCACATCCTAACCTACCACTCCATCTCCACAACACAGGACATCATCCACATCCTAACCTAGCCCTCCATCTCCACAACACAGGACATCATCCACATCCTAACCTAGCCCTCCATCTCCACAACACAGGACACAATCCACATCCTAACCTACCACTCCATCTCCACAACACAGGACACCATCCACATCCTAACCTAGCCCTCCATCTCCACAACACAGGACACCATCCACATCCTAACCTAGCCCTCCATCTCCACAACACAGGACATCATCCACATCCTAACCTAGCCCTCCATCTCCACAACACAGGACATCATCCACATCCTAACCTACCACTCCATCTCCACAACACAGGACACAATCCACATCCTAACCTACCACTCCATCTCCACAACACAGGACACAATCCACATCCTAACCTACCACTCCATCTCCACAACACAGGACACCATCCACATCCTAACCTACCACTCCATCTCCACAACACAGGACACAATCCACATCCTAACCTACCACTCCATCTCCACAACACAGGACATCATCCACATCCTAACCTAGCCCTCCATCTCCACAACAAAGGACACCATCCATATCCTAACCTAGCCCTCCATCTCCACAACACAGGACACAATCCACATCCTAACCTAGCCCTCCATCTCCACAACACAGGACATCATCCACATCCTAACCTAGCCCTCCATCTCCACAACACAGGACACAATCCACATCCTAACCTACCACTCCATCTCCACAACACAGGACACCATCCACATCCTAACCTAGCCCTCCATCTCCACAACACAGGACACCATCCACATCCTAACCTAGCCCTCCATCTCCACAACACAGGACATCATCCACATCCTAACCTAGCCCTCCATCTCCACAACACAGGACATCATCCACATCCTAACCTACCACTCCATCTCCACAACACAGGACACCATCCACATCCTAACCTAGCCCTCCATCTCCACAACACAGGACATCATCCACATCCTAACCTAGCCCTCCATCTCCACAACACAGGACACAATCCACATCCTAACCTACCACTCCATCTCCACAACACAGGACACCATCCACATCCTAACCTAGCCCTCCATCTCCACAACACAGGACATCATCCACATCCTAACCTAGCCCTCCATCTCCACAACACAGGACACAATCCACATCCTAACCTACCACTCCATCTCCACAACACAGGACACCATCCACATCCTAACCTAGCCCTCCATCTCCACAACGCAGGACATCATCCACATCCTAACCTACCCCTCCAGCTCCACAACACAGGACATCATCCACATCCTAACCTAGCCCTCCAGCTCCACAACACAGGACATCATCCACATCCTAACCTAGCCCTCCATCTCCACAACACAGGACATCATCCACATCCTAACCTAGCCCTCCATCTCCACAACACAGGACACCATCTACATCATAACCTAGCCCTCCAGCTACACAACACAGGACACTATCCACATCCTAACCTAGCCCTCCATCTCCACAACACAGGACACCATCCACATCCTAACCTAGCCCTCCATCTCCACAACACAGGACACCATCCACATCCTCACCTAGCCCTCCATCTCCACAACACAGGACATCATCCACATCCTAACCTAGCCCTCCATCTCCACAACACAGGACACTATCCACATCCTAACCTAGCCCTCCATCTCCACAACACAGGACACCATCCACATCCTAACCTAGCCCTCCATCTCCACAACACAGGACACAATCCACATCCTAACCTAGCCCTCCATCTCCACAACACAGGACACCATCCACATCCTTACCTAGCCCTCCAGCTACACAACACAGGACATCATCCACATCCTAACCTAGCCCTCCATCTCCACAACACAGGACACCATCTACATCATAACCTAGCCCTCCATCTCCACAACACAGGAGATCATCAACATCCTAACCTACCCCTCCATCTCCACAGCACAGGACACCATCCACATCCTAAACTTGCCCTCCAGCTACACAACACAGGACATCATCCACATCCTAACCTAGCCCTCCAGCTCCACAACACAGGACACCATCCACATCCTAACCTAGCCCTCCATCTCCACAACACAGGACACCATCCACATCCTAACCTACCACTCCATCTCCACAACACAGGACACCATCCACATCCTAACCTACCACTCCAGCTACACAACACAGGACACCATCCACATCCTAACCTAGCCCTCCATCTCCACAACACAGGACACCATCCACATCCTAACCTACCACTCCAGCTACACAACACAGGACACCATCCACATCCTAACCTAGCCCTCCATCTCCACAACACAGGACATCATCCACATCCTAACCTAGCCCTCCATCTCCACAACACAGGACACCATCTACATCATAACCTAGCCCTCCATCTCCACAACACAGGACACCATCCACATCCTAACCTAGCCCTCCATCTCCACAACACAGGACACCATCCACATCCTAACCTAGCCCTCCATCTCCACAACACAGGACATCATCCACATCCTAACCTAGCCCTCCATCTCCACAACACAGGACATCATCCACATCCTAACCTACCCCTCCATCTCCACAACACAGGACACCATCCACATCCTAACCTAGCCCTCCATCTCCACAACACAGGACACCATCCACATCCTAACCTACCCCTCTATCTCCACAACACAGGACACCATCTACATCCTAACCTACCCCTCTATCTCCACAACACAGGACACCATCCATATCCTAACCTACCACTCCATCTCCACAACACAGGACACAATCCACATCCTAACCTACCACTCCATCTCCACAACACAGGACATCATCCACATCCTAACCTACCCCTCCATCTCCACAACATAGGACAACATCCACATCCTCACCTAGCCCTCCAGCTCCACAACACAGGACACCATCCACATCCTAACCTAGCCCTCCATCTCCACAACATAGGACAACATCCACATCCTCACCTAGCCCTCCATCTCCACAACACAGGACACCATCCACATCCTAACCTAGCCCTCCATCTCCACAACACAGGACACCATCCACATCCTAACCTAGCCCTCCATCTCCACAACAAAGGACACCATCCATATCCTAACCTAGCCCTCCATCTCCACAACACAGGACACCATCCACATCCTAACCTAGCCCTCCATCTCCACAACATAGGACAACATCCACATCCTCACCTAGCCCTCCATCTCCACAACACAGGACACCATCCACATCCTAACCTAGCCCTCCATCTCCACAACACAGGACACCATCCACATCCTAACCTAGCCCTCCATCTCCACAACATAGGACAACATCCACATCCTCACCTAGCCCTCCATCTCCACAACACAGGACACCATCCACATCCTAACCTAGCCCTCCATCTCCACAACATAGGACAACATCCACATCCTCACCTAGCCCTCCATCTCCACAACACAGGACACCATCCACATCCTAACCTAGCCCTCCATCTCCACAACACAGGACACCATCCACATCCTAACCTAGCCCTCCATCTCCACAACACAGGACACAATCCACATCCTAACCTAGCCCTCCATCTCCACAACACAGGACACCATCCACATCCTTACCTAGCCCTCCATCTCCACAACACAGGACATCATCCACATCCTAACCTAGCCCTCCATCTCCACAACACAGGACACAATCCACATCCTAACCTAGCCCTCCATCTCCACAACACAGGACACTATCCACATCCTAACCTAGCCCTCCATCTCCACAACACAGGACACCATCCACATCCTAACCTAGCCCTCCATCTCCACAACACAGGACATTATCCACATCCTAACCTAGCCCTCCATCTCCACAACACAGGACATCATCCACATCCTAACCTAGCCCTCTATCTCCACAACACAGGACACCATCCACATCCTAACCTAGCCCTCTATCTCCACAACACAGGACATTATCCACATCCTAACCTAGCCCTCCATCTCCACAACACAGGACACCATCCACATCCTAACCTAGCCCTCTATCTCCACAACACAGGACATTATCCACATCCTAACCTAGCCCTCCATCTCCACAACGCAGGACATCATCCACATCCTAACCTAGCCCTCTATCTCCACAACACAGGACATCATCCACATCCTAACCTAGCCCTCCATCTCCACAACACAGGACACCATCCACATCCTTACCTAGCCCTCCATCTCCACAACACAGGACATCATCCACATCCTAACCTAGCCCTCCATCTCCACAACACAGGACACAATCCACATCCTAACCTAGCCCTCCATCTCCACAACACAGGACACTATCCACATCCTAACCTAGCCCTCCATCTCCACAACACAGGACACCATCCACATCCTAACCTAGCCCTCCATCTCCACAACACAGGACATTATCCACATCCTAACCTAGCCCTCCATCTCCACAACACAGGACATCATCCACATCCTAACCTAGCCCTCTATCTCCACAACACAGGACACCATCCACATCCTAACCTAGCCCTCTATCTCCACAACACAGGACATTATCCACATCCTAACCTAGCCCTCCATCTCCACAACACAGGACACCATCCACATCCTAACCTAGCCCTCCATCTCCACAACACAGGACATTATCCACATCCTAACCTAGCCCTCCATCTCCACAACGCAGGACATCATCCACATCCTAACCTAGCCCTCTATCTCCACAACACAGGACATCATCCACATCCTAACCTAGCCCTCCAGCTACACAACACAGGACATCATCCACATCCTAACCTAGCCCTCCATCTCCACAACACAGGACATCATCCACATCCTAACCTAGCCCTCCATCTCCACAACACAGGACACCATCTACATCATAACCTAGCCCTCCATCTCCACAACACAGGACACCATCCACATCCTTACCTAGCCCTCCAGCTCCACAACACAGGACATCATCCACATCCTAACCTAGCCCTCCAGCTCCACAACACAGGAGATCATCAACATCCTAACCTACCCCTCCATCTCCACAGCACAGGACACCATCCACATCCTAAACTTGCCCTCCAGCTACACAACAAAGGACACAACCACATCCTAACCTAGCCCTCCATCTCCACAACACAGGACACCATCCACATCCTAACCTAGCCCTCCATCTACACAACACAGGACATCATCCACATCCTAACCTAGCCCTCCATCTCCACAGCACAGGACACCATCCACATCCTAACCTAGCCCTCCATCTACACAACACAGGACACCATCCACATCCTAAACTTGCCCTCCAGCTGCACAACACAGGACACCATCTACATCCTAACCTAGCCCTCCATCTCCACAACACAGGACACCATCCACATCCTAAACTTGCCCTCCAGCTGCACAACACAGGACACAACCACATCATAACCTAGCCCTCCATCTCAAACTTAGTGTAAAGTAGTGGCTTGTGATCTGAACTGTTAACTTTGGGGGGGGGGGGGGGTTTGCGTCCTAAACTGTATTGAAATCATGGTTTGTGTCCTAAATTGTAAATTAGGGGTTTGTGCCCTAAACAGAATGATTGAACACATTTACATGTGTCTTTGGTATATTATTAGATGCAAGACATATGTAACATCAAAAATTATTTCTGAGGGATTCTTTCACGAAGAATCATACGCGCATTCTCATTGGTTTGTCCTATTTTTGCACATAACATTCATCGATAGGGGGGCGAGTCTTCTTGCAGGTTACGGAAAGGGGCGAGTGGTGACGAATGTAGTAGTTATTATCTGCTAATTTCAAGAAGCCATTCCAAACCGGACTTCTTTCTCATCTGTACAGTGTGCCAACCGACATACTTCCACCCGAGTAGCACCTACACAGCATGTCACCTACCTTTAGGCGAATTTTCCTTGATGCCGACATAGAAAGATGCTTTCCCTAGGCTCGGTGAGTTGTCATTAACATTGGTGATACGGATGGACAAGTTAGCCGTTGTGGTCAGCCCTCCACTGTCGGTGACCACGAGTGTGATGTTGTCTAACATCTTTATGCCCTTGGGACCATCGGCGTTCATCGCCCGATACACGGCCAGTAGGCCCGTGGTACGTTGGATGGCGAAATAACCGCTGTCTGAACCTGTAGTGAGTGAGTATGGTTTTAAACCACTGAAAGCAATATTCCAGCAATATCACCCTACATCACTACTAGCATAACGGCTGGTGATCATACATTGATTTATCTTGGCGTTTCGAGTGGCCAATATTTAGATCCAAATGTACCTCAATAGCATTCCAGGGGGCACGGGTGGCCCAGGCTTTTAACAGTATTCCAGTTATATCACGGCGTGTCAGCTTAATGTGGGAGGAAAGCCAGAAGTGATGCAGGTCTCAGACGTTTATCACTTCGGTGAAACCCACGTGCACGGGTATGATGCTGACAAACCTAGAAACGCAATCGGTTCGAACCGGGATTCGAACCCACAATCATAGGTTCCTGGCGTGCCCAAGGGACGCAACTCTGCACAGCGAATCGCGGCGCCTTAGACGACTGGGCCACCTGTGCCCTCGGAGGAACATAGAAGTGACATAACTCGTAATAGGCGTTGCGATCGAGCCTAGAAATTCATGCCAAGCTCGGCAAGGGTGGAAACTGGACTTTTGTAGTCAGTTAACTCCCTTGCCTCGGGAAGATGTACCACATGAATCTAACACGCCACGATTTACATGAGTTAAAGCGGCGTTAAGCCAAACCCATTCATATTTCATAGGATAATGATTGCTACATGTATATATTATTCTTACAAAGAACCCCCAATTACTTGCAGGCATAAAATATATAATATATAACTTATCCTCACACAAGTGTAGAGATACCAATGGTTTTGTTTGGTAATTTTAACATCGAGAAAATAAAAAACACTGTAGATGGCAAGACTAGAAAAGGTGTTAATACTCTCATCTTACCTATCAGAGAATAATGTAATTTGTCGTTAACGTCAGCGTCTGTGACAGAAAACAGGCTTCCGATAATCGTCATCAACGGCAACTCCTCCGGTAAGCTGTTGTGTTCTTTAACTGTGATGACGGGTGCTTCATCGATGACATCCTCAACTTGCAAAAGTATCCGTGTCATTGAGGAGCCTCGGCCGTCTGTTGCTCTGGAACGTCATCGCATTCTGTTACTTATAGAGTGAGTAAGTGAGTGAGTGAGTTGGGTTTAACGCCGCTGTTGTTGGTTGGTTGGTTGTTGTTTAACGCCGCGCTCAGCAAAATTCCAGCTATATGACGGCGGTCTGTAAATAATCGAGTCTAGACCAGAAAATCCAGTGATTGATGTCACGAGCATCAATCCACACAATTGGGGTTGATGACATGCATCAACCAAGTCAGCGAGCCTGACCACCCGATCCCGTTAGTCGCCTTTTACGACAAGCATAGTCGCCTTTTACGGCAAGCATGGGTTGTTGAGACCAATTCTAACCAGGATCTTCACGGGTCTAACGCCGCTGTGAACAGGATTCCAGTTATATCACGGCGTGTCAGCTTGAGGTGGGAGGAAAGACCAAGTGGACGCAGACATTTACCACTTCGGTGAAACTCACGAGCACGGGTATGGTGCTGACAAACCTAGAAACATAATAGGAGCGAAACGTGGTTCGAACCAACGATCATAGGTTTCTGGCGTGCCCAAGGGACGCAACTCTACACAGAGAATTGAGGGGTTTTAGACGACTGGTTCATCTAAGCCCCCGTTACCCAAGAGATTAAAGAAGAATCATTTGAGGATGACTTGAGACTTTGTTTTAAATATTCTGTTCCCGATGCCGGAACACACAGTTCGTCTTCAGCTTTACACCAAATAAGAGGGGCGGTCGGGTAGCCTAGTGGTTAAAGCGTTTGCTCGTCACGCCGAAGACCCGGGTTCGATTCCCGACATGGGTACTATGTGTGAAGCCCATTTCTTGAGTCTTCCGCCGTGATATTGCTGGAATATTGCTAAAAGCGGCGTAAAACCATACTCACTCACTCACCAAATAAGACATCGTCCACTGCACATCTTAAAAGTGATGTGTTGTAGGTCATATAATTGTTTCAGCTCTTGCTTATGAAGAAGAGAATTGTCTGTTTTGAAGCTCTGCTTGTAAAGATATTCTGTATCCATATTTTATTAATATCTCTGAAAAAGGTGATGACACCAGGTGTTCGCTAAAAGGTAAGAATGTTCTGCTCTAGCGGTAGCACGCGCTACTAACAGAAAACATTAAAAGGAATTCATTAGATTTTTAAATGGCCATAAAGTACGCATCCTTTGAGTCGGATTCTTACAGTATATGCACACAATACAATTTAAGACTTCAAACTCACTCTGTAGTAAGAGAATGAGCGATAGTCTTCTCGTTGTCTTGGTTTTTCAGGGGGCACGGATGGCCCAGTCCTCTAAGGCGCCGAGATTCGCTGTGCAGAGTTACGTCCCTTAGGCACGCCAGAAACCTGTGATTGTGAGTTCGAATCCCGGTTTGCCCGATTATGTTCCTAGGTTTGTCAGCACCGTACCCTTGCTCGTGGGTTTCACCGAAGTGGTAAACGTCTGAGACCTGCATCACTTCGGGCTTTCCTCCCACATTAAGCTGACACGCCGTGATGTAACTGGAATACTGTTAAAAGCGGCGTTCAACACAACTCACTCACTCACTCACTCACTCACTTGGTTTTTCAAGAGTACCAAGCTTTCATTTAGTTGGGACTCATTTTTACATTATTATATGCATACAGTACATATTCAGATTTCAGACTCACCTCACTGTTAGAAGGTGAACTCTCGTCTTCTCGTAGTCTAGTTTTTTCAGGAGTACCAAACTTTCATTTTCAAAACCAAATATCCTTTCTGACTGATTAAGCGCCACCTGTTCTTCAATTTCTAGTGTATGATTATCTCCCCCTGACCACGTGATCGAGAGGTTGAGCAGAGGAAACCCAGTAGTAGTATTCTCAACAGTCTTCAGCGTGTACACTGACTCGCTAAATGTCGGACCTGCGTCAACCTTTTGGGGATCGATAAAAATCTTCATGAAAGTTTGGACATTTTTTGGTGGTTGTCCAGAATCTGCTGCTCTTAGTTCTAGAGTGAAGTATTTGACATCTTTAAATGAGGCATCGAGGAATGAGGATTCGGTTTTAAGAATTCCGGTGTCTTGGGTAACGGAGAAGATGCCGCGGGTGATGCTGCCTGCGTCTGAAACAAGATAACGTTGACAGCGATGTCATCAAACCTATTGAGCTCGTAACACTGCTAAAACCGATGAATACTTCATATATTTCATCTCAAGTTTTGTTTGTTTGTTGTTCAATGCCACACTCAGCAATATTCCAGCTATATGACGGCGGTCTGCAAATAATTGAGTCTGGACCAGACAATCCAGTGATTGACATCATGAGCCTCGATCTACGCAGTTGGGATACGATGACATGCTTCAACCAAGTCAGCAAGCCTGACCACGCGATCTCGTTTGTCACCTCTTACGACAAGCAAAGGTTGCTGAAGACCAAATCTAACCTGGATATTCACGGTGTTCACTGGTGTACCATAATAGTGAACTCAACGACACCAAGCAGAGTGCTCGTGTTGTTATTATTTACTGATGAAATAGGTGTTCATAGAAAGATTGTGGAGTCCAGTTGGAAATATATACTAGATAAAACATTTTGTCATATATCACGTGAACTGGTAACCTGACAAAACATAAACTATCAACTTTATCAGGTCCGTCGATAAAATACACATGTTATTTACAAGAAAATACAAATATCCTCTATTTCTCTGTCGACACGTCACATTTATATAAAGACCGCCTCCGTGGTCTTGTGGTAGAGCGTCCGCCCGGAGAGCTGAAGGTCCGAGTTCGATCTCCGGCCGCGTCATACCAAAAGACGTTAAAAGATGGTACTTGTTGTTACCCTGCCAGGCGCTCGGCATTAAGGGGCTGAAACAAGGACTGGTCGGCTCGGAGTCAGTATACTGTGACTGAGTGGGGTATTCATGTTAAACTACGGCATGGTATCTCAGTGGGCTAGCACTATAAATCGGCATCAGTCTGGACTAGTACAAGCAGCCACACACACACACACGTGCATACACGTCGCTATATAAGTGTAATAATCTTGGACGCGACGGTAAACCCAATTCCACCTCACCTGATTTATATAAAAGAGGCAAAACCCTTTCCATGTTCACAAGAAAGAAGTCGATTGTACCATTCCGACTATCTCAAGAGTATGTGTCCATGAACATCCACCAAATAGTGACGACACCAGGTGTTCGCAAAAAGGTGAGCATATCCTGCCCCACCAGTGGCACCCGTCACAAACACATACAATAGCAAGTCAATTGTTCACCTGGAAAAAGGGGGCACGGGTGGCCCAGTCGTCTTAGGCGGGGCAATTCGTAGTGCAGAGTTGCGTCCCTTTGGCACGCCAGAAACCTATGATTGTGGGTTCGAATCCCGGTTCAACCCGATTATGTTTCTAGATTTGTCAACACCATACCCTTGCTCGTGGGTTTCACCGAAGTGGTAAACGTCTGACACCTGCATCACTTCGGGCTTTCCTCCCACATTAAGCTGACACGCCGCGATATAACTGTAATACTGTTAAAAGCGGCCTTAAACCCAACTCACTCACTCACCTGTAAAATACATTATTCTAATCATCTGAACCTCATATAGTTTACGAAACGGTACCGTTATTAATGTTTGGTTGGGTACACTGTGTGAAACCCATTTCTGGTGTCCCCCGCCGTGATATTGCTGGAATATTGCTAAAAGCGGCGTAAAACCACACTCACTCACTTATGTTTGGCTTCTGATGGTACATTGTGCTTTGTTCTGTCTGATCGTATATTTATATGCGCTGTCGTGGGTTTTGTTTTAATCGGTTTCACGTGTGCCTTTGATGAGATATTGATGACTACTGAGACGTTTACACGTACCTGGGTGAGTGAGTGAGTTGGGTTTAACGCCGCTTTGAACTAAGCATTCACAGTTTGTTAGTCATATCACTGCGCATGGGTTTGAGGTGGGAGGAAAGCACCAAGTGGTGCATGCATACAAGACGATTAACATACAATGTAACAGACAAGATCATTGTCACAACACGCCTCTGACAATGTGTGACGCGTGCACGATTTTCCCGCGCTTTGAGCGCCACGTGGTCTAGTCCTCACAATAACAACCGTGTACCATGTTCTTTGAGGAATCTGTTTGTTGAGGAATCTGTTTGTTCACATATTTGGATAACATTTATGGAACTATGCGTGGACAAGGCTACAGCACGTGAGTAAGAAAAATTTGACTTTACTATGACACTGCGATGTCCAACAAGTATGTGTCGCCGATCTGTGACTTAAGATCTCTTCGGGATATTTTTTAACTTTTATGGATATAACTTATTATTTATGTGAACTTTTAACATTTAACATTAAGTCGTAAATAGTCTGAAATATATATAACAAGTGATGCAGGCCTCAGGCGTTTACCAATTTGGGGAAACCCACGAGCATGGGTATGGTGCTGACGCAACTCTGAACAGGGAATTGAGATGGCTTGGACGCCTGGGCCACCAACATGTTGATTGGTTTGTTGTTTTACGCCGCACTCAGCAATATTCCAGCTACATGACGGCGGTCTGTAATTAATCGAGTCTTGACAAGACAATCCAGTGATTGATATCATGAGCATCGATCCACGTAATTGGGATCGATGACATGCTTCAACCAAGTCAGCGAGCCTGACCACCCGATCCCGTTAGTCGCCTCTGACGACACGCATAGTCGCCTTTTACGACAAGTATGGGTTGCTGGTACCTATTCTACCCCGGATTTTCACGGGTCCCACCAAAGTGTATCTGAGAATATTGCTCCCAATACAAGGACCTCTTAGACAACCGTCACTGTCGACATGTGACACAGTCTCAGCGCTTTGAACACTGTGTGTACTTCCGCCCAGAGAGAGGAAGGTCGGTGGGTCGATCCACGGCCGCGTCAGAAGATGGTACTTGTTGTTACCCTGCCTGGCGCTCTGCATTAAGAGGATAAAATAAGGACTGGTCGGCTCGGTGTCAGTATGCTGTGTCTGAGTGGGATGTCCATTTGTAACTGCGATATTGTGTCTCGGTTGGCTAGTAGTATAAAACCGACATTAATCCGGTCTAGTACATGTAGGCGCGCGCACGCGCACACACGGAAGCGCTCACTCAAACACACAAGTGTATGCACGTCGCTATATGAGTGGAATAATCTAAAACGCGACGTGAAACCTTATTCACTACACCTCACCTCACCTCACCTCACCTCACCTCACCCCACCGCACCGCAAGTCACCTCACCTCACCTTGTAGACTGCATGTCATATATATTTTTGCAGCCCATGGACGATGTCAAAATGAGCTAACAATCGAATGATGTCATTGAAATTATTACCGGAAGTGACGTTGTCCAGAAAGTATGACACCTTTCCGTCGTCGCCCAGGTCCTGGTCTGTGGCTGTTATGACTGACACCATCGTTCCTACATCGGTGTTTTTCGCAAGGTGTATGTCTGACCTTGAAGTCGCCATGCTGCCGTTTGACAGTTTCCAGGAGGGAATAAACTCATTTCTTGGAAGAACCTAAAATATCATTGTAAAATTACATAGTGAGTCTTCACCAACCCATGCTTGCCGTAAAAAAAAAACATGATCGTGGGATGGAATGTTTCTAGGTTTGTCAGCACCATTCCCGTGCTCGTGGGGTGTCACCGAAGTGGAAAACGTCTAAGACCTGCATCACTTTGGGCTTGCCTCACACCTAAAGCTGATATAACTTGAATATTGTTAAAAGCGGCGTTAAACCCAACATACTCACTCACTCCTGCGTATTATATATCTCCATTCGCCACCGACGTCACCATATCAATATCTCTTATTAATTATGCTTAACATTTTCTCTTGCTCATAACCACCTCCGTGGTCCAGTGGTAGAGCGTCCGCCTGGAGAGCGGGAGGTCCGGGGTTCGATCCCCGGCCGCGTCATTCCAAAAGACGTTAAGACCCGTTAAGATCCGGGGTAGAATAGGTCTTCACCAATCCCATTCTTGCCGTAAAAGGCGACTATGCTTGTCGGGAGAGGCGACTAACGGGTTCGGGTGTCAGGCTCGCTGACTTGGTTGATGCATGTCATCGATCCCAATTGCGCGGATCGATGCTCATTGTGTTATTCATTGGGTTGTCTGGTCAAGACTCGATTATTTACAGACCGCCGTCATATAGCTTGAATATTGCTGAGTGCAGCGTTTAAGAACAAACAAACAAGTACATGAGTCAATACATTGGGTTTTACTCTGCTTTCAACAATATTACCAGGAGGCACCAAGAACAGGCAGCCAACTTTGCACCCATGTGGGAAAGAGTAACCAGATCATCTGCGTGACGAGCTAACGTTACACCGCCTCGTTATAAGCTTCCGCACCCCGTACCAGTAAACTCTTTGTGGTACCAGTTGTATCTGTCTGCACATTGGACCTGTTGAGGACCGCCTCCGTGGTCTAGTGGTAGAGCGTCCGCCCGGAGAGCGGAAGGTCCGGGGTTCGATCCCCGGCCGCGTCATACCAAAAGACGTTAAAAGATGGTACTTGTTGTTACCCTGTCAGGCGCTCGGCATTAAGGGGCTAAAACAAGGACTGGTCGGCTCGGAGTCAGTATACTGTGTCTGAGTGGGGTATTCATGTTAAACTGCGGCATGGTATCTCAGTGAGCTAGCACTATAAATCGGCATTAGTCCGGACTAGTAGAAGCACCCTCACACCTACATACACGTGCATGCACGTCGCTATATAAGTGCAATAATCTTGGACGCGACGTTAAACCCCATTTCACCTCACCTCACCTCACACATGAGGGAAAGAGTAACCAGATCATCTGCGTGACGAGCTAACGTCACATCGCTTCGTCATAAGCTTCCGCACCCTGTATAGACTATACCAGTAGACTCTTTGTGGTATTAGTTAGTTTATTTGTTGTTTAACGCCGCACTCAGCAACAGCCTAGTAACGGTTTGATAACGTTTGTAGCATTTACAGTTAAATCCAATTCCAAGTTTATTCTTTGGCCCCGCAGGTTATTTGTTTGTTTGTTTGTTGTGTAACGCCGCATTCCCGCTATATGACGGCGGTCGGTAAATAATCGAGTCCGGACCAGACAATCTAATAATTGACATCATGAGCATCGAGCCACGCAATTGGGATACGATGACATGCATCAAATCAAGTCAGCGAGCCTGACCACCCGATCCCGTTAGTCGCCTCTACGACATGCATAGTCGCCTTCGGCAAGCATGGGTTACTGAAGACCTATTCTAACACGGATCTTAAAGTGATGTTAAGATTGGTGGTATATTGATATTCGCATTGCCTTATGAGGCTCTAGAAGGTTTACAGACACATTTAGAAAGGTAGGAATTTTACAAACCTAAAGATTTTATAAAAATGGTTTATTGAAGATCAATATCACTTTTCATGTTTGTTCAGTGTACACCGATGTTAGAGTAAACTATCTTAATATATACCAAAATCAGAATGTTAACAAAATTGTTTAAATTAAGGTTATGTGATTGCACAGAAAAGTATGTAAGTTCATTTAACATGCTATGAAACAAAGAAAGTGTTTGAATTTGTAACACACCCTAGGCCATGTTCTGTAGGACTGACATTCACATTACTCATCCTACCAGGTACCCATTCACTGCTGGATTAATAGATGCACATTTCGAACCAAGTCACGTCCCTAATGAGACAATACATGCAGCATGTGATTCCCACCTTGACCAAAATGACCGTTGCTCCTGTCCTGGGTTGGCCAGCGCTTGGCGAATCCACAGCGTGGACTGTGATGGTGTAGCTGGAGTCGCCGTCGGTGTCGTAGTCGACCGTGGTGCCGTCCACTATGAGGTTATGGCCGTCAATGTTGAAAAGTGACTTGTCCCCATCAGTTATGTACATGGTTATATTGCCATTGCCTCCTCTGTCGGCGTCACTGCATGTGAGATTCACCAATGAAATGCCTGAATGAAACACAAATATCTGATCACTGATCAAGGAGGATAGTTATTATAATTGGTGAGCATATACAGTTTTAACCTCGTGAAATGTGTGATATGAATGATTGAAAAATTAACGGTATTCTGCAATTAGATTGGTTGAAAACCGTTTTTGAATCTCGCAGACCTTTCATTGCTTATGAATATTTTTCTTGATGGATAAGTATGTTTTTCTCAATCCCAAATTTGAAAAGAAGAGTCATTATGCCTGGTGATGCTGATATATATTAATTAAATACGTTTGATGAAAAATTTCAATTCAGTTGATTTTTCCACATTCTGTATACTGTGTCTGTGTGGGGTATTCATGTTAAACTGCGGCATGGTATCTCAGTGGGCCTGCTCTATACATCGGCATCAGTCTGGACTATTACAAGCAGCCACACACACACAGGCACAGACACACACACACAGGCACAGACACACACACACAGGCACAGACACACACACACAGGCACAGACACACACACACACACGTCGCTGTATAAGTGCAATAATCTTGAACGCGACGTTTAACCCCATTTCACCTCACCACACTATGTAGATAATCATGTGTTTTCAGATTTGTGGGTGTTATTGGGGTTTTTTATCCCCGGAAATTGTAACATTTTAAAACCCTGGCAATAATGCCCCGTCGGTTCCAAATAAAATTTCCGAGCATACGTAATGTATATCTCCTAAATGTGTAGCTGATCCTTTGTCGTCGAATATATTGAATAGGATGGACTTAGAAGAAATTGGGTCTGATTTTTACATTATTTATGTTAACTTTTCCTCCACCCACAAAACCCTGTTAAGACTCACTGGACCCGTGAAGATTCCGGGGTAGAATAGGTCTTCAGCAACCCATGCTTGCCGTAAAAGGCGACTATGCTTGTTGTAAAAGGCGACTAACGGGATCGGGTGGTCAGGCTCGCTGACTTGGTTGATGCATGGCATCGATCCCAATTGCGTGGATCGATGCTCATGACATTAATCACTGGATTGTCTGGTCCAGACTCGATTATTTACAGACCGCCATCATATAGCTGGAATATTGCTGAGTGCAGCGTTAAACAACAAACCAACCAACCAAGCAACTAAAACTCACTTGTAGAATTTTCCGTGACGTTCACAGTGTAGAAGGTCTGTTCGAAAAGAGGCATGTTGTCGTTGATATCTTCAATGGTCACTGTAAGGTCAGCTGTTTTCACTACGCCTCCTCCTGTGTCTACTTGAACGGTCAGTTTATCAAGAAGGAGTCTCGTCCTGTTGTCCGCGTCAATCCTTTCCTTCACTGACATCTCACCCGTGTCCCGATGAATACTGAAGAAGTGGCTGTCGTCCCCTGGTGTAAAATAATCATCTAACTTGTAATGTCAACTGAACCTTCCACAGACCTGCAAATCATGCCCACGAGTGAGTGAGTGAGTGAGTTGGGTTTAACGCCGCTTATAACAAACAGTATTACAGTTATATCGCGGCGTGTCAACTTAATGTGGGAGGAAAGCCCGAAGTGATGCAGGTCTCAGACGTTTACCACTTCGGTGAAAACCAGGAGCCTGGTATGGTGCTGACAAACCTAGAAATATTATCTCGGTGAACCGGGATTCGAACCCATAATCATAGGTTTCTGACGTGCAAAAGGAACGCGTGTCTGCACAGCGAATCGCGGCGCCTTAGACGACTGGGCCACCTGATGCAGGTCTTAGACATTCGACCCAAGAGCACGGGCATTGTGCACACGAACCTAGAAACATAATCGGGGCGAACCGGGATTCGAACCCACGGTCATAGGTTTCTGGCGTGCGCGAGGGACGCAACTCTGCACAGCGAATTGCGGCGCCTTAGGCGACTGGCCCTCTCTTGCCCCCAGAATCTTTACTGAAAATATTTCGACTTATGAAAGTTTCTTCCAGTCTTTTTAGGATTTGTACGAGTGAAGAATAATTAAGTGACATGCATCACATTGATATAATTACACACCAGTAAGTGAATAGCTGATATTCTTGGCGGAGTCTGTCGCCATGACAACAAAGAGACTGGGCACAGGTAACCCTGCTGGGATCTCTTCTGGTATTTTGACATCGGACTTTGCGCTGACGGATACCATGTCGGACTTGTTCGGACTTTCAGTCTCGTCTCCATGAATGGACACGGCACATGACGCCACATGGACACCGTCGGATGCTCTGTAACAGAGAGAAGATCACAATTGTAAAATATTTAGCCTTGGCCCCATTAGTCGTTGGAATGAGTGAGCTTGTCTTAACGCTACAATGACTTAGTTGGTTGGTTCGTTGTTTTACGCCGCACTCAGCAATATTCCAGCTGTATGACGGCGGTCTGTAAATAATCGAGCCTGGACCAGACAATCCAGTGATTGATGTCACGAGCATCCATTGACATCCACGCAAGTTGGATACGATGACATGCATCAACCAAGTCAGCGAGAATGACCACCCGATCCCGTTAGTCGCCTCTTACGACAAGCATAGTCGTCTTTTACGGCAAGCATGGGTTCCTGAAGACCTATTCTACTCCGGATCTTCACGGGTAAGTAACTATAGAAACGAATACAGAGCAAAGAGAGAACTAAACCTCTTTTCGAAGATAAAGGATTCCGATCACAAATATGTCCAACCTTAGTTCTATCAAATAGCTTTTTCTTTTGGACAATTTATTCTTGGTCTTCAGCTTGGAATCTAAATATTCAAACAGATCCTTGTCTCTTCCTAAGATACTGTAGCTGATGGTGTCGTTGTCAACGTCTTCGGCTATGATTGTTGCCAATGATGATCCTGGCGGCTTGTCGGTGGACAATTCCAAATCTTCAAGAGTCTTTTCGAATCTGGGGACATTGTCATTAATGTTTTCAATCTTGAGGACAAGAGTTCCAGTCACTGTCGTGGGTTTGGTTCCTGTGTCTGCTGCTTCGACAACCAGAGTCAACGTATCCATTCCGGCAGCGTCGCTGTCAAAGAGGCGTACCGTCCTTAAAACACCTTTATTGGGGTCCAGTGAAAAGTATTCTGTGACGTTAACGCCAGAACCTGAAGATAAGCAGATTTAGTGTCCGTGTTATATTCCAAGGGCAAGTGCATTTTCAAAAAGAATTGGATCTAACACAATGTCCATAAATAGACATGCATGATTTCTTGTTATTAGCCGAACACTCGGACAGTGAATGGTCTTTTAAGGCTGGGTTTTATCAAAAGAAAGAAATTGTCTCAGAAATGCTTGAAAAAAATAAATATGTGTCCGACTGTTACAAAAAGAAAGTAATAGTCTGCCACCAAAAACACAATGGTTTATGAAAAATATTTAGCCTAATAGTTTTAATTAAAGAAATATCAGGTTTTGCAGATATAGCTAAAAACATATCTAGTCTAGTCGAGGGAGGGAGGGAGTTGGGCTAAAAGCTGCTTTGAAAAGTATTTCAGTTATATCACGGTTGGCAGCTTGATGTAGGACGAAAGCCCGATGTTGATGTGATTCTTCGACGATAATCACTTTAGAGCAGACCTTGACACACAAGGAGAGCACGGTGATAGGTTTCTGGCATACGAAAGGGGCGTTACTCTGCACGGCAATTGGTGGCACCTATCACAGACCTCATTGAGCCCACGAGCACACTGGTGCTGACTAACCAAAAAATATAATCTGGACTAATTTGAGATTCGAACCCACGACAAGCTAAGGGGCGAAACACCGAAGTGGGAATTCAGTGCCTTATACTATTTCGCCATGATCGTGAATTGTAATGAGAATTCTTATCTAATTCTCCAAACATTCACACCGATTAAGGGGCGGCCGGGAAGTCTAGTGGTTAAAGCGTTCGCTTGTCACGCCGAAGACCCGGGCTCGATTCCCGACATGGGTACAATGTGTGAAGCCCATTTCTGGTGTCCCCCGCCGTGATATTGCTGGAATATTGCTAAAAGCGGCGTAAAACCTCACTCACTCACTCGATTGGTAATTTCAGCCCTTCTCCGTCTCGATTTATAATGGATGCAAAACGCCAGTAAAACGTTATCCAATTGCAGTTAGAGGTCCTTGCAGTCATATTATAACAGTTTACCAGATGTTGCTGAAGCTAATGTGTACCGCACATAGCCATCAACGCCGACGTCCTCATCGCTTGCTGTGAAGAGGGCCACCTCAGAAAAGAAGCTGATGTTCTCCGGAACACTGATACCCTTGAAATTATCCTTGTCTTTCATTTCTGGGGACGTCCATGTAGGGGAGTATTCGTTCTTTGAAACTATCTGCAGCGGTGGAAATACAGAGTATTTTAGTTTTCTTTCGGCGGTTAACAAACTTATAAAAAAATTAACAGAACTTGAACGCTTCACCCTTTGTGAACGTCCCGGCCACAGAGGGAACATCACATGGTATTCCCCTGGTGATAGGTCTACAACTTATATCATTCACTCAGGCATTAATCCGGTCAGTGATGCCTGTCACTCCCATTTAATCTATTAATCTTAAACGTCAACGCCAGAGAATAATCAGTCTCGATTCCACTGGGAGTAAATGGAAAAATTGTGGTGAGAATTATATGGATGGTTCACGCCAGAGAATATTCACCTTAACCATCCACCGAAATAGATTCCATTGGACGTGAAAGGAAGAATATCGGTGAAAATTATATGAATATATCATGCTGATATCCTACAGTCAAGCAATCTCATTAAAATCAGATCTTAGTTCTCGCTACCGCTAAACAAAGATCTGAGGACATCCCATTAGGGGTCAAACCGACCTTTCATCCGACCAATCAGAGCGTCGCTTACCACATCATGAAAGTGACAGTCGGAATGTGATTTCTTATAATGCAGCCATTGAAAACTTTAAACCGGGGTATTCCGAAAGTTAGTTACGGGCTTAACGACTAAATCTATACAATCTAGACCATATATTAGCCATTCAAGAATGTTCTTTTGTTCATGTTTCAAATTTGTAAGCGAGAACTTGTCAAAATATGTTTCGAAGCGTAGTCGCCAATTTGAAATGAGTGCCGTAGAGCACGAGAAAGCTGCCTTCTAATTGGCTCACGTCGACTTCTTGTCAGTAATTCCATTGGTCGGTCAGAGTTCGCGAAAGGTCGGTCTGACGTGACCCGTAATGGGATGTCCTCAGATCTTTGTTTAGCGGCAGCGAGAACTAAGATCTGATTTTAATAAGATTGACAGTCAAGATCCTGGAGAAGCATTTGGTTCTAGGGACCAACTCTGAATTTATAACGTCAACGCCAGATAATAACCAGTCTCGATTATCCGACGAAACATTCCATTGGGTACACAAGGAGTGAGTGAGTACGGTTTTACGCCGCTTTTAGCAATATTCCAGCAATATCACGGCGGGGGACACCAGAAATGGGCTTCACACATTGCACCCGTGTCGGGAATCGAACCCGGGTCTTCGGCGTGACAAGCGAACGCTTTAACCACTAGGCTACCCGACCGCCCTGGGCACACAAGGAAGAATAGCATTGACGTTATAGAAGCTACTACTTACGGACACGTAGATACTAGCGGTGCTTGTCTTGGCGTCACCCAGTGATGGCGCATCGGATCCCTCCACAGAAAACCTCAGTATAGAGTTGGCCTCTCCAAGTGTCTCAAAATCCATTTTGTCACCATCAGCATATAGATTAATTCCTTCGAGGTGGAAAAGGTCTTTTAAATCATCACCAGTCTTTAAAGTTAGAGAAACATTCCCGTTCGGACCTTCGTCAGCGTCAAACGTTCGAATTCTTGTCAATAGTGTGTCTGTAGAAAAACAAGGGTCATAATTAGGTGAGTTTTGCATTCGAGTTGGGTTTATCGCCGCTTTAAATAGTACTTCAGTTATATTACGGCGTCTTGTAAAGTCCGAAATGGTACAGGTCTTAGACGCATACCACCTGGCGAAACACACGCCGGTAAGGCGCTAAAAACATGAAAACAAAATCAGGGCTAACCGGAATTGGAGCCCGTATGCAATGCCTTAGGCGTCTTGACCACTCGTGCCCTTTCTGGGTGACTTCTTCTTGCTTGATTATTGCTGAGTGCGGCGTTAAACAACAAACCAAACAAAGATCCGGGGTAGAATATGTCTTCAGCAACCCATGCTTGTCGTAAAAGGCGACTATGCTTGTCGTAAAAGGCGACTAACGGGATCGGGTGGTCAGACTCGCTGACTTGGTTGATGCATGTCATCGATCCCAATTACGTGGATCGATCCTCATGATATTAATCATTGGATAGTCTTGTCCAGACTCGATTATTTACAGACCGCCGTCATATAGTTGGAATATACCTGAGTGCGGCGTTAACCAACAAACCAACCAACAACAAAAACTTCTTGCTCTTAAACCAACGTCTAGGTGATCCCGGCATAGATGAAGGACTCACTCTGCACCACTCCAAAGGCCATTTGACTGCCGGGGCGGTCGGGAAGCCTAGTGGTAAAAGCATTCGCTCGTCACGCCGAAGACCCGGGTTCGATTCCCGACATGGGTACAATGTGTGAAGCCCATTTCTGGTGTCCCCCGCCGTGATATTGCTGGAATATTGCTAAAAGCGGCGTAAAACCATATTCACTCACTCAATTACTCCCAATTTGACTGCCCGTTTATGAACAAAACATCCCATGATCAATGCATCGATAAAATAGCCTGTTAACAAATACATATTAATTTTCCTTTCTACATCAAGAGGACAATGTGTGTGGTGAAAAAGCAGTATTCTTACGACTTGAAGAGTTTTCACCAACGTTGAGGTGATAGATATTCTTTTCGAAGCAAGGATAGTTGTCGTTGATGTCTAACACTTTCAAAGAGCGAACGGATTTAGCCTCATGACTGCCTGAGTCCTTGACGATGAAGGTCAGGTTGGGGAAGCCATGAGGTCCTCTTGGCAAGTCCCGGTCAATGTGGTCGATGATCCTGAGGACGTTGTTGGTGAAGTTGAAGTAGCTCGCACCATCACCTGGTCAGGAAACAACTAATATAGTCTCACATCAACTGGATTTGTTGAGATCTGCCCGCAACAGATTACATTTGTATGTTTACAAATGATCATCCGTTTCCGCAACGAGATTTTCAATACTTGAAACCAATGCGCCGTTTCTGTTGGTAAGCGCAACCAATATCTACAATATCAAAATATTAACTGCACTCAAAAATATAGAGAAACATTACAAACTAAACAAGGCACAATCTTGCTGGCCGGATAGTCTAAACTAGGTCGATTTTCAGGACACGCATGTGTCAAAGGATACACATCCTGTGTACCCGTGAAGATCAGGGTTAGAATTGGTCGTCAGCAACCTATGCTTGTCGTCAGAGGCGTCGTCAGGCTGGCTGACGGTAGTCAACGTATACCAACTGCTTAGATCTATGCTCATGATGTCAATCACTGGATTGTCTGGTCCAGACTTGATGATTTACAGACCGCCGTCATATACGTTGAATATTACTGAGTCCGGCGTTCAGCAACAAACAAAGACAAGAATGTTATGCTTCTCTACATATCAAGCTGTCCCCGTTAGAAAATAATGTAACATATCACCGTTTCTAACCTGCCGGGCAAAAGGATACACTTGGAATTGGATTTGACTGAAAAAAATACAAACGTTATCAAACCGTTACCAGGCTAAAAACAGTCGCCAAAAAACTGCACACTTGAGGTCAAAACAGACAACTATGAGACCCGTATGAAATACATCACTATCGAATAACCATTTCTGTTTGTTTTTATTTCTAGTCTCCATCAAACATAGATGTATATTTCTTTTGCCTAGCAGTTTATATTCTTTTTATATGTTGAATGTTCTAAATCTCTAAATGAGATTAAATTGTGGGAATTCACCTTGCAAAATATAAGTAAGATTGTCGTTAGGATCAGCGTCCACCGCTTTGAACAAGCCACCAAGAATGGACCCTATTGGCATCTCTTCTGGAATCCCAAGGTCATCACCGAACGTCAGAACTGGGGTTTCGTCGTTAACGTCAATAACATTGACGCTAAGAGTAACGGGAACAGTGTATAAGCCGTCAAATGCTCTGAAACAGTGGTTACAAATATACAACATGAATACAACTTACTCCATCTGGTAAATCCAGATCTATTACCTTACAAAACCTGTTGGTCGAATGGGGGTCAGCTGAGGTGGCATGGGGTTAAGGTCGCGTACAAGACTATCGCACTTAAGTGCGACGTGTTTCCCAGGTCAAAACTCATTTACAGCCCGCAGTGATTCGGCTGCGGCATAAAACAACATTTACTCACTCACAGTTCTATTTTACACCATCATTATTTTCTTAACACGTGTTAAATATATCATGCTTAATTGGTGTACTTTTTTTAAATTCTATATGTGTGTTTGTTGTTTAACGCCGCGTTCAGCAATATTCCAGCTATAAATATTCGATTCTGGACAAGACAATCCAGTTAGTGACATTATGAGCAACGCACCACGAAATCGGGGTACGATAACACGCAGTCAACCATGTCTTCCAGCTGAGCCCCATCCATTTGGTTGCCTCTTGCGACCGACCCGTGAAGATCCGGGGTAGAATAGGTCTACAGCAACCCATGCTTGCTGTTAAAGCGACAGACTATGCTTGTCTTAAGAGGCGACTAACGGGATCGGGTGGTCAGGCTCGCTAACTTGGTTGATGCATGTCATTGATTTCCAGTTGCGTGGATCGATGCTCATGATATCAATCACTGGATTGTATGGTCCTGACTCGATTATTTACAGACCGCCGTCATATAGCTGGAATATTGCTGAGTGCGGCGTTAAACAACAAACCAACCAACAAACCAACCTCTTGCGACCAGCTTAAGTTTCTGGGGACCAGTTCTAACCCGGAGTCCCCTCGGGGATATGTTAGATGGTGTAAAGTTTCTTATTGTATTAGGGGCGGTCGGGTAGCCTATTGGTAAAAGCGTTCGCCCGTCACGCCGAAGACCCGGGTTCGATTCCCGACATGGGTACAATGTGTGAAGCCCTTTTCTGGTGTCCCCCGCCGTTATATTGCTGGAATATTGCAAAAAGCGTCGTAAAACCATATTCACTCACTCACTTATTGTATTACATCAAAGTGAAAATTGAACATTTAGACAGCACCTGCACGACAACGTTTTAAGGCTTACTCTATTTTAATGGTATACCGCCTCTCCTTCTCATAATCCAGTGGACGAGTGAGTATTAAACTGGCGTTGTTGATGTGGAACAGGTCCCCATGACTCTTCAGTGAATACGTTATGTTGTCGCCTTCATTGTCTTCACACAGAAAGTGCAATAATGTCTGTTGAAGTATGATATGCTCTTAAGGATAGATATTATTAATGTACAACTTGATTTAGTCACGATATGGCTGAAATATTGCCGATGTGACTAAAATCTTAACTCACTCACTCTTAAGGATAGATGTTAATTATTTAACTCTGGGTGTGTGTTTTTTATTAGGTGAAATTGGGTTTAACGTCGCGTCCAAGATTATTGCACTTATAAAGCGACGTGCATGCTCGTGTGTGTGTGTATGGCTGCTTGTACTAGTCCGGACTGATGCCGATTTATAGTGCTAGCTCACTGAGATACCATGCCACAGTTTAACATTTATACCCCACTCAGACACAGTATACTGACTCCGAGCCGACCAGTCCTTGTTTTAGCCCTTAATGCCGAGCGCCAGACAGGGTAACAACAAGTACCATCTTTTAACGTCTTTTGGTATGACGCGGCCGGGGATCAAACCCCGGACCTTCCGCTCCCTGGGCGGACTCTCTACCACTAGACCACGGAGGCGGTCTCTCTTTGTTTGAGGTTCGACTGATCTAATATTTCCAAAATATGAAATAAAATATGCGAGAAAGCTTTCAACGTCTTTAAGAGCTTTCATGAAAGATAAATCTTCAAAGTAAGTCAAGTGGAGGTTGAGGTGTCAACATGTGGGAGATAGACCTGACGTGGTGCAGCCCTTAGACGTTTCGGCTTCTTATTTATTTTTCTTTCGTTTACTTTATTTCATTTTCCTTTACCTCATAATGCATCCCTGGATGACGGGTATGATACTGACAAACCAAGCATAGATGGGCGAATCTTGGATGAGCCAAGGAATGAGATGCATATATGTCCATGTCTGTTGATTGGTATACTTACCTTATCCGCTGGGCTGTCCTCGTGGACGTCGATCAGCGTTGATCCTGTCGGTAACGGTGCGGCAAACACAGGCGGGGTGTCTGATATAGATGATAGTGAGGTTATAACATCATACACAAAACTTACACACGAACTACGAAGAATTCATATTAGTCCAGTTCCTTTTGAATATAGACCGCCTCCGTGGTCTAGTGGTAGAGCGTCCGCCCGGAGAGCGGAAGGTCCGGGGTTCGATCCCCGACCGCGTCATACCAAAAGACGTTACCTCATTGTAATTTGAATCCGAAAGGTCTTGTATTATAAGTAAACATTGCAGTCAAAGATCAGCCTGTTTTTTAACCCAAATGTGTCTGCCATGTTTGAGATTACTTTTGTGATATTTTTGACCAATCGTAGGCAAGTTTACAATTAACGACACCAGGACTGCACTGAATATTATTTTCCGACCAATCAGATTTATCGTTTCTAAATAGATACTGTCATAGCTGGCTGTGACAAGCATGGCGTTTGCTAAACAGATTAATCAAATGAACATTAAAACATTTCTTTTGAATTAAAAGTTTTTATTGCCGTTTATACCATATTTTATTGAATTTAGACCATAAAATTGAATTTATTGAATTAAGACCATAAAATTAAAGGACAGTACATAGCATTTAAAAATCATCAGCCCGGAGAGCGGATGGTCCGGGGTTCGATCCCCGGCCGCGACATACCAAAAGACGTTAAAAGATGGTACTTGTTGTTACCCTGTTTGGCGCTCGGCATAAAGGGGCTAAAACAAGGACTGGTCGGCTCGGAGTCAGTATACTGTGTCTGAGTGGGGTATTCATGTTAAACTGCGGCATGGTATCTCAGTGAGCTAGCACTATAAATCGGCATCAGTCCGGACTAGTACAAGCAGACACACACACATGCACGTAGCTATATAAGTGCAATAATCTTGGACGCGACGTTAAACCCCATTTCACCTCATCTCACCTTTTGAATATGGTACTTCGGCAACCCATGCTTGCATAAAAGGCGAATATGCTTTTGGGAAACATTGACATGCACCTACCAAGTCAGCGAGCCTGACCACCCGATCCCGTTCGTCGTCTCTGACGACAAGCATAGTCGCCTTTACAGCAAGCATGGGGTGCTGAGACCAATTCTAACCCGGAGTGACGCCCTGTATATTCTTTCATTTGGTTGAGTTCCTTGTACTGACGTCGGATTGTTATTACATATATCCAAAGAAGGAATGTATACAATTATTTGTTTGTTTAACGCCACACTCAGCAATATTCCAGCTATATGACGCCAGTCTGTAAATAATGGAGTCTGGACCAGACAATCTGGTGACTGACATCATGAGCATCGATGCAGATGGGATACGGTGACATGCAGCAACCAAGTTAGCGAGCCTGACCATCAGATCCCGTGAGTCGCCTCTTAAGACAAGCATAGTCGCCTTTACAGCAAGCATGGGTTGCTGAAGACCTATTCTACCCCGGATCTTCAGCAACCCATGCTTGCTGTAACAGGCGACTTTGCTTGTCGTAGGGGGGGACTAACGGGATCGGGTGGTCAGGCTCGCTGACTTGGTTGATACATTTCATCGATCCAAGTTGCGTGGATCGATGCTCATGATGTCAATCACTGGATTGTCTGGTCCAGACTCGATTATTTACAGACCGCCGAATGAATACCCCACCCTGACACAGTATACTGACTCCGAGCCGACCAGTCCTTGATTTAGCCCCTTAATGCCAAAAAACAAGTACCATCTTTTAACGATTTTTGGTATGACGCGGACGCTCTACCACTAGACCACGGTGGCGGTCGCAAGTGGAATTAACCAAAATGATAAGACCTGCATCACTTCGGGCTTTCCTCCCACATTAAGCTGTCACGCCGTGATATAACTGGAATACTGTTCGAAGCGGCGTTAAACCCAATTCACTCACTCACATTTGTTTAACTAACCGGTTTACAGGACATGTTCAAAAACAGTTGGTGGTGGAATTGAGTGCCTATTTACCACTTTTCATCAGACGTGTTAAAAAAGAGCACACAAACACATGCCACTAGTTTGTCATCTGACATAATTCTTCGACATACCTATTCGAAATCTCCAATCTCCCGGAACCCCGCTCGTAAAAATGCTGATGAAATTAACCCCATACGTTTGGGGACCTTTGTAATCCAAGAGTGGATATTCACTGTGAATGTCGGTTCCATCTCCGACCTTGATCCGTCCATCTGTCCATGAGATCCATAATGGACTAAATTTGTCCTCAACGATGGATGTTCCTAATCCTGATTTATGGAATGTGCTACACGATATGCACCCATATTTGATGCCGTTGTTCCTTTGCTTCCCGTCATTGCTTGTGAAAGCAAGATTGATGCAGTAATATCTCCCCTTTTTAGGATTAAATTTGTTGGACTCGGAAAGAACTATGAATGCCCGACCCTTTCCCTTGGCCTCAAACAGTAGACGATCTGTTCCGCTGATTGGCACTCCTAGTAAATTGACCATATTCAGGTTACCAGTTCCATCAGTCTTCAGCTCTTTGAACACACCTGGAAAAGAATTAACTTTTATTAACTTTTAACGGATTAACTTTTATGATGCTGGACCTACTACATTTTATAAGTTATTTACATGAATTTTGGTTTAGCACAGAAGACTGGCCAAATTATTTGAAAAGCTTCTTTAAAATGCTTAGCTGATAAAGTACACTTAAAAGACCGACTATTTGATATTTGGAGTGGGGCCTGGATTTTGTATGCAGCCTGGTTCCCTGGGTATGCTGCGCAGTCGCTACAGTGTAACTGACTATAGAAGTCCAGTTTCCACCCTTGCCGAACTTGGCTGTTATAATGGAGTTACATTTTGGCTGGACTAACGAGTCTATGCACAGTCCAATCAAAATCGCGCAACGAAATCGAAATCCGGTTGGTAAACTGTCGTGCAGATTTCGGTCGATTGCAAGATTTGCAAAGCATGTGCACCGCCAACTCGTTGTCTACAGATATTTTCCAAGTCTTTTTATGTTTTAATCAAGGTGCTCGCGTGATTTGATGCACTTGATTCCCGACATGGGTACAATGTGCGAAGCCAATTTCTGGTGTCCCCCGCCGTGATATTGCTGGAATAATGCTAAAAGCGGCGTAAAACCATATTCACTCACTCACTCTTGCCCAGGAAGATGCATACCCAGGGAACCAGGCTGTTTTGAATGTAGATTTGATATTCTTTTCGGCTACAGCTGCAAAACCAGACATCTCTTTAATTTAAACTATGAGCCCAATTATCTTTTTTTTTTAAACCTTGCAACAAAGTATTTTTTTGTGGCAGACACTTTCATTTTTATTCTACGAAAGCGCCTTAGTACGGAAACGCTGAGGGTTATGAATATGAGAAAAAATCATTATTATGTCGTGCACGAGATAGTTAAGTGCGCGCGCGAAATAATATACAGTGCGCGCGAAATAATATACCATGCGCACGAAATGAACTGACATTATTGACATTATGACTGCATATGTCGAGTACATTTCTTGTTAATCGTCAAATCTGAAGACCAACAACAGTACATACTTGTATTGGTGTCATATCAAAAAATAAATTCATGCTTTAAGTAAGTTAAAAGATATTGTTTTAAAATTAATAAGTCAAATTTATTAGCGCATTGGTACGCAGCGGACATGTGGTGTATATACCAACGGAAAAAAAGTAACTGCTTCAAAATAAGTTCACCCGTGAAGATCCGGACACACGCGTTGCTCACGGTGTCGGTGTTACAAGTCGATACCAGATTCTCTAAACGTCGTTTGATAGAAGTTAATTGCAAACAAGTTAACATGTCAAAGTTAGGTAAGCATTGCCAAATCATACATTCTCAGGCTTGAGAATGGGCCTATAAAGTCATAAATTACACGGAGAAAGGATGTACAAGAAAATCTCAAGCATTGTCAAAAGATAACATGCCCAGACAGGACACGCACTTATCCATCGTACTACTTGTCGCGGACCACCCGCTACCCCTTTCTTCCCAATGGTACACGCCAATGGGCGGACCTCATACATTGTCATACGGGATTAATTGTTAGGTCACAACTCAACTTGTCCTGGCTTACCATTAGTTAGTGAGATACGAGTAACAATGGAAGAGATGGGGCATGAAATAGGGGTTTAACGTCGTGGTAGAGATTATTGCACTCATATAGCGACGTGCATGCACGTGTGTGCGTGCGACTGCTTGTACTAGTCCGAACTTATGCCGGTTTCAAGTGCCATACCATGCCGTGATATAACATGGTTACCTCCTTTGTTATATCCCCTTAATGCCAGGCAGGGTAACAACAAGTTCCATCTTTTTACGTCTTTTGGTATGACGCAGCGGAGGAGGAGATTGGCCTGGTCCCGTTCCACAAAACGAAAGTAGCTCTACGACTACCGTAAACCTATGTTAAAGTATGCGATCACGATCACCTTAGAGCTAAGATCGCTTTGTGGAAGGGGATCTAGGCCATTTGCACTCGGGTTTCGAGTGGAAAGCCAAATGTACGTTAGAGTGAATTGTTTACTTCGTACAGGAATGTGCTATTTGTGGCAGTCGAGGATTTGGCTGTGCCGAAATACAATGATTACACAACGGTAAGTTAACATCCAGATAACGTGCTGTGAGGAGTCCTCTACATATTACTAAACATAAACGGGGGGGCACGGGGGGCACGGGGGGCCCAGTCGTCTAAGGCGCCGCGATTCGCTGTGCAGAGTTGCGTCCCTTGGGCACGCCAGAAACCTATGATTGTGGGTCCGAATCCCGGTTCGCCCCGATTATGTTTCTAGGTTTGTCAGCACCATACCCGTGCTCGTGGGTTTCACCGAAGTGGTAAACGTCTGAGACCTGCATCACTTCTGGCTTTTCTCCCACATTAAGCTGACACGCCGCGATATAACTGGAATGTTGTTAAAAGCGGCGTTAAAACCAAACTCACTCACTAAACTTGAACGGAGAAGACTAAATATGAAACCACATAACACCTATTGTTTCACGTTTATCATGAACACGGCTATAACGAACACACGGAAATAACAAACCATGTTCCCGAACATGTTCAAGAAATATTTTGGTTCTCATTTCAATCCAAGATGGCGGACATATTCTCAAATTTCGCGAGTAACAAACAACGGATATAACAAACTGATTTTCGAGTTATTTATATCCTTGTTTTTCTGCATATAGTTATATTAAATAACATATCTTAATGATTTAATTCCAGCCACATTACGGCGGGGGGACACCAGAATTGGGCTTCACACATTCTTCCCATGTGGGGAATCGAACTCCGGGCCGGCGTGACGAGCGAACGCTTTAACCACTAGGCTACCCGATCGCCCCACTCTGTGTCGGAAGATATTCAAATTACTACTCAGGGATTGAGTAGTAGAACTTTCTTCTTTTCACCCATGTGTATGTGCCTAAATACTCCTTAAGTACCCATGGCGATTTCGGGTAAGAAATGACAATATAGGTCCTCAGCAACCGACCCGTGAAGATCGGGGGTAGAATAGGTCTTCAGCAACCCATGCTTGCCATAAAAGGCAACTATGCTTGTCGTAAGAGGCGACTAACGGGATCTTATGGTCAGGCTCGCTGACTTGGTTGATGCATGTCATCGTATCTCAATTGTTTGGATCGATGCTCATGACATCGGTCACTGGATTGTCTGGTCCAGGCTTGATTATTTACAGACTGCCGTCATATAGCTTGAATATTGCTGAGTGCAGCGTTAAACAACAACCAACCACCCCTAGCAACCTATGCTCCATCACAAGGGGCGACTAAACGGATCGGGTGGTCACGCTCGGTGACTTGGTTGATTTTATGTCATCGTATCCCATCTGCGCGGATTGTTGCTCATGGTATCAATCACTGGATTTACTGGTTTGGGTTCGATTTTTACAGATTGCCATCATACTTGAATATTGCTGTGTTCGGGATTAAACAACACATGGGCCTTAACTATACATGCTTCTGTTTAGGTCTGGAACATCTCCAGGTTGAGGTAAAGGTTACAAATATGAAAGATCCTTACCTGCTCGAATTGTTCCAAAAACGACCAATGCCACTGTCCATTTTAATATGGTGGCGTGGTTAGGACAAAACTCGCGCATCCCGACAGCTTCTAAAACAGCAGAGAAGAGAAGATCAATTTGGAACTGTTTCATTTCGGGTACATATGTTAATAGCGACCGGAAGATGGTTTGGTTAGCAACATAACAGAAGTTGACCATGTCTGGCATCGACTTATTTCGCAAACTACACACACCTCGGGGAGGCTGAGGTCGCGAGGATGGCTGAACAGAGGCGAGTATGGTGCCTTATATGATTTGTATTTTCGGATGATTGTTATCTGTAGACATATGCATATTTATGACTTTAAAGTTAAACATTCTTCATTGTAACTATCATCCAGACGTCGCCTCGATGAATCTGGACATTGTTCCACAAAGCGATCTTAGCGCTACGACTATCGTAAGCCAGTGTTAAAGTATGGGCGTTACGATCACCTTAGCGCTAAGATGGCTTTGTTGAACGGGGCCCAGGACAGTTTTTCCTTAATGAAGAAACCACACACCAGGAAAAAGACGTCATAGTAATATACTCCGTTTTGCTAATAGTTTCTCACACCTCTCTTGGTCTGCATTAGTTATTGTATTTTAGTAATACAAGTCTTTTTTCAAATATCTGGAATTAAGCAAATGTACTGTTAATTAAAATATGATCTACCTTAAATTCCAGACTTTTTCATGTCTTTTTCCACGCATTCATCGCTGTTGAAGATATAACTACGACCTTCCTTCTCCGTCTGAAGTTCAATATGCAAGATGTCAGCAATAAGTAGTCGTGTAAACTATGAGTAGATACTATCCATTTCTGACCCCTACACATTCACGAGATGCTATCTATATTTGCTTGACAGATCAGTATAAAGTGGCTGAAACGCTCTGATTTATGTTTCTTTAGCGTTTGATGGTGGTGAATACATATCAAAGATAACCAAGTCTTTTGACAGTCCTTGTGTTGACTCAAACACAATGTCTTATCAAAAGGCTGGTTCTTGTTGGTTGTATGCGGTCATACAAGTTGTATGCCCCTATTGTTTTTTTCCAATAATTATCATTGCTATTTTTTTCTTCGGTATGAAAATATAAAACGTCAAAGCCATAGAATAATCAGTCTCCATTATCTGCCTGAACAGATTCCGTTGGGCGTCCACGCAAAATAGTTATTATTAAATTATAAGGATGGATCAGTGAAAATCGGTGAAGTACCAAGTGTTCGCAAAAAGGGTAACCACGTCCTGCTCGACCGGCAGCACCCACCATCCACACAATTTGCATTAAAAAGTAAGTGTTTGTTCCTACAAACAATGAAGTCTTGACTCCAGTAAATTTGGACCAGACAATCCAGTGACACACTACTGGTTGGTATGTTGGTTGGTTGATTGATTTTTTAAACTAAAAATACGATTATTAATTTTGAATTACATATACTACGTACAAATGCAGAGTTAAAACAATAAATCCTGAGTTTTTGTTATTTTAACATTCGAAAATTCTTAGATCCTGTCTTTTTTGTGATGTGATGAACATTTTTTAGCTAGAAGTCATTTTCAAGGTGATATTTTGAGCAGAAATTGAGACTGAAAGAGGAAATCTCAACAATGTGTAGTTTTATTTTAAATTAAAATGTAATGTAATGTGATAGTTAAGCAGATTTGCATCGTTTCGTTTTCACAAACTCATTTTACATAAGTTGACATGTAGCACATATACAAACTAGCATTGGGGTACCTACAATCACACACTATCTAATCTGATTTAATAAGATTGACAACATCAATCTGATTTGTCAGATGGGTGATGTGAAATGGGGTTTATGTTTCCACGTTTGTCAGCATCATACCCGTGCTCGTGGGTTTCACCAAGTGGTAAACGTCTGAGACCTGCATCTCTCACTTCGGGCTTTCCTCCCACATTGAGCTGACACGCCGTGATATAACTGGAATACTGTTTAAGGCGGTGTCACTCACTCACTGAACGTTCACAGTTCTTACTCCTAGGCCCAAACATATCTGCAGCTACAGCTTCCATTTTGAAGATGACAGTAAAATACTGGAAGTGTTTTATGTCCTATAGAATTGTGAGGATTTTTTTTTTTTCATTTTTTTTTTATTTTACTTTTTTTTCTTTCTTTTTTTTTTTCTTTTTTTTTTTTTATTCATTTTTTTTTTTTTTTTTTTTTTTTTTTTTAGGGGGTGGGGGGGATTCCACAACGTAATAATGTGATGATGAAGTCCATCTCTTAAAGTGTTATTTGTGATTGATGGTTAAAATAATTTCAAATTGTTATTCAGAATTTTCTAACCAGTGGAGGTTTAATGTACCCACAAATTAATGGAGGTTTGATACAACCGTCCCCAGTTGTTACGATCCCCATTCATAAACTCTCTCTGAAAACTACAGACCAAGTTACCAGCCCCCTCGTGTCAGTTAGAAGCCACGTTTGTATTTTAGTAATACAAGTCTTTTTCAAATATCTGGAATTAAGCAGATGTTAGAAGCCCATTCGTCTAAGACAATTCGCTGTGCAGAGTTGCTTCCCTTGGGCAAACCAGAAATCTATGATCGTGGGTTCGAATTCCGGTTCGCCCCAATTATGTTTCCATTTTTGTCAGAATCATATCAGGGTCTCGTTCAAAAAGCGATCTTAGCGCTAAGATGATCGTAGCTCCCATACTTTAACATAGGCTAACGACAGTCGTAGTGCTGAGATCGCTTTGTGGAACGTACAGTGCCCAGGGCCCCGTTCCTCAAAGCGATCTTAGCGCTACGATGATCGTAAGCCTATGTTAAAGTATGGGACTTATGATCACCTTAGCGCTAAGATCGCTTTGAGGAACGGGGCCCAGTACTCTTGGGTTCCACCAAAGCCTCCTCTCACCTTTAAAATGACACACCGTGATATTACCCACTATAAGAATCAAACACCCTGATTAATGAAGCTTTACTATTGTACATACCACTCTTTAACTTAATCAAATTTAAAACCATCACATTGAAAGTGAAGCGTAAGTAAGAACTGAAAGAGGCAGCAATGTCGTCTTTGTTTCATGCGTGTTATCACCATCAGTATCTTTTCCCGTGACATACAGCAGAACAAAAGCCGGCGGAATGTTTCAGGTAGGGCCCGCCAGTATCTGATGAATCAAAGGCGCCGTTCAAGTTGATTTTGATTGTTAAATAACCTCCAGTTGAAATTAAACACTGAAGAAAAATCATTTATTTTCTCCTAACTGTTAACGAGTGATGGACAACTTGACAAAGCGGCTCAATCAGAGATTAAGCCTGGCAAGGTCTCACCGGTCTTTTGTTTTCTAATACGATAAAGCCACAACTTGTACCGGGGCTGTATTCTACACTGTGTGTCGAGCAATATACCAATGGCGCAGGGTTTAGCGTCAACATTGCTCAATCGCTTTAGGTGATTTAGAGTTAGATGTACATTTTTTCCAATTTCATCGAAAGACTTTTTAAGTCATTCCAAACCTTGTAGGGAGACAGTCAGAGGATTTTACATGATGCGCTATGCAATCACATAATATCTGTTTTCACATCTCCTTCTCAGTGGTACTTTTTTTAAAATATAAATTGTGGTGAGGTGAACTTGGGTTTAACGTCGCGTCCAAGATTATTGCACTTATATAGCGACGTGCATGCACGTGTGTGTGCGTCTGTGTGTGTGTGTGTGTGTGTGTGTGTGTGTGTGTGTGTGTGGCTGCTTGTACTAGTCCGGACTGATGCTGATTTATAGTTCTACCCCACTGAGATACCATGCCGCAATTTAACATGAATACCCCACTCAGACACAGTATACTGACTCCAGTCCTTCTTTTAGCCCCTTAATGCCGAGCCCAAGGCAGGGTAACAACAAGTACCATCTTTTAACGATATGATATGACGCGGGCGGACGCTCTACCACTGGACCACGGAGGCGAGTCCCGAGCCAATTGAACGGTCATGAATTAACAACATCATCATCCGGTCAACGCTGTCTCAGTCGGACTTCCTCCACTTGATTGGACAAGGTGTCTTACAATTCTAACTGCGATGGTAACAACCTACATTTAGGCCTCTGTGCGTGAGTGGATGTTTAAAACACAGGTCTGAAGTTTTCCAGTGATATTATGTCAGTCCTTAATTAATCGAGTATGGACCATACAAGCCAGTGTTTGATAAAGTGAGCGACGTCACACGCAATCACGATGGCACGTAGTCAGCTAGGTCACCCTTGAAGATACGGGCGAGAGAGGCGACTAGTGGGATCAGATCGTCAGACTGCTGACATGGATGCCGCATGTCATCGTATCCCAATTGCGTAGATCGATGCTCATGATTTATATCACTGGGTTGTTTGGTCCAGACTCGATTAATTACAAACAGAAGTCATATAGCTGGAATATTGCTGAGTGTGGCGTTAAACAACAAACAACAAACAAACCAGGTATGAACCTACCTGCGCAATTCCAGCGGTGTTGTGGCAACTTGAACTCCATTACGCTGCATTCTCCACTCATGGATCCCCAAGGTAACGTTGACGGTATCGGCCGTGGTAGTGACGTTATCAGTACGTTAGTAATCAATTTAATCAAAACCGTGTTATACCTATACAAGCGCATTTACAAAATGCATCCCGTACGCAATACATGTAGTTCTAAGCCATAATTTGAAATGTAAAACAAAAAATTATATACTTCAAAATGTTATTACAACGCATAACATGACACATGACGTAAAAGAAATTCGCTGCATCAAACTGAAACGTCAGATTAAACCAACGTTTGATTTGATCACGTTATTGTTACTGGGACATACGATCTAACGTATATAAAAAAATCGCTCAGGAAATATAAGAAATCTGACACCCGTTTCGTAAAACCAGTAAGACACGTATGATCATATTATAATCTCTATATCCAATCAAAACTTAAGGATTATTTATCACGCGAATTCATCTCTTCAAGGCTTGGATTTACGTCATCCTTCGCATTGGTTGCGATGTTCAGTTCTTCCTCGTAAATTACTTATTCTGCGAATCTGACAACACAATAATTCTTCTTTAAATAAGTAAATACATTCCTTGGGTCCTGTTAGCCCTAATCTTTTAAAGCCTTTGCTTCAGAAGCAAATGATCAAACGTCTACAGGCCCTGGAAACCGCTACCATGTATATGTTGAACACATGCGTGTCCATTATTTCTTATATACCATTTTAGAACGAACCTCTCTTAAACGGACACACGTCTATTTCCTTATAACGAGCATACAATTATTTATCTACAAACAACACACCTCTATCGCCCAAAAACGATCAAAGATCTATTCATCTACAAACAACACACCTCTATCGCCCCCAAAAAATCACAGATCTATCATCTACAAACAACACACATATATTGCCCAAAAACGATCACAGATCTATTCATCTACAAACAACACACCTCTATCGCCCAAAACCGATCACAGGCCTATTCATCTACAAATAAACACCTCTATTGCCCCCAAAACGATCACAGATCTATTCATCTACAAATAAACACCTCTATTGCCCAAAAAACGATCACAGATCTATTCACCTACAAATAAACACCTCTATTGCCCCAAAACGATCACAGATCTATTCATCTACAAACAACACATATATATTGAACCAAAACGAACACACATCTATTCCTTTGAGTCACACACATGTACACAGCCATACACAACAACTATAGCATACGACGTCTTCTCACTTGGATATCGACTGTGATAGATGCTGTGCGGGGTGGACCGCCATCGGGGTGGTCAGTGGTCAGAACGGTCAGTTTGTACCCAAACTGTTGGTTACTAAGTCCTTCATAGTCAATGACGGTACCGTCAGCCGTCAGATCGGACCCTTTCATCTTGAAGATGTTGGTCAGTTCAGTTTTCAACTGGATGGAACAGTTGCCGTTCTGACCTTCATCCGGGTCCTCGCAGGTTAGTGAGGTCAAGACTGTATCTGAGTTCATGTACAGAAAGCAATGCGTCAGCTGGGTCGTTTGACAGTATTCTGGTTATATCAGGATGTGTCGGATTAGTCAAAATTCATACAGGCCTTAGATTTGTAATCTTTGGCGAAAACCATGCTTGTTGGTACGTTTGACAAAGTCATCTGAGAGCAATGACCTAGTCCTAAGCCATTTTCACATCTATTACCGAATTACAAATTTCTTATTTTCATGGTTTCACGAAATACATACCGATTTCATCAATTAAATGTCATTAATTCTTCTGATGTTACAAAAATAAGTATCACTTATATCATTAAAGAAAAGTTTTATCCTTTGACCTAAACATCATCGTTTTGTTCTACAGACTGCCTCGTGGTATGGCTTCATTCTAACGATGAGTGGAAGGTAAGTAGTATCATCTACAACGTTAAAACGTTTCATCGATATCCACCATAAATATGATCACTGAGAGATCATTGTCAAAGTTGTCAGCATCACACCCGTGCTCGTGGGTTTCACCAAAGAGGTAAACATCTAAGACCTGCATCACTTTCCCCCCACTTCAAGCTGACACGCCCTAATATAACTGGAATACTGTTCAAAGTATAAAACCAAACTTACTCCCTCGTCGTTAGAGGTACGCTTATGGCATGAATGGCACCATCTCCCCGAGGCAAGGGACTTAACTGACTTCAAAAGTCCAATTTCCACCCTTGCCGAACAAGGCTGGAATTCCTGGGCTCGATCGTAGCGCCACCAGTGGCTATTAAGAGTTATGTCCCTTCTATGCCGCTCCAATGGACCAATCAGATTCCACCTCTCGTATCGCTTGCATTTGCTTCAAACAAAACGGCGGCGCCCAGTCAAGACGATCTGTTCGATAATCAAGATCTATATTGTGATAAAACGAGTCTTACATCGCGAAGTACATCAAATCACGTGAGCACCTTGATTAAAAACATGAAAAGATTTAGAAAAAAATATGTTGACAACGTGTTAGCGGTGCACATGCTTTGCAAATCCTGCAGTCGACCGAAATCTGCATGATAGTTTACGAACCGAATTTCGATTTCGTTGCGCGATTTTGATTGCACTATGCATAGACTCATTACACCGAAACGTCGCACTTATTGTAATAAAGAAGTTGTTCATCCATAGAACTCGTCTTACTTCATCACACCGACTTCTAAATGCCACTGAAAGAAGTTATGCATAGACTCGTTAGTCCAGCCAAATGTAACTCCATAATACCAGCCTAGATCGGCAAGGGTGGAAACTGGACTTTTATTGTCAGTTAACTCTCTTGCCTCGGGAAGATGGAATGGCACATACGCAGGCACATTGAGGCCTCAGTAAAGCAAAATGTTTTATGGTAGACATGTGGAGAACATTTCCAAATTTGAGGCATTAGTGACCAAAATGATGTCCACTGTAATTCCCTATTTCGCCTTGTACCGTATGTTATCATGTGTATGTGTTTTTTTCATGTGCACACTTGACTTACCTTTGCATGTGTTTGTGACGGATGCCTTTTGGCAGCCCCCGATATTTGTTGGTAATTCACACACATATGTTATATATGATATAGTCGGAATTGTAAAATGGACCCTGCGATAGCGGATAATTCTTATGATTGTGGACAGAGCGTTGTCACTCATGATTAAACCTCAGTTTGTTCAAGCTGACCTATGTGATATATACAGCATATGCAGCGAGGAAAACAAAGATCTACAAGAAATATTACCATTTACACAATACAGGAGATGATTTCTTAGATGCAATACTGTTTCTGTTAGATACAAGGACAAACTGTAACCGACCACGATATTATTCATTTCGAGAAAATCAGATGAATTCTAATACCTAAAGGGTTCTGGGCACAGGGAATAATAAATCTCTGAATGAAATAAGAAGAATTGGTGTGTTTTTCATATTCTTATGGGGTCTGTCTAAATAAAACCCTTTTTCGGTCGTTTTTTTTTTTGTTTACACAAGACAAATAGCATTTATCAGTTAACTGCGTGTGATATTTCATTGCTCATTGGCCTTCAAACTCTGTAACTTAATACCCCGATGACATCAGACGTTCATAATGCTGTCAACCACTGGTTTGCCTGTTTTTTACACGTGATATACGTGGAATGTTGCTGACTGTAGTAAAAAACAACTACAACCCAAACAATCATTGCGCAACGGCAGTTTGTTTTATTAGATTTGATTTTAATTTTCTGACTAAAATCCAACCCATCTAACTTTTAGAATATGCCCAGAAGATCCTAGCGCCCTCCCACCAGACAAAGACTCACCACTGGTGGAGTTTTCTGTAATGTTCAGATTTACACCACCGTTCCCTAGCGTCGGGGTGTTGTCGTTCATATCAAGTACGGTGAGGTTGAGAGTGGAATTAGTCGTCAGCCCTGCACGATCCGTGACAGTCAGCGTCAGTTGGTCGAGCAGATGGACGCCATCTTTACCGTCCCGATTCAGTGTTTCTTTCATCGTCAGAATTCCAGTTTCCGCGTTAATGTCAAAATATTTGGCATGATCACCTGGAACGATCAACATATCGAGCTATAGGTTACATCTCACGAACATGGAACTAAATTCTCCAAATCAGAGTTCTTCAAAAATTGAGGATATTGAGCCAGGGAAATTTATATCTTGTACATTGATCAATGAAGTTACAGCGAAGGGGGGGGGGGGGGGGGGGTTACAGCGTTCGCTCGTCACGTCGAAGTCCTTGGTTCGATTTCCCACATGATATACTGTGAAATTCCCTTTGTGATGTTGCCTGCTTTGACGTTGCGGGAATATCACTTTAAGCGGCGTAAAACCCACTCACTCATTCACTCACTGACACTCTGAATGGCTCAATAATAATAATAATAATAATAATCAATTTTATGGCGCTTTTGTCATGCTGAATGTCATGCTCAAAGGATCAGTGATTAGTGATCAGTCAACAATCATTCTCAGCTCCCTTGGGAGTATACAACCCAAGCTCCCTATGAGGCGCTTGAAGGTTAACAGCCACATTGCCATCTCATCATACATGAGCACATATGTATTTTATAGATCAATTCAAGTACCATCCAATATCACACAAAGAATACTCTGAAAGAACCACATTTCGGGCGTCACCGGTTGAGATGATGAGGCCGCCCGTAAGAATACCTGTTAGTTGGTATGTAAGTGTATCGTTGTCATCGCCGTCAGTGACCCGAAACAGACGGCCGACCACAGAAGCGGGGGGTAACTCCTCTGGTACTGATGACGACAAGACTTCTATTTTGGGAGCCTCATCTGGAACGTCATTTACACTGACTGCCATCACCGTTGTTTCATCTTTAGAACCGTCGCTTATCCTGAAGAAAACAGAGTGAGTGAGCTTTATGTTACGCCGCTTTAGCTTTAAAAGGGTTTCACACATTGTATCAATGTTGGGAAACGAATCCGGACGTATTCGTGACGAGCGGATGCTTTGCCAACTAGACTACCCCACAGCCCTCGGGGTTTCCAGTATATGTGCGCCAATTACAATGGCAAAGTTCTAGCTGTAGCCAGCTTACAGGCACATCAGATACAATCAACGTTACCAGAGAACATAGAAGTATTTATATAGGACAGAGAAATATATATATGTTATATGTATAGACCTACAACAGTCGTAGCGCTGACATCGCTTCCTGGATCGGCACCCAGACGTCAAATCTAGAGGTTCTTGGTGCAGTGGGTATATTGCAAGGTTGAAACCATGTTTACTAAGATACAGATATGATTTTATTACTTGCCCGTGGAGAGATCACCCGTTTGATAAACATACAGCTGTATTACACATTGTGTAATACCAAAACGCGTGCTTATTACTCTCGGAACACGTTTTTCGCTCGTCAGATACCACAACTATTCACTCGTTTCATAAAATTGGTATTACACGGAAGCTCGTTTAGTATTCTATATATATGGCATGACTGTTGTGGATAGGTTTAGCTCAATAAAAAGTGTGAGATCTCTATTTGTAGTAGACAGAGCATATGAATATTTGGTTCGTTCCCAGTGAAATTGTTCTGGATTAACGGATTACGATATGTTTGTTTGTTGTTTAATGCCGCACTCAGCAATATTCTAGCTATATGACGGCGGTCTGTAAATAATCGAATCTGGACCAGAAAATCCAGTGATTGATATCATGAGCATCGATCCACGCAATTGGGATCAAGGACATGCATCAACCAAGTCAGCCAGCCTGACCACCCGATCCCGTTAGTCGCCTCTTACGACAAGCATAGACGCATCTTACGGCAAGCATTGGTTGCTGAAGACCTATTCTACCCCGGATCTTCACGGGTCTCATGCTAAGTAGAAATATTCCTTGTATTGTATACGTGTTTAAAAAAGTATTTGTCCGGAAAATGGGTTTTCCAGATAAACGAGGTTTCACTGTAATAATGTATGTGTTTTTAAGTAAATAAAGTGACAGAAAACATTTCCATAGTCATAAGAAAAGTCAATGTACGATACCGATTATATTATAAGCATGTGTTTATGAATCACCATTTAGTAGGGATGATACCAGGAATTCGTGAAAGTGTGCGGTATGATAGCCTTGTGATTCAAGCATTCGCTCGTTACGCCAAAAGCCCGGGTTCGATACCCAAAGTGGGTACAATGTGCGAGGCCCATGGAGATTCCCCGTCGAGATGTTGCTGGAATACATGTTATGCACTTAATAAATATCCAATTGCAAAGGATAGAGACGAATAGCATCCATAATTATCTCGACGTTATTACTCATATCATGGTTGAGAAAACCCTATAACACCAGAAACATGAACCATACCTGATGTCAACAAAATGAATGCGTGTATCTTCATAGTCTAGCTTCTTCATCAGCTTCAAGTTGAGGCCATCGAACTCAAAGGTATCGTTCCACTTCCCCGTGACCTTATACTCCGTCTTCTCCGCGGCGGGGAAGGCTCCGGTGAAGTTCTTTACTACATCGCCGACCGACGCATCCTCAGCGACCTTGGCCACGAACTGCGACACAAAGCGCGCCGTCTTGATCAGCTTTGACACCGTCTGCGTCACATCGATGATGACACGGATCTTCCCCTCGGCGGTCTTCGGCGGGGTTCCCCGGTCGGCGGCAACTACGACGACGTCGAAATAGGAACTTGGCGTCCTCGCGCCGCTGTCGACATGGACCGTCGTCAGCAAGACGCCGCTGACGGGGTTGACTGTGAACGCACCTGTTACGTTCTCGCCGTTTTCTGTTGAATGGATTATGTGGGAGTGAGATGGGTTTAACGTGTGATTGAAGAGCATTTTCTTATGGAAGGGGTGGGGTAGCCGAGTGGTCAAAGCGTTAGCTAGCCACGCCGAAACCCGGGTTTGATTCCCCACAAATAGATGCAAGAAGCACTTTGAGTCTGTGAGTGAATGAATTTAACACCCAGTTAAACAATATTTCAGTTTTATCACGGCGTACCATATTTTAAGGTCATTTGGTATGACGCGGCTAGGGTTCGAACCACCGACCTTCCGCTCTTGGAGCAGACCTTATATCCACTAGACCACGGAGCGGTAGTTATTATGAGAATCAAAGTGTTTTCTTATACCTCTATGATGAATCATTGAATTTCATTGGTTAATACTTATCACGAAACGGTAAATTCCAGTGCTGACCTAACAATGGAAACGTGTTTTGTTAAATCAAGTGATTGATATATTAACTTGTCACATGATCACCATTGACCTGTCACGTGATTGTTATTGACTTCGTCTGCTAGGAAACGACATGGTGTCTGTTGGTGTCAATACGGGTCCCCGATCATTCTGAAGAATATTTCTTTAAATGTTTGAGAACAGAAAGGTCAAATGAAGGTGAAATTAGGCTTATTAAACTAATTTCGGAATTAGAAAACAATCGATTGCACTTGACGAATTTCTTATGCGTAAACAAGGAGTCGGACATCCTCAGAAGTCCGGTCCTCGAGTTTAAAAGTTCTTATTTTTGTGATCCTGGTAGTCACCCATGTGTTGAACATGCGCATGAGGGTAAGTTTGCAAAGTGGACGCAACACACTCCAGAACCAATATTTACAGGTAATTTGCCCTTGGACGCAATTCGTGTCACTCATTCATATTTATTGGGATCATTGCCATTCGTCACAACTCTCCCCTTTCCGTAAATTGCAAGGACGCTCGTCCATTCGTCACCACTCGCCCCTTTCCGTAACCTGCAAGAAGACTCGTCCCCCTATCGATGAATGTTATGTGCGAAAATACGACAAACCAATCATAATGCGCGTATGATTTCAAGTTCTTCGTCAAAGAATCCCTCAGAAAAAAATTCTGTTTTTACATATGTCTTGCATCTAAAAGTATACCCAAGACACAGTTAAATGTGTTCAATCATACTGTATAATTTCGCATGTCCTGATGTGCTTTTAATTGGATCTGAAATATAAATGATATATGGGGAAATATATGTGAACCATTGCGCAACGAGTTGACAATTGTTTTAGGTATGCCCGTTTGCAAAAATGGCCACGAGAGGGGCACGAGTCGCTATTCGGCTTGTCCCGGAATAACACGAGTTGGTCACGAATGAACGCTCGTCCCCTAACGATCAGTTTTATGTGCAAAAACACAACCAACAGGAAGTTCTTTTGTGTCTTTTGTGAATTATTGCTTTTTCCTATAGTTTTAGACATTTGTAATTGATATATTTACCAACGTGACTAACACAACAATTGTTTCACCATACTCAATGTCAACTGTGTGATATTAAGAAAAAAATCAATCTAAACTTACAAAGCAATGGCGGGGAAGTTGACTAATCAGGTCGCTATTCCAGCCAGCGCGGGGACGAAACCACTTTGATAAAATGGCCACGACAGGGGCACGAGTCGCCATTCGGCTTGTCCCCGGAATGACACGAGTGGTCACGAATGGGATCACTACGCGAGTCTCGTCATCGCTACTGTGTACGTTACCTGTGACAGCTGAAGTCAGGGAATAGACCAGGTGCCCGTCTTCGCCGCCATCTTGGTCTGTGGCAATGAATGTGCCCACTTCGGCCAGAGGCGTGTCAACTCCGAACAGCGACTTGTTGGGGAAATTGCCACCCGAATCAATGTCGGGCGAGCTCCAAACAGGAACATGCTCATTGTGAGATATAATCTAGACATAGAAAAGGTAAAAATAACTTATTGTACATATAAAACGCCCGAGCTAACAATTTAAGCTGGGTAACATTGACAATATACACCACGAGTGTGAGGAAAGCCAGCGAATCCTCAGAGTGCCCAATTTGCAAACCAATAGCAAAGTTTCTCGTTTGAACGAATAAGGTTCAACGCAACTTTCAGACGCAATCAAGCAATATCGTTTGTTTCTGTTGTTTGTTTGTTGTTTAACGCTGCACCCCAGCTATATGACGGCTGTATGTAAATAATCGTGTCTGGACCAGACAATCCAGTAATTAACATCATGAGCATCGAGCCACGCAATTGGGAACGATGACATGCATCAACCAAGTCAGCGAGCCTGACCAACCGATCCCGTTAGTCGCCTCTTACAACAAGCATAGTCGCCTTTTACGGCAAGAACGGTTGCTGAAGACCTAATAAGAGAACATCATAATGGCCTTCATTCATTGTACCTATGAGGGAAGTCGAAACCATATCTTCACTTCAGTCACGAATCCCCAACCTTCCCGGAGAGTTTTGAAGTGAAATTTATGAACAAATACTATAACCGATATTCATTAAAACTCTGCAGACAATAAAACCTGTGAGTATATACTAGAACTTATATCATAAAACATCAATATATGACTGAATCTTGTTTAATGATGCCAGTAAAGAACCAGTAAACATTAACACATATTAGAATATTTAACCATAAGCACGGATTGAACCATGATGAATGATGCCGCCCTGAAACACGAAAAGATAATAAAACCAGAAAACTATATCATCATCATTAAACATGAACATGTGGAGTTGCTTCCCTTAGTTGTGGCAGCTCCTACGATCGCGGGTTGGAATCCCAGATTCGCCCTGATTACGATCCTTGGTTTTTCAGCACCGTGCCATGCTCGTGAGTTCATCAAAGTAGAAAACGTCTGAGATTTGCATCACATCAGACTCTCCCCACACACCAAGCTTGCAAGCCGTGATACAGTAAACTACGTTTATAACGAACACGCTTATAACGAACTGACCGATATAACGAACTTATAATCTAGTCCCGGTCATTTGTTGTATATATTCTGTACATACACTTATAACGAACTACGGTTATAACGAACTAAAATTAATGTCCCTTTGAGTTCGTTATAACCGTAGTTTACTGTACAACTAAAATACTGTTTAAAACACTGTTTCAGTCACTCACTCAGTCACTCTACTTGTGGCAACTGTCCCTGACTACAAGTGTTCTTGACTACAACTGTGCTTGACTACAACTGTCCTTGACTACGACTGTCCTACTTGTGTGTTGACCCGTGAAGACTCCGGAGTAGAATAGGTCTTCAGCAACCCATACTTGCCGTAAAAGGCGACTATGCTAGTCGTAAAAGGCGACTAACGGGATCGGGTGGTCAGGCTCAGGATCCCAATTGCGTGGATCGATGCTCATGATGTCAATCACTGGATTGTCTGGTCCAGACTCGATTATTTTACAGACCGCCGTCATATAGCTGGAATATTGCTGAGTGCGGCGTTAAACAACAAACAAACAAACAAACAAAAACTTGTGTGTTAGCGTACAAGCACTACATCTGTGGAGCTGTGAGTCACGCTGACACATGTTCTGACTCATTCAGAGGAAACTGAACCATTCCTCTCACCTTGTGCCAGTCATTACAGCTCTTCTGGCCATGTTATTGGTCCTACCTTAACGACTACCACTGCCTGTCCTGTCTTGGCTTGACCACTTTGAGGGTGGTCCACCGCTTGAATGGTCACAGCGTGTTGATGATCGGGGATGCCGTCCTCGTAGTCCAACTGAGTTCCGTCTACATACAACTTGTCCCCTTCCAGGCGGAACAGAGGACTAGTGCTACTTATCTGTAGGGTCACGTTGCCATTTGGGCCACGGTCAAGGTCACTGTAGGTAAGCTGGGTCACAAGCACATCTGACCAAAAGTGAATTACAATATTAGATATCTGCACCTAGTAACATAGAGTCTATGTAAGCTGACACTTTTTTTAAATTAGAGTCTATCTAAGCTGACACTTTTTTTTAAATTAGAGTCTATCTAAGCTGACCCTTTTTTTAAATTAGAGTCTATCTAAGCTGACACTTTTTTTTTAATTAGAGTCTATCTAAGCTGACACTTTTTTTAAATTAGAGTCTATCTAAGCTGACACTTTTTTTAAATTAGAGACTATCTAAGCTGACACTTTTTTTTAAATTAGAGTCTATCTAAGCTGACCCTTTTTTTAAATTAGAGTCTATCTAAGCGGACACTTTTTTTAAATTAGAGTCTATCTAAGCTGACACTTTTTTTAAATTAGAGTCTATGTAAGCTGACACTTTTTTTTAAAGTAGAGTCTATCTAAGCTGACACTTTTTTTTAAAGTAGAGTCTATCTAAGCTGACACTTTTTTTTAAATTAGGGTCTATCTAAGCTGACACTTTTTTTATATTAGAGTCTATCTAAGCTGACACTTTTTTTTATATTAGAGTCTATCTAAGCCGACACTTTTTTTAAATTAGAGTCTATCTAAGCTGACACTTTTTTTATATTAGAGTCTATCTAAGCTGACACTTTTTTAAATTAGAGTCTATCTAAGCTGACACTTTTTTTTAAATTAGAGTTTATCTAAGCTGACACTTTTTTTATATTAGAGTCTATCTAAGCTGAAAGGTTTTTGTATTAGAGTCTATGAAATCTGACAGTCTTTTTATATCAGGGTCTTTGTAATTTGACACTCTTTATATGTCAGAGTCTTTGTAATTTGACACTTTTTATAGATCAAAGTTTATGTAATCTGACACTCTTCATCTGTCAGAGTTTTTTTGTAATCTGTCAGTCTTTTTGTATTAGAGTCCTTGTAATCTGTCAGTCTTTTTATATCAGAGTCTATGTAATCTGACAGTCTTTTTATATCACAGTCTATGTAATCTGGCACTTTTTTATAACAGTCTATGTAATCCGACGCTCTTTTTATATCGGAGTTTATGTAATCTGAAACTCTTTTTATATCAGAGTCTATGTAATCTGACACTCTTTGGTATGTTAGAGTAAAAGGAATCTGAGACTTTTTAATGTCAGAGTTTATGTAATTTTGACACTCTTTTTATATTTAGATCAGTCAATGTAATCTTAAGAGTTTATGTCATCTCGGTAGTTCTTACTTTTTGTTGAATTTTCAGTTGCATTTGCTGATATCAGTGTCTGATCAAACTCGGGTACATTGTCATTGACATCAATAAATTTTATGGTGATGTTGGCTTCTTTCTTCTTGGCAGCTGAATCCTTGACCGAGACCATGAGGCTATCCAACAAGGTCTTCGTAGTGTTAGACTCAATGTCCACCCGCTTTTTAAGTTGCATCACTCCTGTGTTCGGTTCAATGTCAAACAGGACACTATCGTCACCTGTGCAACAGTGAAATCTCTGTACTTAATAAAAGACTACATCATTCGTGATGATATAAAGATCGAGTGTAACCTTTCCGATGTTTGCATTTTAGCTATTCTCAATGCTGATTGGTCTGTTGAAGCGATATGACGTCACATTGCTTCAGACAGTTAAGTGGTTGACATGATGGACATCGATCTACGCAATTAGAATACGATGACATGCAACAACCAAATCAGCGAGTCTCACCACCCAATCCCGTTAGTCGGCTCTTACGACAAGCACAGTCACCTTTTACGGCAAGCATGGGTTGATGAAGACCTATTCTATCCCGGATCTTCACGGGTCCCAATGTTAATGATGTCGTCATCTGAACAGTGAAACTTGTCTGCGAGGTTGACATTTCATGCGTTTTTCTTCATTTTCCTTCTTAAAGGGATTATAAGAAATTAAAAAAATAATCTGCTTGAAGCTCTGAATTACGGAAGATATGTCCCTCGGAAACGAATGTTGTAAGTCCCTCGCCGAAAGTCTCAGGGGTTGTACACCGTTCATTCACAGCTAACCAGCAAATCCTCTAAGCTTTTATGTTTACATTTCACAACTTTTGAGGTACAATCGAACATGCTCTTTCTGCCAAGATTTCAAAGAGCGTCATACAACTCTTGCTAAGAAGTTGTTTGATCAAGGTTACAACATTCAAGGCCTCAGTAAAGCTTTCAAAAAGGGTTATGGTGGACATGTAGAGTACATGTCCAAATTTGACACATCTATGACAAATTTATGTCCGATGCAAGTAGTAGTAGGAGTAGTAGTAGTAGCAGTAGTAGTGAAATACGTTTATATTTCTTCAAGGATCTATCTTCACGGGGACGCTACATGTGTAGTAATCACTAAATACCAATGCAAGTCTATGAGTGAGTGGGTATAGTTTTACGCCACTTTTAGCAATATTCCAGCAATGTCACAGTGGGGGACACCAGAAATGGGCTTCACATCTTGTACCCATGTGAGGAATCGAACCCTTCGGCATGACTAGCGAACCCCTAGGCTAACCCATCGCCCCTGTAAAGTCGATGAAAGTCGACAGTTTCACGTTAAAGATTGTACAGTCACAGACTACACCGCAAATCACTTAACAAGATTGTACGCGTGTCCTTTGAAGTCGTTTCATGTGTTTGGATAAAATAGAAAGAAGAAAGGCCCAAAACGTTCTTTCCCACTGAATATATTGTTCATTGCTAAGGAGAATTTTCAACTTAATTGAGCCATAATTTAGATTCAAAAGAAACCGTTTAGTTTATGCAAAACATATGAGGTGCAACGGGAGAAGCGAAAGCAATTAACATCTTTAAATTACAAAAATCTCAAAAGAGGAGTTCATTAAAAATCACAAAATGGTATAACAAAATATATATACAGTTCCATATTTCTGCAAGCAGGTATGAGTGAGTAGATGAATCTGATTCTGTCCACGGTAATGACAAACAGATGACCAGATAGCATGTGACCTCATTTACTTCAAGTAGTCACACATACAAATACTCTCCATACCACAGCATGTAGAATCATATACTCCTACTTTATTGTAGTATGGGCAATCCATACTGAACCGTTGTCACCATCTTTGAGCAGTCTCATACTCACAAGACACTGACGACCTTATTGCCTAGGAGATGAATTAGTGCTAGTTTGGTCAGAATAAAAATCCAATCTCCGTTATTAATTGATACATCATCAAGTATTCTACGAAACCCCTTTTCTTGGTCACTGTGTCAATCTCCGTTATTAATTGATACATCATCAAGTATTCTACGAAACCCCTTGCTTTGTCACTGTGTCAATCTCCGTTATTAATTGATACATCATCAAGTATTCTACGAAACCCCTTTGCTTGGTCACAGTGTCAATCTCCGTTTTTAATTCATACATCATCAAGTATTCTACGAAACCCCTTTGCCTGGTCCCTGTGTCAATCTCGTTATTAATTGATACATCATCAAGTATTCTACGAAACCCCTTTTCCTGGTCACAGTGTCAATCTCCGTTTTTAATTGATACATCATCAAGTATTCTACGAAACCCCTTTGCTTGGTCACTGTGTCAATCTCCGTTATTAATTGATACATCATCAAGTATTCTACGAAACCCCTTTGCTTTGTCACTGTGTCAATCTCCGTTTTTAATTGATACGTCATCAAGTATTCTACGAAACCCCTTTGCTTTGTCACTGTGTCAATCTCCGTTTTTAATTGATACATCATCAAGTATTCTACGAAACCCCTTTGCTTTGTCACTGTGTCAATCTCCGTTTTTAATTGATACGTCATCAAGTATGCTACGAAACCCCTTTGCTTTGTCACAGTGTCAATATCCGTTATTAATTGAATAAGTGACATACATCATCAAGTATTCTACGAAACCCCTTTGCTTGGTCACTGTGTCAGTCTACAATATTTACCAGAGAGTTCGAACGTCAGCGTATTATTCACCCCTCCTCCGAGTACAGTAAAGGGACTTGGTAGGGGGAGTCCAATGGGGTATTCTTCGGGTAATTCAAATCCTTTCCGGGCCTCCAAAACAAGCTCTGCACTTCCCCCTCCTCCGACTCCCCCTCCTCCGACTCCTCCTCCTCCTATTCCTCCAGCTCCTGCTCCTGCGCCCCCGGCTCCTCCTCCAGCACCCCCAGCTCCTCCTCCCACTCCGGCTCCTGCTTTTCCTCCAGCTCCTGCTCCAGCTCCAGCTCCAGCTCCAGCTCCAGCTCCAGCTCCGGCTCCAGCCCCAGCTCCGCCGGCTCCAGCTCCTCCCCCAGTTGTATTTGCGCCCCCTGCACTGCTGTTCTGGTCAGCTGCCTTCCCTATGATGGCCGTTGCTGCTACCTTGTGGACACCGTCCGATGCTCTGATGAACATACGGTCAACTCTCGTTAAACCAGTCTTCTCGTTATTTTGTTTGGCTATATATGGGTCCTTAATAAAATACGGGCATTCATAGCCCTTCATTTAACTGGCGACTCGGTGTCTTTCTTTGGCCACATAAACAAGATTAGCACTTTCCAGAACATGGTGTATTCGAGTGTCGGTGTGTGTCTATTTAAACATTCGTTATGATTTGGAATATGTATTTTCACAACGAAACCTTATTATTAGATCGGGTCTTTTTGTTCGATGAGTTTATTGTTCACGTCAATCACAAAAAGTCTACATGTGACTAGCTTTTCAGAAAACTGTCCTGTTGTACTATTTCGATTTCTTTAATATTTTATATTCATTTACAGACTCTTTCAGATTGAATTGATGAAGGAATGACACGAAGTAACTTTTCCCTCCAAATTATAGACAACTCAATATAACAAACATATATAAAGAGTTCCGTCCTTATACATTCCGTCCACACACACACACACACACACACACACACACACACACACACACACACACACACACACACACACACACAACCGGCCCGCGTTCCACAAAGCGAGCGTAGCGCTACGACTTCCATACGTCTATGTTAAAGTATGGGTGTTACGATCACCTTAGCGTTACGATCGCTTTGTGGAACAGGGCCCTAAATACACACACTGTTTAAGTGCCTTAAAAATATCATCTAAAATGCCATTTTACGACATCAACTGATTTATTTTCGAATATGGGCCCACTTTTTATTTCATATAATTTGAAATCGCCATACTCGAAAGTAATCGTAAACCAAAAAAATGGATAACTCTAATTCTAGTTATTATTCTTTATAGATGTTTCATAGACCTATCAGTAATTCATTTCTGAATATATTACAGATACACAAATACCTCAATATCAAAACGTAAGATTTCCCACTGGCGATCGTACTAGCCGCCTTCAAGTCCTTGCCATCATACTGAAACAGGTCTTTGTACTGCCCTCCAAGGGTGAAGGTCATTTTGTCACCATCCGCGTCAGTCGCAGTGAAGGAGGCAACAACGTCTCCTTTACTCATGCTTTTCGTCAGAGGCAATTCAATCACGGTGTTGTTGAATGAGGGTGGGTTGTCGTTGACGTTAGAGATGCTGATTCTAACAGATGCGGTAGTATTCCTGGGAGGGTTACCTGCGTCTGCCGCCATGAGTTTCAGATCATAGTACTCCTCCCCACCTGGTAGAAAACATAATGGTATGGTGACAAAGATGGCGAGCGTTATCGTCTCTTGAAAACCAAAATCAAGCATTTAATCATCGTCAATACTGCGCAGGTTTGTCAACAGAACGTTCATCCATCACCTTTGAACACCCCTTTGCATAGTCGCTATTTTTAACCAACGAATGCAAACATGGTCTGGTTACAGCTCTATGGCAACCAGCAAGAATTCTGACCAATGAGCGCTCAGATAACATTCACAGACACTAGTATTACTCTTTACGGATGTGTCTATACGCACGATATCGTGTACATAAAGAGTACATATTCCACAATATGCACGACATCGTGTAAATAACAGACAATTTATTACAATATGCACGACATCGTGTAAATAACAGACAATTTATCACAATATGCACGACATCGTGTAAATAACAGACAATTCATCACAATATGCACGACATCGTGTAAATAACAGAACTTTAACCATAATATGCACGATATATCGTGTAAATAACAGACAATTTATCACAATATGCACGACATCGTGTAAATAACAGACACTTTATCACAATATGCACGACATCGTGTAAATAACAGACAATTTATCACAATATGCACGACATCGTGTAAATAACAGAACTTTAACCATAATATGCCCGATATCGTGGGAATAACAGCACACGATACTCACACGTTATGGTATCACGGGTTATATTATTCGATCTATCAGCAGCGATTACGAACATTATATACAAGTACATGTTATCTTTGGGGGGTTTTCAGATTATGATGAAAATTATATTTTTGTGAGAACTGAGTCATTTTGCAAAATGACCAAGAATACTGCTGTAT